TATCGAGAATCAAGTTATATGAGTATTGGGCGATAAACAACTTTAACCTCAGAGATGAAATAATAAAACCAAAAACTGGATTTCTCATAAAGTCAGAATGCGTTAAAAATTAACTAAAATTAATTTTATTAAAACTACAAGAACAAAAAATTATTTCAAGCTTTAAAGTATCAAATTCAAGTAACATCGAAAGAAAACTACCAGCGGCATCCTATTCAGCAGTAATTACTACTGTTGACCTCGAAATTACAGACAGTGAAATAAGCGAATTGCTAATTTCATTACAAATTAAGCATAGATACTGCAAGAGAATTATATACAAAATAACTCAAAGTTCAACTTATAAAATGAGAATAATTACCGGATGTGAATCGTCGTATCAAAGAATACTAAAAGAAGGATTGTTCTATAAAACCAAGCACTTTCCAATCGTTGAAAGTTTGACTCCTGCTCCAATGCCAGTTGCATGCTCTAAATGTAACTCTTTTCTGCATACTACAGGCAATTGTAAGCAACCAATAAAATGCAGCAAATGTGAAGGCACGCATAACACCACATTATTCACATTAACATTGCCAGAGAAATGTAACTCCTTACAATTGACAAGAGCTGATCAACCAATTAAGACGAAGATTTATAGAAACATACAATGTCGATACAATTCTTTCATTCTCGGGAAGCTACTTGTACATTATTATGCTTGATTTGGAAAACCCTAACGCAATTTCACCCACGGAACCAATCAATGGAAAACAAGCAACAATACTACAACCTTCCAATGGATAATATCAGATTCCTATACTCCAACATCAATAGCTAAAATCGGAAAGCTATTAATAGGTAACTATTTAAATACTCATCCTATACAGTGCGGTTTATGTGTAGAAACAAAATTCAAGGAACATATCAAATTTCAAAACTGGTCTGTATTGGAAAAAATATCTGAAATCGGCAATGTTAATATCAGAGGAGGCTCTGTAGCGCTACTTCACCCATCTCTAGCAGTCAAACATGAAAATAGCCCAAGAATAAATAACAGATTAAACGAATGCACACACTTTTCATTACCATTTGGGACAGAAAAACTACACATTTTCCTGGTATATATTCACCCACATAATGGAATAGATGATACCATATTTATAAAAGCTTCACTATACGATAACGCCATAATAATCGGAGATTTTAATATAAATAAGTCGAAAAACAAACATCTAACAAACTTCCTCAATCAGACTGGATACAAGAAAATAGCTACACCACCTACATTTATCATGCAGGCCAATACCAACATCACGTCTGATTTAGTAAATAGGCTCAGCAAGCATATATCCTCTCATCCATGCTCTAGAATTAATAACAGATCTTGGTTCAGACCACTTCAGCATAGATTTTCAACTAAACATCCCACCATACTCCCCAATAGTAGACATTCCACTACACATTAATATTAATTTATGCAATATCGAAAAGGTAAACAATGACATGACAAATTACATCCATAACAATCCTGCTATTAACCCAGAGAACATTTCATCGTTTATCAAACACCTAACGAAATCACTCCCCAAAAAGGAAAAAGTCCTATTACTCTTTCCCACTCCCTCCTTATATCCTAACGTTAATTGAACGTAAAAAATGCATGTACCGAGGGTTCAGAAGAAATGAAGATGATAACACCAAGAAGAGAATTAATGAGCTTAGTAAAAGTATTCATAAGTTAATATGGCAATTCAGATCTTCCAGATTTATTGAAGCGTGTAATAAGTAATAATATCAAATAAAGTAAGGAAAAATCTTTCTGGAATTAAGTCAAAAAACTATCAAAATATAAAAAAATATCCAGCCCGTTTATCTTATAGATCCATCTGATGGCTCCAGCTGTAACACTGATTTCGAAAAGGCACAAGTACGTGCTAAATATCTCGAAGAATGTTTTAAAAAATCGGAAAATCACTTATTCGATTACGACCATCATGATCAGATTGAAGACTAGTTTATAGCGTTTCATAACACTGCACAAATTTCTAGTAACAGATTCAATGTCGACGAAGATGAATACTGGGAATTGTTAAGCAAGGGAAAAAATATTTCGGTCTTCTATGGTAAGCTGACACGAACAATTTTTAGACAATTACATCATAACATTCATGCACATGTAAAAAACATATTCAACTTTTGTGTCCAAAATCAATACTTTCCTAATGAAAGGAAAACTGGGAGAGTAGTATGCATCCCAAAAAAAAGACTGGAACCTACAAACGCCTTCTGGTTATCGTCCTATAACGTTGCTTCCTGTCATCGGGAAAATGTTTGAAAATCTTATTATAGTAGAAACCACGAGAGCTGGCAGTGACAGATCGCTTAAAAATGGTATGAATCAAGATATGGACGTACGACTTAGATTATTTCACTACATACATTTAAATGTAGGTTATGTTAGTAATGGAGGTTATATGTCAAACATTGTCAAAGATATTATTTAATGATTTTCCTTTCAAAGAAAACATTTTCGGCTTGTGAAAACACTAACAGATTCATGACAACGCTCACAAGACATTTCGATTTGAGGTTATAATTGTAAAGGCACATCCCTTAGAAGAGACGTACTTTTTCGACGTGGCTATTTGAATTGTACAGCAGACATATTAAACTAATACTATCTCTTTCTAACACACATTACTCTCTAGCGGTTTGTGAACTACGTATGGCATTTGTAAGAGCGGAAAACGATGATTTACTGCCAGCTCTCGTGGCGTCTACTATAAAAAACGACTGCTAATGTATGTTGAAGATAAGATGCCACATAATCAGTTTGGATTTAGAATAGGGAAATCGACTATACATCCACTAGCTATTCTTACTTCAAATCTACACACTTGTCGCTTGCAGCAAATAAAATCAGCAGCTCTTTTTCTAGACATACAAAAAGCGTTTGACTCAGTGTGGCATAATGGTCTGATTTACAAATTACACAAATTAAACGTTCCACCTGAGTTACTCAAATTACTGTCAAATTTTTTAAAACAATCCAAATGAATTCCAAATTCTACAAGGCGTACCACAGGGTTCGCCGCTCTCACCAATACTATACAATGCTTTTGCATATGACATGATGGAAATTTCCGCGCTGTCTACCAATTTATATATGTTGCAATATGCCGACGACACTGCACTAATAGCGCATGGGAAGAAACTTGAAACAGCCATAGTAACATTACAAGAAGTAACTAACAAAATAACTAAATGATGCTCTTCCTGGAGAATTAACATAAACGCTTCAAAAACACAATTTCTAATACCATTCCATAGGATAACAGATAATTTTCCAACAGTATACATCAGACAGACGCAAATCAGTCCTTCAGCGAACATCAAATACCTGGGTATAATCTTTGACAACAAAGTGAAGTCGCATATACACACAAAAAAGGCTAAAATGAAAGCAATCACCAGAGCAAAGCTTTTTAGAAGTTTAACCTACAAGAAAGAAGGCATTAACATCAAATGCGCTGCGCATATTTATAAGACTATTTGTAGACCAATTTTAGAGTATGCAAGCCTATTGACCTGTGATAGCAAGCGATGCACACTAAGGAGTTTGGAAGTTGGCGAAAGAACAAGTCTCCGAGCAGTAACGAAAATGAGACACCCGAACAATTCATTGCACAACATCGCAAATAAAATGCTGTATGAAAAAATCGAAATAAAGCCTTTGACGGAGCGACTTCTAATTTTAGCAAACAAATCTAAGAGCAATATGGCTGAAGAAATGTCACCCCTATTTATACAAGGCTGATAAAATTTTAATTACTGAGATGGGGCGGAAGGATTTTGGTCGATAGCTCTTTTTAGACTTAATCTTGAATGTACATTATGTTGTTGTTTATGTTATATATTGTTTTTAATTGTCTAAAATAAATTCAGTGTCTCTCTCAACTCATCGAAATTCGAAACCAGAACAACCAAGAGTTGAATGTACCAACTTAGAATCCGAATTTGTATACAATTTTCCCTAGTCATTGGAAGACTGATGTTGAAATGGATATCAAGATGTATCATCTGATAAAAAAAACTTCATATTGTTTTCCTAACCTAAGAGATGCGATCTCAGACGTTCAATTAAGAAATTTTTCACGCGATTCAAAATCTTCTCCAATCCTCAGCCAGAATATCCATATTTAGACGTGTAGTGTAAAACTATCATAGTAGTATAATTATGTAAAGTTAATATATACAACAAAATTTGATATCTTAATCTACTTCACGTCATTGTAAATGTTAATGTTGATACAGCAGAGGAACTGGATGCAGGAGTGGGCTTGCCTTTTCGTCTGGTGTCAATATCTAGGAGTCAACAACACAAAGAAAACGACCATGTTGTGCAGAGGAAGACGTTCTCCAAACTTTAGTACACATTCTAAGCAAAAAATCACAGGACAATAGCAAAGATGATTCAGAGGGGCATTTTTTATTTAATCTTTTGCCTCACTTTAACAGCCTCCCTGACTATCTCAAACTAAAAGTTCTATCTCAAGCAAGAAGCTATTTACATCCTCAATGAATCAGTTATATCATGCATGGATTCAAGTATACATGGCATGAATGGCATCCTACATGTGTTAAAAAGCCAAAAAGCATTCATCAACTATATAGGTAGGTACTTAATGTATCAGAAGGTTTCATTATCTTGATGTAAATAAATGTTAAATAAAATGTGATATACGATTATTATTATTATGAACGGTAATTTATCTTGCTTCTGTGCCCACTTGAGATAAATAAATAATTTTCATTCAATTTCTTAAAAAATATATTTTATAGAAAAAATATTAGAACCATCTCTATGTTTTTAAAATCACGTTATCTCAAAGAATATAAAAAAATGATTAAAAAGTCATTTGTCATGATATAGGGTTGGGATTTATGTTTCCACTAGTCTTTAAGCCCTATTTTTAAGAGTTTTTTTTGTTATATTTGTATTGGGTTTGGGATGGAATTAATATTTCTTGTGTGATAAACCAATCTACAATATTTTTTTTTTCAATACATTTAACGGATTATTACAGAAAATCAAAGGGGTATTAGTAAAAATGTTGAGCGCTAAAAAGGTTCAGTTACATGGTATCAAAGATAAACGATGGATAACAAGAGATAAAGTAAATCAATACAAAGGATTAGTCACACTTTTTCGTAAGTTCAAATTACTTATTATTACTTTAATAACTTATTTTTCTTTTAATTTAGAAAGAGAAAAAGCAATCGAGGGATATGATAAAGTCGTTGTTAGAAAACAACAAGAGAAAATAGTTCATAAACTTAATAAAAGTTTAAAAAATCAGCGACAAGCTTTAGATAACTGCATTTATGGTGATCGACAAGAAATACGGAATTGTTTAAACGTAGATAATCGTTTAAAATTAGCATACCAAGATTTACCAATAGAGGTAAAAAAATCTTAAAATAAATCAAATTAATTTAAAAATAATAAAATTTTAGAAAATTATTGAGCATATCCACCAAGAAAATTTTAATCTTCGTAAAACGTTAGATCGTTTAATTTATAAAATCAAATTAAGAACAGAACATCTTATAAAATGTAAACTAGAGGTTGCTCAATACGAAGATACAGTAATAGAACTTAAAAAGAAAAATAAAATTGAACTTAAATCGCAAGAGATGTCAGCGTTAGTACAAGATGTTATATTACGAAAAGACGCAGCAATTCGAGTCGGTGTTATTTATCGAAAAATAATTCACTTTATGAGAAAAGATAGGATTTATTTTGATAGCGTTTTAAATACTTTACGTGTCGATTTTTATATACAAAACGATTGCATGGTTCAAGCAATTAATTTGGGACAAATGGCCACAGAACAAAGAGACGATTTAACACTTGAATATAACAGAGTTTTGTTAGCTGTGAAACAATATCAAGAATTATGTAAAAAAGAAAATGATTCAAATTATAAACCCAAAAATTTGAAACAATATATGGTTAAATCTAAAGAACAGGTAACATCATTTATATTTATACGTATATTAAGTAGGTTAAGGTCTTTATTTAAAAAGCTTGTGTTCTTGGGTTCATAAATAACGCTGAACAAAAACGGTCCCATATATTATATACTTTGAAAAGATTCAACAACAACTTTCCATCTATAATTTTGGGAGGCATTTCTTATTAAATCGCAGTGACAATAAAACATTTTTTTTAGCTTGTCGAAAGATGCCAAGATTTACGTCCACCATCTCCATCAATTGAACATCGTAAACTTGAAGAAATATTTAGCAATTTGAAACAAATTACAAAATCAAGTAAATTATGCGAAATACTTCCTTGGTTAGTATTTTAATAATAGTAAAACCTCGATAAAAGGATTAATACGCTATGAAAAATTTTTAACTTGCACTTTAAACTGTTATAAATACAATAAACACCTATTCTATAACATGTATATTTAAATATACTGATGTGTTAAATAGATAATATCAATAGTATGACTTAAAAATATTTCTAACGAGGTCCGTTATATCGAGGTTTTGCTGTATTGCTTCTGCATTTATTTACTTATCTAAATTTAAATTTAAGTATGGAATTGCAAAAGGAACTCTCAAACAAGTTCCACAACATAATTGAAAACTTAACAAAAGGACACGAAAATTTAACGAATAAAGTAAACCATGCTCAATTATCCCTTTCAAATTATCTCTGTTTTAACGATGAACCATTATCTTATCAACAAGAAGTGCAGCAACTAAAGGATACGATGGAAGAAAAAAATAAACAAATTAAAGAAATAAGGGCTCGTCAACAGATTTTAAATCATGTATGCACCAAAGTGGATGCTGCGATTAAACAAATAGATATTACATGTAACCCGATTATAATTAAAAAGGAGGTTATCCAAAAAAGTCATCCACAATTTACTCCTTATTACGAGCAGTACCCGTTTACAAAACTGTTTGATGAGATTACGTTGAAAATTTCGTATCTACAATCTGTTTATAGCGACTTAGATACATATTGCATTCCACAAAGAGACAAAAGTTTGTACAAAAATTTATTAAAACCACTCAATTCTGCTATGTTGAAAACTACAATGAAAAAACAGTCATATATACAGTTTGCGCAGGCCGAGGACCCATTGATACTCACCAGGGAAGGTGTTAAAGAAAAAAGTTTAGAATATGCTATGAAAGCTAAAATGATTTTAGAAGATTTGTCATAAAAATTAAATAATAAAGATGATTTAACTGTTATAATAAATTATTCATTTGTAAATATTGATTTATAATAGTTCATAACTTCTTTGATTTACGATGTACAGATTTCTTAAATTTTAAAGGTGCACCAAGAACAGTTTTCCAGCATCCCCATGAAACGAGAGATATCTTATTTAGTACATTTCACTTACAACTTTCAAGGCAAGTATCTCTGAAATGGGTACATTAATGTAATTAATGTAACTGACTTCAGTTCTTAAGTATTATTGTTTATCATTGTACAAATATAAAGTGGCGCAGCAGTCAAAAGAATCTTTCTCTTCATCACTAACTTTTTTTCTAAAAATTCATTTTAATTTAAAAAAATTAAAAGATGCATTTTAATTAAAAAAAATATATAATCAAAGAAGTATAAATAAACTTTAAAAAGACTGGAATAATCATAATCCATACTTCAGCAAAAATTTAAGAATTATACTGGTGAAAAGCCAAACTTAAGGGAATAGTCGGGAAGTCTCTGGTCAGAAGGTTAATTTACAAGAAAAAGTCTGAAATCGCAATAGTTATAAACTAGACTTCAGCAAAAAACAGGAATTACATTGTTCAAAGTCCACATGAAGTCTAAAATTACTGTTCAGAGAAAACAAAAAATTGATTATATACCAAACATGATTTTTCATGGCAATACTTATGTGTTCAATAAAAGAATGCGAAGAATATGAACAAGAAACCAATGGACTTGTCTTGTTATTGCACAGGACAGAAATCACCAATACGGAAACTTTGCCAATGCAGGATAAACACAAAAGCAAAGTAACAGCTGCAGAAATGAGGTACTGGGTGGTACAAGATCCGTATAGATAATAAGAGGCTCCCAAAAAGATGATGATAGACACCCAGAAAGAAGTAGCTGTCAGTATCAAGAACAAAACATACATAACGTTGGCAGAAGACTAGATACTGCTTCTAAAAAACTAAATACTGCTTTCTGAAGACTAGATACTGCTGACAGGTCTAAGTACTGCAAAAGAAAGATAAGATATTGTTGGAGAAAACATACATAACGTTGGCAGAAGACTAGATACTGCTTCTAGAAGACTAAATACTGCTTTCTGAAGACTAGATACTGCCGACAGGTCTAAATACAGCGTCTGGAACACTAAATACTGCCTTCTAAAGACTAAAATTGCTTTGTGGAGACTAAATACTGCTTTCTGAAGACTAGATACTGCTAACAGATTTAAATACTGCAAAAGAAAGATAAAATATTGTGGAGAAAACATACATAACTTTGGCAGAAGCCTAGATACTGCTTCTAGAAGACTAAATACTGCTTTCTGAAGACTAGATACTGCCGACAGGTCTAAATACAGCGTCTGGAACACTAAATCCTGCTTTCTAAAGACTAAAATTGCTTTGTGGAGACTAAATACTGCTCTCTGAAGACTAGCTACTGCTGACAGGTCTAAATACTGCAAAAGAAAGATAAGATATTGTTGGAGAAAACATTAAAAAGGCGCCGGCGCCCGGGTGCAGTGCACCCCTTGCACCCGCCGGTAGCGCCGCCTCTGTTCTCAACATCCTAACAATTTTTGCTACGTAGAAACCTGATATAAGATTACATGATATATGCTGTACGACATGCGCTAAGAATCTTGTATGTTGGGCAAAAGGAACGCGACATATGGCTTTTAGAAAACCCATGATTTGGATAGAAACTGTAGACCACGTATCTAATTGCTGCTTTTGTTTGACTAATATAAATGGGATAAATATCGCGTCAAAACATACTGTGAAATATGAAACTGTACATACATTCTGCACATAGTGCTGATTTATCTACATCTGCAGTGCGAAATCAGACAAGCGTCATTTGTCTTAGAAAATGATGCCATCGATTTACCTTCATGTAGTGCAATTGGATATGAAATTAATGATCCAACCTATATACCTGATAGAAACCTGACTAACTACTCTTAACAGTCTGGTTCGCGACTTATAACTATCAAAAAATCAGTCTGAAATTTAGTTATATAATAAGCGTTTTATTTATAATTTAAAATATTCTACAATACATGTATACACCTAAGCCCTCTACCCTCCTCCCCCATCTCCACGCCCTCGGCTCCTCGCCCAAATCACCTCCCTCATCTAGCTTCTGCCCTTCCTTTTTTCCATNTCTGGAACACTAAATACTGCCTTCTAAAGACTAAAATTGCTTTGTGGAGACTAAATACTGCTTTCTGAAGACTAGATACTGCTAACAGGTCTAAATACTGCAAAAGAAAGATAAAATATTTTGGAGAAAACATACATAACTTTGGCAGAAGCCTAGATACTGCTTCTAAAAGACTAAATACTGCTTTCTGAAGACTATTGGAGAAAACATTAAAAAGGCGCCGGCGCCCCCTTTTAGGCGGCGCCCGGGTGCAGTGCACCCCTTGCACTCCCGGTAGCGCCGCCTCTGTTCTCAACATCCTAACAGTTTTTGCTACGTAGAAACCTGATATAAGATTACATGATATATGCTGTACGACATGCGCAAAGAATCTTGCATGTTGGGCAAACGGAACGTGATATATGGCTTTTGGAAAACCCATGATTTGAAATATACAACTGTACATACATTCTGCACATAGTGCTGATTTATCTACATCTGCAGTGCCAAATCAGACAAGCGTCATTTGTCTTGGAAAATGATGCCATCGATTTACCTTCATGTAGTGCAATTGCATATGAAATTAATGATCCAACCTATATACCTGATAGAAACCTGACTAACTACCTAACTACATGAAAGAAACTTCATTTCCTAACTTAAGCTGATCTTAACAGTCTGGTTCGCGACTTATAACTATCAAAAAATCAGTCTGAAATTTAGTTATATAATAAGCGTTTTATTACTTATAATTTACAATATTCTACAATACATGTATACACCCAAGCCCTCAACCCTCCTCTCCCATCTCCACGCCTTCGGTTCTTCGCTCCAATCACCTCCCTCGTCCATCTTCTGCACTTCCTTTTTTCCATCAACAGATACTTTGGCAGTTCCTATCTCTCCATACCTTACATTATATCTCCCTTCCCTTATCTGGGACCTTCTTTCCTGCCTCTGTATGTCCCAGTTCCTATCTCTCAGTTCTCTGCATATTTCACATCTCTCCACTCTTCTGTTGTCGATCTCAGTTAGTTAATATACTCTCCTATAATATCCTTCCCTATCTCCGTGCCCATAGATCAGCCTCCTCTCCTTAATTTCCCTCCAGCACTCTCCCTGGATCCTGTAATACGGTGTTCCTTCTAACCTTCCCTCGTACTTCACTGCCCTTCTCCCAGCCTCCATCCTTACTGCATCCATCCACCTTAACCTCCTCCCTCACTACATACCCTGGAATCTTCCTCGCCAACCCTAGCCCTCACGTGCGACCCGACCTTATTACTTTCCGAGAACCTATATCTCGGGTACGTATACTCTTTCCCTCTTCCCTGCCACCTCCATTCTTTCTCTCCTCTTTCTTCTCCCCGCTTTGCAAAACTTCATGTTCTTTGTCTTCTCGGTGTTTACCTCCAATCTCTTCGTCTTAAAATATCTCTCCAGAGACCTTATCATCTCCTTCATCTCCACCGCCTCTCTTGCCACGACCACCAAATCATCCGCTTACGCTAACGCGCGCACCTTCGTTCCTCCTATCACCACCCCACCCATCTGCCCCCTCTCAAATCTCTCTTCCAAGTCCGTATATTCCAGAGGTTGATGATCTCATGCTCTAACCCTATTCCACATACCTTGGTTTGCCATTGCATAATCTACTACTGACGCCCCTTGAAATTTAGTTTATTGCAATGATAATACTTCAGTCGTGAAGTTGATAAATATTAAATTGAAACCACAAGATTGGCGTTTGTTTATAGACTCGTCAAAACCAGTTTAAAAGCTGTACTGTTGCATAATGTAAATTAAATATAATAAATAATGTAAGATTTCCCCTGTTCCGGTATGAAAGAAACGGAAACAAGAAATTTCTGCTAGAAAAAATCCAGTAAACCAGATTTTCATTTAAACTACGTAGTGATTTAAAACTCGGCATCTTCTAGGATTGCAACTGGATTTTGCAAAGTATTGTTGCTTTTTATTTAGTGGGACAGCCTTATGGAATAATAATAAAGTAAAAAATGCCGAAATAGTTCTAAACTTATAATTGTTCGAAATTACTTCCATTTTCATGCACGCACAATTCGAATCATCTTACCAATTCAACATTACACACTCTAAGTAATGTGGCGCAATTAATTGCATTAATACTTGGATAAATTTTTGCGCTTAAATCCGCCATATTGATTTTTGGTTCTTTATATTGTACTTTAAGGTATTTCAAAGAAAATAGTCAAACGATGTTAAATGGGGAGATCTTCCGAGAAACCTGCGATGCAGATACTGCAGATACACCAAAGCTTCATTTCATTTCGTGTATTTTTCTTTTTAATTCCTGCGCCACCCCAGCTGGTCTATGAATGATTTCTTTTAGGTGGTTGTATAACTCTTCTGCAGATTTATCAGTTACTGCTTCGTCCAAAATGTTATCTAATCTACGTTTATACAAATATCTAAAGCTTTCCTATTTCAAACTTTCTATATTGTACTGTGTTATGTCCAACCTGTCTGTTAACCAAAAGTGTACACATATAACTAAATCGCTATTCTTCGCATAAAGGGTTAGATATTTTCTAAAAACTGAACTGTATGGGCGTAATGAATTGTATACAAAACATAAAAAATAAGATTTCGGAACAACCAGAAAATTTTAATCTAATTTGATGTGTCACACCCTACATCTACTACAAAATTCACTTTTGTAAACATAGATGGCACAATTTTTAGTGTTTTGTTTTCCGCCATCTTGATTTTATAAAAACAAAGATATCTTGCGTATTATAATACTTAGATATGTCGAGTTTGGACTCATTTTACGTGTTTTTCAATTATCTACCGAAATATTTCCAAAATCATTTGTTTTCGGCCATCTTGGATTTTATAAAAAGTCGAAATATCTCGAAAAGTAGCAAAATAGGTTTTGTTTGGACTTCTCAATCTTATATAAATAGTGTAGCTCAGTCATTGAACAACCGCTTGCAAGATATCTGGAATAATTATTTACTGACTTGTTTAAATACACTTATAGTTCAATTTATTTCCAATTTATTTTTTATAGGGACGTTATTACTTATTACAAAGAAAGTGGAAAAGTTTAAAGGATAATTTCGTCAGAGCAGCGAAAAAGGGAAAATCTGGATCGGATGCGTGTAAGAACCCTTACATTCATTACCACAGATTACGTTTTCTGAAAAGTTCTGTACCGAGAAAGGATAGGCATAATAATTTCGTTAACAATGATGAACCTGCAGAAGAGAGAAATAGCGACACGAATGATGCTGAAATTTTTCCATTTTCTCAGCCAAAGGTTAAGAAATTGAAAGCCAAAAATAGTGATGACAGGTTTATTCAAGTTTTAGAAAAGAGCATGAAATATTCAGTTAACTGAATTCGCAAGAAGCAGTTACAGAAGATTAATTATTTTGCCTATCTTTAGTTAATGAGTTAAAAAAAATCCCCGAAAACCAGCGTTAAAGCTAAGATAGATATATACAAAATCATAGCACAACATCATGGTCTGGATTACGAATCTCCTTCAGCAAAATTCTCTTCAAACCCATGCAACTCACCCCAATCTAACCCAACCCAACAATACTCAAACAGTTATCGTTCTCAATCCAATTCTACCCTACCCAACCCAACTATAACCAAATTAACCCAACCCAACGTAATCCACCAACATTCATATGGTTACAGCCACACAACTGAGATTTATAAATAAGATTATAAATCTATCTTAAGATTTATCTCTAGCGATGAATCAGAAATGGATTTTACTAAAGAAAATAAGATATAATCGTGTTGATTAATTAAATAAATACTTACCTTAAAGTTATTATAAGTTTGGAAGAACTTCAGCCTCCTCCTCTATCTGAAGTGCATGGCGGATTGGTATAATAGATGAAGTTTGCGGCTATAGCTGTGAGGTGGTTGGATCAGGAGGATGGAAAGTAATGTTAGTTGCACTTGAGGGATGAAAATAAGAGCACGTAGAAGGTGGCCGTCTGGAGGAGTGTATAATTTCTGCTTCTGCTCCAGATACTGCCTGGAAAACTTGCGATTTGACCCTATGCTGATAAAGGGGAGACATTCGTTTTGTTACTTAGTACATGGAAATGAAAAAGTTATATAGGGGCTCATCCGTGTTTAAGTTTTCCTCCGATAGTTTTCTCCTATCTTCCGGTCGTTGTCGTGTCCTTTCTTCTCGCTGTTGAATCGATCGACTCATAAGATCACAGATGTCGATAGTGCAGCTTTTTCTTTTTCCGCGGGGTCTCTGTTGTTAAATTTGGAGTTGGAAGTGATGATACAGTTGCACGCTTCCTTTGTCATCACCATTGTCTCCAATAGAACCTAGGGGTTGCTCAACGACAGTTCTTTCACCATCAATTGAAACTTTTCCATTACAATTCAGTTGAGTGAACTCTGCGTTTTCACTACGAGCAGATGCCTCGTCCTGACTTTCCAAATTTTCACTCCTTGATGGTTCTAGTGTCGATACGTCCGGTATCATTACACAACTAATCTTAACTAAAGAGTTCGTGCAGACTGTGTCGCGTCGTGTGATGAATTTGCACCATCCCATTCATTTTCTCTTGCTACAAAAGTACATGTTGCGCTGTCATATGACACGCGTCACATGTGTCACAATTTGCGCTTAGCCTTAAAGTGCCATGCGGATTCCTGCGTAGGCGTCCATTGTTTTTCCTATTAGACGGTTCTATTATCTGCAGCATTCTGTAATGTTTGAAAGTCCTGTATCTCTGTCCACTGACTGAATATTTCTTAGCCACGATAATTTTTTTCTATCTATTCCACTTTTTCCTCCCTCAAGTTTTCCCTGGAGAATGAGGTGTTTGAAATTGTATCGTTCTCCTATTTCAAACTTTCTATATTGCACTGTGTTATGTCCAACCAGTATGTTATCTCACTTTGCTTTATGCTGATATCCCACTTTTTTTTAACTATTTGAGCTTTCACAAATGATTGGTGCCACAATCCATAACTCCAAACACGCGTAGATTTTTTGTTTTTAACTTGGCTTGCTGTTTTAGAATTATGTAGTCTATATTGGCAATTTTCTTCTCTCCATGTATATTTGGGCACAGGATTTCGCATGATTTGTGTCACATAGGTCGAACAAAAAAATATAATAACCATAAAGAGAGTGATTTTTTATTTCGTTTTATAATAATATACATTGAAATGTCATACATGCAATACAATTTGAATAACATAGACTGAATATTAGATATTTGTTTCTGGTATACTTAACATTGATTTTAAGCATCACTTAAAGCAGCGAATTTATTTGTGCTTGCAACAACATCCTCAGTGTCACTTATTTCCTCCTCACAAGTACTCTCTGAAGACTCATCTGGACCACCACAAGCCGCAGAATGCAATTCATCGCCATCATCATCATCCGACAAATCTTCAGGAGGAATATTTTCGATATTTTCCATATCGCTACCGCCTTTAGCTTGAATCCATTTCACAATTTCAACATCCGAATGATTTAACCAGAAATCTATCAATAAAAATTATTTAATTATAATATTATTCCTTTTTAGAAAACAAAAACCTTTTCGTTCAGTGTAATGAGGTGGTGTTAAACTTAAACATAATTTTCCATCCAAAGCCATTCTTAAAATACTATTTGCAGCTCGATAAGAATCCAATCGAGCTGCTTTTGCTGTTATAAGACCTCGTTTTTTAGCCCAACCGTCACAAATATCCATTGCTGACCAAGAATCATCACCATCTGGATGATCAATTTTTAATAATTTTGGTAAATCAATTCTTTCGGCTAAATTGAATAAATTTTAACATTTTATATTTAAAACAATTTAATTGGTTACCTAAATATTTAATAGTTGTATATGGTTCTCTTAATTGAGCAATAGGAAAACTTCCCATAAGTACTTGACAAACCTTTGGAACTTTCGAAGGAAAAACTAACCCTGGACAATCACACAATCTCACATTGCGTGTTAAAAAGATTGTTTGGAAATGTTTTGTATGACCAGGAGTTCTTGAAACGCTAACAACTTTTTTTCCCATCAAAGCATTCATAACTGAAGATTTTCCAACGTTCGGTTGACCAATACAACCAATAGTTAAAACTCCATCAATATATTTATTGTGTTGATAAAACCCGGTATCAATTTTTTTGATACTTATACTCTCTTCGATTTGTACCGCTTCGTTTTCATCATATTCCATCGACATTTCTTCTTTGATTTTATTTTGCCAGGAGGCTAAATCAACTTGCTCTTTAACAATATCTTTGCAGATATCGAGAAGGAGTTGAGCTCCTTCAGAAGCCATCTTTAGCTTCCCTTTACGTCGGCGTACTTGTAAACCGGATTTATTCGATTGATTTCCAATTAAATTGTAACCTGGCAAAGAAGTAAACATCAAAATGTGTAAGTTTGGGTATTTCTCTTTGAAATAGTTTTTCCAAGCCGCCACTAAAGGAGCTGGGGATAAATCTATTTTATTCATGACTAGAATCATGTCCTTTTTTAATACGTTTGTTGTGTAATCATATAAAGAAGGTGGAAACATCAAAGCTGGAAATCTGATATCAATGATAAATAAGATTATATCCGACATTTCAAGTACTCTCCATAATTGTCGCCAAGTTTCTAAGTTGAGTTCGAAATAACTTAAATCTTTCCATGAAAATTTCTTTTCTAAATGATTTAAGTACTCCTATAAATACAAAAAAAAATTAAGGAAAAATTCAAGAATCATCATGTATTTTTTTTTAATCGATGTGAAATGACACAAAAAACATGTTAAAAATAAAAAGAAAGTGCGGAAAAGTGTAGAAGACGTATGGCTAAACGCGAATGTTTCTAATTCTAGGTGTAGTATTAGTGATATCTTATGCTAACTAGCGCTATATACCTACCACTGTCACTAGAACTAACATTAGACCTAAAATTGGAAACATTCAGGTTTAGCCGTCTTAAGAGACGCACGGCTAAACCCGAATGTTTCTGGTTCTAGGTCTAGTGTTAGTTCTACATTTCTTTCAATAAAAATATACCACAATCTAACGCTAAACAACATTTAAAACTAGAACTAACACTAGACCTAGAACTAGAAACATTCGGGTTTAGCCCCACGTCTCTCAAGATGGCTAAATCCAAATAATTCTAGTTCTAGGTCTTGTGTTAGTTCTAGTGACAGTGTTAGTGTAAAACTAGAACTAACACTAGTTTGAAGACGAACGGCTAAACCCGAATGTTTCTAGTTCTAGATCTAATGTTAGTTCTAGTGACAGTGGTAAGTAGCACTAGTTGGCATAAGATATCACTATGCTGCATATTTTTATGTCTTCAGACGCACGGCTAAACCCGAATGTTTCTAATTCTAGATCTAGTGTTAGTTTTAGTGCAATAAAAATACACTCATACTTCATTATACGGTGGTGATATATTCTTCTAATGTCGGCAGCAAAAAATATTCCCCGAAATGCCGTATAACGAAACTACATGTACAGGGTGGGCAAATTTGGGTGTTATTATAGGCTATCTCAGAAACTATAAGAGATACGAAAAAAGTAGGTGCCATGTCCCGGTCTCTTTTTTCGAGACTAATCCAATCCTGCAAACCCCAACCTCTATCTTCTTTTGTTTTTAAGTTATAGCCAAAAAGTTAAATTTTCGTGATTTCAAAAAATACTCAAATTTCGTTTATTTTTCAAATTAGAGAAATGGGGTTGATACGTTCTTAAGACACTTTTTTAAGTAGAATATACTGCCGTTGAAAAATTTTAAACATACTTGATGATTTTTGAGATACAACACAAAGTTGTGTTTTTTTAAATACAAACTATACTTGATTATGATGTTATTGAAAAGAGCATACTTTTAGCTTTCCAATGATGTATCGCATGTATGGTGTCTTTGCAAAAAATAAGCGTTAATTTTCAATTCCAAAATAGTAAGCGCCATGGTTCAAAATTTTGATTATAGTAGGCGGGTCCGGACAATAAATACTACCTAGTGGCTATAATATATGCCATATATGGTTTTGCACGAATATCACAGAATAAAGGTGGTTTTACTATTATTCAGGATAACATTGGTTTTGTACCAACGAATAAAAACTTTGAATAGTTAATTTAAATTTCTCAGCATCTTATCCCTGACTTTGTTCACCCTGTTCAAAATACGTAAATGCAGTGGCCAACTTTTTTAAAGTGAATTGTGGGATTGTGATGTCAACTATTCCGTTCTTTGCAAATTCAATTAACTCGTCATTCGAAAGTGACATCCAACAAATTCACGACAATTTCCTTCCAAGTCGTCAAAACCAACTTATTTTGCTATGTTTTGTCTAATTTCTGGAAGCAGGTGATCAGGGCTACTGTTGTTAGTTGCAGGACTAAGACAGTCGGGCAAAATTTTTTCCATGCGCGGTTTAATGTTGTTGATTTCAACTCATCCCATGATTCGCCAATATTGGCTACAGCATCTTTTATATTGAATTGCGTCCAAAACTCATTAATTGATAATGTTATTGGTTTCATTAACACGTTTTCGAAACGTTTTCCGCAAGTAGTAAGGTTTGAATGTTCCTCTTACTCCTTGATCCATTGGCTAAATCATGGCAGTTGTATTTTTAGGCAAATATTCAATTTTCATATCTTCAGACAAGTCCGATATAGTGGTGGTATGTCCAGGAACGTTATCCAAGAGAAGCAGAATTTTTTGACCCAAATTGTTCTTCTAAACAAATTCTTCCATTTTAAGACAAAAGTGGTTATTGAACCAATCTTGAAAAAGGATTTTTGTCATCCAAGCTTTTTTGTTAGATCTCCAAACAATAGGTACTCTAAATAGGGGAATTACCAAGTTTAGGCGTAATTCGAAACATCGCAGGCCGTAAAGCGAAATAGAGATATATTTTAAAGAGGCCGTGATAGCGAATCGCCGTATAAAGTGGGCCGTATAGGGAGGTATGAGTACATATATGCAACATAGTGATATCTTATGCTAACAAGCGCTACCTACCACTGTCACTAGATCTAACATTAGAGCTAGAACTAGAAACATTCAGGTTTAGCCTTCTTAAGAGACGCACGGCTAAACCCGAATGTTTTTGGTTCTAGGTCTAGTGTTAGTTCTACTTTTCTAACTAGAACTAGCACTAGACCTAGAACTAGAAACATTCGGGTTTAGCCGCACGTCTCTCAAGACGGCTAAACCCGAATGATTCTACTTCTAGGTCTTAGATTAGTTCTAGTGTAAAACTGGAACTAACACTAGACCTAGAACTAGAAAGTATCGGGATTAACTGTGCGTCTTCAGACTACCTAACGACTAACCCAACCCGCAATTTACAACTCACCCTCTGCTCCATGCCTAACCATTTGAGACATTTGAGAAATTCGCACTGGTTTAAATGTTAATTAACCTAACTCAACAAAGTGGAGTTTCTACACAAAATTCTGAAATAAATCAGTAAATTAGGTGGTTCCGAATGTAATGTTTAAAGAGGGTGGTAGGGCATCAATTATAGATTTTAGATTATCTTCCAAAAATATGCGTTTTAACCAAATGTGCTGCGAAAATACAGTGTGTTAATTAATTATCGTACCCGACGTCATTATTACGGTTTATCATAAAGCCGATTAAAATTACAGATTTCTGTATTATTTTGATATAGTAGTAATTAATAGATGGAAGCACCATTTTTTTTAATGCTTCTGAAGTATTAAACTTAAATAATAACGATAAATTTAGTTATATTTATTACAAAAAACGAATGTACAACTTCATTTGAATCAAGAAAAATTGAAAATTGAAATTCTAAAACATCAATTATTTTATAAATTGATATATTAATGATAAGGGCCTCTTCCCATTGGAGTTCCCCACCAGGACCTACGCAAATCGCGTATTGCAGTACCAATACTGTGGTATTGGTTGCATACTTCCAATAACGTCGGGTATGATAATTAATAGACTGCCTAAGTAGTTAGCAGTTAAGTGATATAATTAGCAACACAGTTAGCAACGAAAATGTTTGGAGTCGGTATAAGCTTCGCCCATCTCTATGACGTCAAGACTTGCAATGATGACGTAGGGTACGATAATTAATTAACACACTGTATATGGTTAGCACGGTCGATGACGTCACAAAAAGTGACGTCACGTCGAAACTTTACCTAAAGTGATTGTTCAGTAAATTTTACACTTTTACGCATTTTTTTTATTTGTAACGGCTTACTTGAATGATTTCCCGTCGATTAAAAAAAAATTGTCGATTTTGAAGCCACATAATTCTTGAATTATACCAAAATTAATTTTAAGCATATGCAACCAAACATACACAAAGCAGATAATTATCATTTAAAGTAAATTTAAATTTTAAATTACTTACCATAAAATATCTTTGCTCCCTCATTTCTACTTCTTCTCTAGACATGTCGTAAGACCATAAAGGCCTCTTTGGAAAATCTAAATCTTTAGGAAAATATTCATCGCCATTAATTTCCAATTTATCTTCGCTAATATACTCCAAAGAATGTCTAGCAAGTTCTTTTCTTCGTTTAATTTCCTCATCAGCTTCCTTGTAAAATTGTAAAATATACCGATTTCCCTGTTTCCCCCTTGTTGGTTGATAATTGACTTTTTGAACAGCTTCAGAGCCATTCTCTTCGTCGTCGGAACGATCCATCAGCAAAACTTTCTTTCGATTCGCTTTATTTATAGGTGTTAGAGGAAAATAACGAATGGTTTTTTGAGGCTCTCGTTTACTTACTACCCCTATGGTCCTGAGATTGTGGATGTTTCCCTTGTTTTTTAGCCTTGAGCTGTTCTTTCTTCGCTTTTCCGCTGAACGGAATTTTCCTTCGTCCTTGTGGCATTTTCTTTCATACCCGAAAGAGGAAAAATTACTTTTTTTTTCTCACCAAAACACACTTTACACTGACAGATAAAAAGCAGATAAATAACAAGGTCACGTGACGTTTATGTTAACCCTTTAGTTAAGGCGGGGTGTTTAAAAATTAATTTAAAACATTATTTCAACAGTTTATGTGGTTCAAAGCGAACCTTTCAGTACTAAACAGATTTATTTACGTTATCGGAACCCGTGTATTAAATTAGTTTGTAAATGATAATAAACTGCGCGTTAAAATAGCGACTTTTAACTGGTTTAGTACATTTTAGCATAGAAACGGAGACAATCGTTTCAAAGGTGATTAAAATAGCTGACATATCGATTTTCGTGTTCTAATTTTGGTTTTAATCTATTCTATTTACGTTCTCATGAATTTTATACGTTCAATAAATTACGGTTTATCATAAAGCCGATTAAAATTACAGATTCCTGTATTATTTTAATATAGTAGTAATTAATAGATGGAAGCACTGTTACTTTTTTTAATATTTCGTAAGAGTTAAAATTAAATAATAACGATAAATTTAGTTATATTTATTACAAAAAACGAAGGTACAACTTCATTTTAAACAAGAAAAGTTGAAAATTCACATTCTAAAACATCAATTATTTTATAAATTGAGACACTAATGATAAGGGCCTCTTCCCATTGGAGTTCCCCACCAGGACCTACACAAAAATGTTATCATACATTTAATTTAAACAGTGCAAAAACAAAAAGATATTACATTTGTCTGTATTGCATAGTTCTTTCTTGCGTAATAAAGGGTCTCCCACGAGTTCCTCTCACAACTCTTGTGGTGGCTAAAAAATCTCTACTCAATTTGTTATAACCGGTTGGTCCAGTTGGTTGAGCTCCGCAAGTTTCTAAAGCTACAAAATCATCAACATGAAGTGAAGGAGGTCTTGAAGTGTTTGGAGGTCTGGATCGGAATAAATCTGCTCTTTGAGGGATTGTTCTTGGAAATCCTCGTCCTCTTACATTTGGAACTAAAAGTAATAAAAATTAATACTGAAAAGTTAGGATAAAAAAATTTACTTACCAAATGGTCGTTTAATTTTATCTTTTTGTTGATCCGTTAGTTTCTCTTTTTCTGCTTGTTCTGTTTTGTCAATTGCATAAATTCGACAAACTTTTTCAACTTCACGAATTAAGTTGGTGTCTTGTGATAAGTGTTGTCTGCATATTTCTAGTAAATCACATGTAACCTAAAAATAATTTTAAATAATAAATAAGTAAGTGAATAGTACTTTCTTAAAAGCTAATCTAGATATTAGAGAATGATTATCAATATGACAAACCAAACAAGTAGTTAGTTCCAAAGTTATCACTATCCCAGATTTTAAAACTTTTTTATTCTGCTCTCAAGACCTAACTAGAGTTTTCAAAAATGAACCACTAGGACACAAACACAAAATGACATAATATGAAAGTCTAATGTTAATTGAAATTAAACGGCACATATAGACAAAATTCTGCGCAACTGCATTTCTGCAAAGCATGCAGAAAAAACAGGGAGTTCATTCAAGAGAACACTAATAAAGATGTAGAATACTGCAAAAAGAGATTGAGGAGTCCACGCCACAAAAAAGAGTACAATCAGCTACAGAGGTTATTTAAAAAAAATGCTAACAAAGTGTTAGGTAAAAATGTGGGAAAACCCCTCCTAGAGAGGACAAAGACTTAACTCTATGGAATCATCTGAAGAAATTAAAAGTGAAACTATTGACTGCATGAAAGTGAAGCAATTGATTGAGCACATTCAAAAGTTAATTCGGTACTGAACCATATCCTTGCAAGAATTCCAAAAGCATCTGAAGTTACAGTAAAATAGATTAGAATCGATAGACAATTTCACGAAAAGTGCAAGGAATGGACAGTATTCAAAACAAGGCACTGAAAATGTTTCCCGAAAATGCAAATAAGAACTTATCGCAGCCCGAAAACAAGATATAAATCAGTCATTAAGATGAAGTCGAAGAAAAACGCTACATAGAGGAGCCGTACAATACTTGCAGAACTCTCTAATACGCTGTAACTTACTCAGGACAAAAACAGCAAACTATTATTGTGTTATTCGAAGTCGAAAAGAAAGAACGATGCCTACTGACAAATATGATATGTAATATATGCGTACATGATCTCTCAGCAACGATAGCAATAACCAAGGCAGTTTTTCAATTTACAACACGTTCAACTAGTACTGCAGTGGCTTGACAATTGGATTGAATAGACAGAAGATGGAAATACCAACCACAAGAAAGAAAAAAAATTAGAATCGTTCAGAAGCACAATTCTCTACTTCGCAGCAAGTACGCCACAATGCGTCAATCACAGACATGCTGGAACCAATAGAGAGAAAAGAGTAGTGTTATATGCTAGATTAAAAGTGGGCCGAAAATAATGAACGAACTGCTAACTTTAAATAAGCTCATACATTCTAAAGCTTCTAATTCTCCCGACGATATGTCGGATAATCAAAAATTATATATCAAAAACAATCTTGAATGTCAGTAGAATGGTTTCAATTGCAAATGGATTAATAAAAAATGCAGCTGTTGATTTGAAACTTGTTACATTTTCAAATCTATCAATTCACTTATAGCTTTTTTCTTTCCCTTGCTGAGCCAAATTGAGAATTTGGAAGTGCCGTGCGGTGTAAGTCAAATCATCTTCCAAATTCAGACATGGTTTTCCTTCTTCTTTCAAAAATATGGAAATAAGTAAAGAAATATAAAATATTCATTGTATCGTTCTAAGCATTGTAAATTGATAACTAATCTTACAACACAGTAAAATGATATGTCTCTTGGCGATTCACCTCCTTCGTCTTTCAATTCTTCTAAAAATTCTTGAACTAACCACGACTTTTGGAATTTACTCGAATAAAATGTTTAATTTTCCAAAAGAATAATATTCCATTTAGTCCATCCCAGTCTCTTTGTATCAGTCCTAGTTGTATTCCTCTTTCTTAGTATATTATATTATCCCAGAACATATTTGGTCGTCCTCTGCCTCTCTACTACGATTTCTATTTTGCCATACCACTTGACTAACCCATCGGTCTCTCTTGTGTATATCGTTAATAGATTTAATATTCAATTGGCTTCTGATAAATCCATTGCGAATTTCATTTAACTTCGTTACTTAAAGGATTTTACTTAAGGTAAATACTTTTTTATTTACTTTTTTATTTACTTAAGGTAAAAAAAAAATACTTAAGGTATTTTATTTCTACTGCTCTAATGTTATGCTTCTGGTATTTTTAACATTCATGTCGCACAGTTGTAGGTCAAAATTAGTCTATATATATGTTTTATATACGCTTATTATAGTTGCTCTTCAAACTCTGTCATTTTGGCGGATTTCTTGTGCTTAGCAAGAAATTAAGCTGCAGTCCGGTTAGCTTTCTGTTCTGTTGTTAACTTTAGTTTGCTATCTTCCATTGCTTTAAATTTTGTGCCTAGATATGGTATATAGCTTGTTCTATAGCTTGGCTACCTAGTTCTATGTTATTTTTTTTCGTTATCTTTTGATATTAACAATACTTTTGTTTTTTCCTTTATCATCTTCATTCCGTCCATATTGAGTATATTATTCCAGTTGTTTAGTCGAAACCTATTTCGATTCCTGTCATTGGCGAAAGTGCATTTAGAAACATTCACTGGTGTCAGATTTCTAATAAATCGTGATTTTATTATTCTCGTGTACCTGTTTAATTATTTCATACACAAATGTTATGGAAAGTAGTGCGCTAAGGTAGCCTCCACGCCTCACTTTTTCATTAGTGACAAATTCTTCTCATATTTAGTTATTGCTAATGGCGAGTATATTGTACATTATATATTTACAAGTTTTAAGTCTTCAATTCATCTTCTTAGGTATACCCAGTATTTTCCTTAGTATGCAGTTCTATAAATATTCTCATACTCTTTTCCACGACATTTTCAAATATCTATAGCCCTGTGCTTAACTGCAATTCTTTGTACCTCCTTTTTTGTGTATAGGCACTATATGTGCGACTTGCCAATCTCTACATTATTCTAGTTACTAGAATCACATAGAATCCAATTTGATGAAAAGCTTAAAAAAATTATGATGAAGATATGTTACAGAGACCGGCGGTAAAGATGTATAAAAACTTGAAATTGAAATTAAATGCAATGAAAGACAATAATAGACGAAGAATGATTTAGTCCAGCCTACAACTAAAACACTGCACTGCAAAAGATAAACCAATTGAGGGACTCATAAGCGCTGCAAAGAAGCTTTACAAAAATGTTTTATATTACACCGTGAAATTGTGATTAAACCCAAAAGTGCACACATATAACTAAATCGCTATACTTCTTCTTAAAGTACCATGTAGATTCCTGCGTACGCGTTCATCGCTTTTGCTATCAGATGATTCTATTATCTGCAGCATTCTGTAATGTTTAGTAGTCCACTGACGGATATTTCTTATCCACGATAATTTTTTTCTACCTATTCCTCTTTTTCCTTCCTCAATTTTTCCCTGTAGAATGAGGCGTTGGAAATGGTACCGTTCTTTCCGTAGTATATGTCCGAACCGATATCTTTATTTTCATGATATTTTCAAAAAGTTCTCGTTCTCCTAGACCGACCCTTCAGAGAACATCTTCATTACTCAGATGATCGACCCAAGACACCTTCAACATTTGCCGCAGGATCCACATTTCGAAGGCTTCGATTTTGTTGATGATTGATACTTTCAGTGTCCATGTCTCAATCCATCTAAAATTCTCTCTCCTTCATCTGAAGCTGAAATTCAGGTTCTTGTCCGTAAGAAATTTTCGAAATCTTAGAAAGGTCGTACTAGCTTCTTCAATCTTGCAACTTATCTCTTGATCTGGGTTCCATCCCTCATTGACCATGCACCCCAAGTCTCTAAATTGTTTGACCTGTTCGATGATCTCTCCATCAACATGTATTCGAGTGTGTGAAGTATCGTTCCTACTAACCACCATAAGTTTGGTCTTGCTGATGTTAATTTTCAAACCTCGTCTTTGACTTTCTTTATTAATCCGGTTTAGTAAATTTTGCAGATCATGTGCACTATCCGCTAATATCACGGTGTCATCCGCATACTGAATATTTTGTTAATGGGAGCTCTATTTACATTAATTCCAAAGGGACTATTCGAGATTGACTCGGAGAATGCTCTTTCTATGTACAGGTTGAACAGCATCAGGGACAGGATACACTCTTGGTTGAGGATTCGAAAATCCTCAGTTGTTCCAGCGTTATTTACTCGAACTTCCGCTTTTTGGTGACAATATAGTTTTTATCAATCAATCTTGTATCCTTTGCATCCAGTCTCAGATCTCTAAGGTATGTTATCAGAAGATTGTGTTCAACGCGTTATCAAATACCTTCTCATAGTCGATGAAGCACATAAACTCGTCTTTTCTTAAATCTTGGCAATTTTGCATCAGTATGTGGAGACTAAACATGAGTTCTCTGGTTCCAAATCCGCTTTTAAATCCAAACTGACTGGCTCCACTTGCTTCCATCACATTTTCCTCAGGGAAGTGTCCAGAGTCATAAAATTGTTGAATAATCTTACAATTGCTATTACTAAAATTAAATCTTTGTACACGATTGTAATACGATTTTCAATAAAACATTAATCTAGAAAAATATTTTCCAAAAAACTCGATATCAAAAGAAAGTTTTTTGCCTTTTAATCAATTCTAATAACATCCCATATTTTCTTAATTATTGTTTGAATTTAATTTATATATTTCAATAAAAATTGAATGTATTTTTAAATTAAAAAATATTTAATACTTACATTTTCAACATCCGCTTCATTATCTTCAGAAGGTGGTGATAACCAAAACGACGAAGTTAATCTTTGATCAATGCCATCACCAATCGTATAAATAATTCTTCCAGCAAATTGTGTTAATAAAGGTTCGGGTGGTGGTAAAATACATTCTAGATAATTTTCTTTTTCTTCATTTCGATTTGAATCCAATTGTTTAATTAACGAAGTTGAAGTGGTTAATAAATTTTCAAAGCTCGCATCTTCTTTAACAATATCCGTTAATTGTTCTTCAACAAATCTTAACGGATGTGTATTTTCTTCGGGTTTCCAATCGATCAAATTTTGCACATCCTCTAAATTAAGCTTATTTATTCTCGGTTTAAACAAAACCGTCACGTCAACTTCTTCGGGGGATAAAGTACACTTTAAAAATTGCAATAAAATGTTTAACGCAGTTAAACAATCATCGTTATCTTTCGAAAAATTCTTTTCAATATGTTTAAAGATATTTCCAAAAACATTTTTTTTCTTTAACAAGTTTTCTTTGAGATAATAAAAACCATAATCGTGTTCGGTTAATAATAATAATATTCTCATCGTTGGGAGGTAAGTTACAAACGTGTTTTCGTTCGATAAATGTTCGATTATCGTTGAGATATACATTACTAAATGTTCTTTAATCGGAAGTGCGTTTGATAAAAATTTTTCTGACGATAAAGTTTCTTCGGTGAAATTTTGATACAAAGTTATCTCGGTGTCGCAAAAGCTTTGAATAATACTTAAAACGCATTCTTGGGCTTGAATATGAGAAGATGAATTGTTATTAGTTTTTAAGACTTGGCAAAAAGATTCAACGAGCATTGGATATTTTTCGTCACCTTTTATGGTTGTTGTTGTGCTATGTAATAATTGTAAAGTTGCGCATTTTAATGGACTATGTGTCATTAGACATGCTAAAAAGTTTAAAAGTCTTGTTGTGTTATTATTACAAATAATAATTTTTGAGTCATCTTTCGGTGTTAAAACGGTATAAATCGCATCTAAAATACCTCTAGATATCATCGTAGCCGAATTCGCGGCTAAATCACCTAATTGCACGCAAACTCTTCTTAACAAATTCATTAAATTTTGATTTGTCGTTATACACATATGATTTAAAATTTCTTGGATTGAATTGCTGTGGGTGTGGAGGTGAGCGGACCAAAGTTTTCTTAAATTAATCACCCACGATATCTCATCAGAATTTAATTGTTCTAATGTATTTACTGGTAAAGGTAGGGGAAGTAATTCGGAAAATATTAATAACCCGGAAATGAATGTATATGGGGCTGTTGTTACGTATTTAATAACTTCCCCACACATTAAAGACCATAACGATTTATTTAAAGAATCTTGTATTTCATCAGAAACAGGTTGGGTGTAAACTAATAATGTATCGATGATATTCTTGCGAATTTTATTCGTTTTAAAATAAAATAACGAATTTGATGGGAACGTTTTTAATAAATTAAACGTTTGTAATAAAATTGGAACAGCTGTTAAATCCTTAAATTTAACACTTCTGCATTGAATAACATAGGTTAACATTTGTTTTAATAATTCAATTGTGGGTTGGATTATATTAACGATTTGAACACCTTGATTTGAGGCGAAAATGTGTGTGTGCAACGAAGGTTGTTCGTAATAATTACAAATTTTACTTAAAATTTTTAATAATAAATTAACCCCATCCAATGAATATAACTGCAAAATAACATGTTTGTATTTTAATTCGATGTAATTACTTAAAGGGTTTTCCGATAAAACCGGGGATTTATTTGAATACCTTGATATTCCTAAATATTTAATTACATTTAACGATATTATTATTTCCGGGGGATAATTAGTTATTAAATCTAAATGTTTATTAATAATATCAACGTGCAAACTTATATCGTCATATCTTAACGGATCCTCTAAATCGTAAATTGATCGCAAATAAGGTTCGATTTCCATTAATTTATTTGCGACGTAATTTTCAAATAAATCGTGTTGTTTAATTATTAACATAATTTTTGATGTGTATTTTTCTAAAAATCCGATGTTAATCACACAAGAAACTGATAAATAAATTAAATCAACGATGTAACAAATCGAAGGTGATTTTCTATACTTATTATCAATCCTTTCTGAAATTATCTCAATGTAGTTTAAAAGTACATCCATATTTTTGTTTAACGTTAATATTTCAGCGACGGAAATTTTACCTATATTATTAAAAATCAAACAAAACAAACCGTGTAAATTGTTAATAACATCGAAATTGTCATAATCGTACCCATTTTTACCAAGATTTCGAAGCGCATCAAGATGATAAATTGCTTGAACTTTATAAGCGATTTCTAAACCTAAATTGTACGATTTTATTTCTAAAGAATCACTAAATTGTAAATCTTCGTCTGTTTGAATTAACGTTTTCACGATAATGTTAGAAATTTCATAATTTTCGGTTAAATATTCTAAACCTTCCTCGCTCGTTAATAATTGTGATAATATTTCACAAATTGGCGATTTTATCGATGAACGATTTAACGTGTTTGGAAGTGTTAATAATATTAAAAAGACGCTTAATAAATTGTTCATTCTAAAGAAATTTATTAAAACATTATCTGCGTCTATGTTATTTATTTCGAATTGGGCGGCAACGGGCAAAAATCTTTTTGGTTGTGAAAGCGCAAAGTTTTCATTTTGTAATGAATTTAAAATTTGTTCAAGACTTTTTGTTATTAATTTAATCTCGTCGAAATTAAACGAGTAATTTTCATTTTTTACTTTTGTAACTGTTAAATATAATTTTTGGAGGACTTCAAATATATTTAACTTTTTTATGATTGAATTTAACGCAAATTTTAATCGCACCAAAGGATTCTTTCTCATTAATTCAATTAAAGTTTTGTAACCATTTTGTTCCGAAAATTCGATATTTTCATAAAAACCATTCTGTTTTGTTTTAGAAACAAATTTTTCGATCGTTTCACGTTTTTGTAGATACTTATCCAACGCTCGTAGTATCATTAATTTGATAGATAAAGCCATATATTCGATTTGATACAAATTTAATAAAACCTTATCTATATAAAATTGATTTGACCACAATAATTTGATGAAATCTAAGCTGTTACAACACCATTCTGTTAATTTTATACCACATTTAATGTGTCTTATTTTGTAACAAGGTTTGTATTGTTCATTAGCCATGCGATAATCCAAAGCAATTATAATCCAATCTAATAAAGTTTCAGTTATAAATTTTACTTGTCCGATAATTTCTTTATCACTTTCGTTAAAATTTCTCGTCGAATTTTTAGTTTTGCAATAAATCTCAATAATATTACAAAAATGATTCACATTTGTAATTGTGGTCATAACTTTTTCACATAAATGTACTAATTCTTCTTTAATTTCTCGGTCTAATTTAATAAAATCTTTTAATTTATACTCGGTAATACTCGATTTAAAGAAATCGTCGGCTATACCAAGAACGATTTTTAATTCTTCGTCCAACTCAATCGTATCTTTAATCGAAAATAAAGCCGGAGTTGGATATTTTTGTAAATCAGTCGATCCGGGAATAAATTGTTTAATAATATCGTCATTATTTGTATAGGCTGTGTAGTCATAATCTAATTCTTGATAATGTTCGTCATCAACAATATCTTCGTCACTTAAAATCGGCTCGAATTCTTCAGCATCCATCGGCGGTGGTTCTTCAACAACGGGAGATTGAACTTCTTTAATTTCTTTAGCTGGGCTTTTAACACTTGCTTTTATTATTTCTTCTTTTTCGCGTTTTTGTTTTTCGGGATGTAGTTCTTCTTCGGATAAAACTTCAACTTCTTGCGGTGATAGTTCTTTACGTTCCATGTGAGGTGTATGTGGACGTTTTGGTGAAACCATTGGGGGCGTTCTTGGACGTTTTCTTACTTCATCTCGTTCTTCTCGATTATAAGTACGTCTAATACAAAAGGTTTTATAGAAAAACTTATACTTGAAAAATATTTGGTTGTTTAAATTAAAAAATTATTTTAGTAAATTTATTTGTGATTATGGTACAACTTGCTTTTAAGCTTAATCATTAAATAAATTTCAAATTCCTATTTCTTATACTAGAAAACATAGTTATGTCTCTAATTTTTTTAAAGCGATTTAAACGAATTATAAATTAAAAAGGTGTGTATTCTAGACTGGACGTCGCGCCTTTATTTCTTTATGTAGGTGCAATAAAGGCGCGACTTCCTGTCTGAAACACACACCATCCGGATTAGCCAAAACCCTGCTCTTCCCGCTGGACTTATTTCTGTTTCTTTTTAATTTATAATTTGCTTAATTCGCACAAAAAAAATTAGAGAGACATAACTTTGAAAAACTGATTACGGAATATAACAAACGAAAAATTTTGACATAATTTGTATAAATACGCGTTAAAATCCACCCAGCCGTTTTCGACATAACCGCATTCTACACATTAGGCTACCACCTGATAAAAAGTTGAAATCTTTTCATCAAATAATTTTTGAGAAGAAATCGCAACGTGGACAAAGTTTCCAACAGGAAATTTTTAACTTTCTAGCTCGACCGCTCGCTGAGCAATTCAGATTTAAAGGACATAGTGTTAATTGCTAAAAAAGCTTCTGATTAAAAGCACTTGGTATCAACATGTCTTGTCAAAGTCCACATATTTTTGTATGTAGAATCAAACCACGAAATAAAAACTATATTTTCTGTGTGTTAGCGATCGCCAATAGATGGTTCTCCTGGCATTGATCGACACATATTTCCACAATAGATGGCGCATTGGGAGTAGATATAACAAAAAGAAGAAATCGACGTACATCATCGGCAGAAGAAGGATGTGTGAAACGTGTCGTTTGGGCTTTTTCTTTTATATCAGTTTGTTTTTATTGTAATACCTTTTTAGTGTTCTAAAACCAAAATATACAGGTGTTTCTAAATTGATGCGAAAGATTTCAAGGGTTTCATATAATTTCTTGTTCAAAACCCCTTCTCCTCCAAGTTATAGCCCTCTAAAGTTAAGGGAAAGAATCTGCAACTTTCTTATCCTTTCTTTGTTAGCCACTTTACAACTAACAAATTGTTAGTTTGATCACAAAAAACAAAATAATGCTGAGATCAATTTGACATAGCTTCATTTATAAATCAGCGTTTAGTATGAAAGCTACTGAAGAACACGAAAAAAGAAACAGTGGGGGTAATGAAGAGTAATGGATGCAAGAAAACGATGATACTGAGGACAGCAACAGAGACGACGATGAAGACACTGATGATGATGAAAATGTAGACGAAAGACGAAGGTGTTGTTGTGAAACTACACCAAAGACGATGAATAAGAAGAAAACTAAGACGTACGAGGATGATTTATGCATGACGACGAAGTTTATGATGACATTCAGGGATGTTAAAGACACGATTCGATCTTTTGATTGGAAAGGCGATTGTGCGATAGATTGGATAGAAGAATTCGAATAAAACGCTGTTTCATTGGGGTGGACAGACGTGCAAAAATTCATTTATTGCAAGAAATTGCTAACAGGAGTAGCAAAGCTATTTATCCAAAGTGAAAGGGGACTCACGACTTGGAAAAAGCTGAAAATAAAACTAGAAGGTAAGTTTAGCAGATAATTCAACAGTGCTGAGCTGCAAAAAATGTTGCCACGGAGACGTGAAAAGTGATGAAACAGTGGTAGAGCTTTTTTTTAAATGCGAGAACTAGGAAGAGAAAGATGCATTATGTCAATACATAATAGATAGGATCAACTAATAATATTGTTCTGTACAGAGCGAAAAACAATAGTGAATTAAAAAAAACTGGTGGTTTATGATAAGATAAGGAAGCAGAAGCAAACAAGCCGAGACAAAATGAATATAAAGAAGACAAGACCAAGTCAAGAGAGAAACCAAAGTGTTGTTATAACTGTGGCGAAAAGAGCCAATTTCCGACAGATTCTAAATTCAAGGAGAAAGGCTGCAAACAATTTGGGCATAAAGGAAACGGGTGTTCAATCAAATCGTCTTCAGTGACAAATGTGAAACAACCATCAGTGAAGAAAGTTGCAACTATCGAAGGGGGAAATGGACTATAGTGATGTGAACATCGGTGGAAGGAAAAGGTTGGCATTTATTAACCTTGGAGGAAGTGACGTTGTTATGAGAGAACAGACAGCTAATGAGATAAACATACGATATGTGCCACTAACTCTTATGACATTGGCACCACTAACGTAGTAACTATGAACATTGAACTTACGAGTCAGGAAATAGTGCGGTGCAGACCATAGAGTGTGTGAAATTTATGATAGACCAGATATTACCAGATTCGGATAAATGAAGGAAGCTTAAGATTAAAACTCAGTAAATGTGAATTTCTGCATACGCGATTAGATTACCTAGAACTTGAAATTGATAACGTAATGAATTTTGAGACACCGACAAATGTACACGAAGGTTGTCAATTTCTGAAATTATGTAGATTCTTTCGGAAGTTTGTACAAGAGTTCTCATTGCTAGCCAGACCATTGACAGAATTGACTAAGACGGATCGAACTTTTGAGTGGAATGAACTGCAGGAGAAATCGTTCTAAACGCTAAAGGATAGATTGACCCAAAACCCGATACTAGCACTCTATGATTGTAGAACAGAATTGGCAATACATACAGATGCTTGTAAGGATGGGCTTGCAGGCATGCTTCTGCAGAGAAATGATAAAGGATCATTTCAACCATTGGATCGACGAAGTTGACTGGTTACTGACGATGCAGCTCCAGAGTGAAAATCTAAAGCAGATATAGAAAGTTTTAGAAAGAAACCGTACAAAGACAACACAAGAAAAGCAAATTAATGCTGACTACGAGATCAAGAAAAATAGAATTTGTCGAAAAACTGATTTCGGTTTTCGATGATGTTCGATCCATCATCAGTTGTCCTAAGGCAGTAATTTATAGAGTTATAGAAGAGAGTCACTATAAAATAGGACATGCTATATTTGCTATTTGTTTATATTGAATTTCCATTAAGTGTTAACACTTACCGGCCTTATGCTGCTCTACTACTATTGCTCTACTGCTATTACAGCTCACTTACTCAAATTGATGATGTAAACATCAATATACCGGATAATATGAAATAAAAGAATATAAAGTTAGATGATGATTTTCCACATATTTCCATATCGAATAAACCAGCAAAAAAATGTAGTTGAGTTACAACTATGTCGGCACTGAATGTATGTGCGGATTTCGTAGAAGTGCAAATTCGTAACAAGCAGACGAAACTAAATAACTTTTTAAAAAAATAAATACTTAATTGTTTTTTAGTGTTCATATTCTGTTATTATTATTGTAATTTTAAATAAACCTTTTTTTGATAGTTTGTTGATTCATTTTATTAAAATATGTTAGAAAATTATTTTTTGTTTTAATTTATGCATATTTCGCTTTATTGGAGCAACCGCTTTATTGGGTCAGCCGCTTAATTGGGACAAAAAATGTGTCCCAACTAAGCAGATTCGATGCTATACCTTTTCCGTCTACTGACAAACACTTTAATGTGTCTTTTTTAACTACACTGTTCAATTTATTGCAAACAATGGCAACGTTGCAAAAAACTACGAAATAACGATAATTACTGAAAAAATCGGTTGAAATTGAAACATTTTGGATAATAGACAAATGCGATTCAGCTTAGGGCGTTTCATAAAACATTAAGTATACAAATGTTTACGAAGCAGTTTTGTAAACAAAAATTCCATGTCAAAAAACTTATTTACACCAGATAACATTTTCAAACTAACGGAGTTTTCGGTTCTATATAGTTACGTTTACGTTAAGTTTTTGAAATTTTGATGAATTTGGACTACTTTTCGTTCACTTAGGAATAATTTATTTTTTTCATTAGTCCTCTAATAACTCTTATTATTTAGTTTTCTTTCCCATTTTTTAATAGCATTAACTTTTCATTACTTCTAGTCATGCTTATCTTTCGTTAAATAACAAAAAGTCCATAAACTATTTATAAAGAATAATTTTAACCCGAAAGGTCGCGAGCGTCGGTAATACATGACTAGCTAATTTTTAAAGTTCGTCGTTTAGTTTTAACTTTATTAAGTCATCGACTGTAGCTACGATGTTGGGATTCTTTGTACCTTCCTCTGACTTTGTATTATTACCTTTTTGTATATTTAGGACGTTATTCTTTGCAATTATAAAAAACTGTGGTACTTTTTACCCATTCGCGTGTAGATTGCTCGGTAAAATTCCCAATCGATTTATAAAAAGTGTTTTTTTGTAACCAAAGTGAATTATTTAGTGAAATAATGTACCAAGGCCAGGGACACCAAGATCGATCGTACGTTTCAAATTTTTGACACATAATTGTAACACTCGTATGGGACGTAAAAACGCGTTTACAATTAATATGTCCAAAGGTTGTGGTTGAAGAAGAGATATCATGAAAACGTCCAAATTACATCAAGCAGATATCAAGACGTCTGTCTGGGAAGGATTGTAAAACTAAAGCCCAATGCGAAAAATGTAATAAATTTATATGTAGAGAACATGTTGTTCCTGTATGTTTAAAATGCCATCAGTATGTCATGTAACTTCTATTATATTTATGTGTTTTACCCCATACCTATTATATATTTCGGTTAATAAACAGTTCTAAAACAATATATTCATATATGTATATTTGACCTTAATCGTTCATATACATCAAAGGGGTAAAACTTTACAGAGAACCCCATCAAGTCAGCAAAGTTTAAATTTATTTGAAACCAATAAAAAAAACTCCAAAACAAACCATATTTCATTCAATCAAAAAACAAAACCAGTATCAAAAGTAATTACAAATCAGTGTAAAATCTTTTAAAATACAAAATTACAAAAATAAATAAATAAAAAGAGATTTTTTTTAACCCGAAATCATTTATAATTTAAATTTTGAACTAAAAATACAACCACAAAACAATCACCAATTAGTTCTTTTCGTTCTGTTTCTATTACTTCTGAATACCAAAACAAAAACAGAAAAAAAAAGTTTAACAAAACCAACGAATTCAAATAATAAATATCTTCTTACCTGTAATTATCTTGATGCTCATAACTCCTCTCTTTATCCCTTTCACGATCTCTATCTCTTTCGCGATCCCTTTCCGTTCTGTCTCTATCTCGATCGTTTCGATCCCTCTCTCTATCACGATCACCACGTTCTCTATCGCGATCGCGTTCTCTATCACGTTCACGATCCCTCTCTCTATCACGGTCACGATCCCTATCTCTATCTCGATTACGATCGCGATATTCATGACGATCATGATCCCATTCTCTATCACGATCATGATCGCGTTCGCGTCCATCGGGATAATCACGGGATGGACGATCTCTATCTCTATCACGACTGTGTGAGCGTGAGTAACGTCTTTCTCGGTCTCTTTCACGGCGATCTGCTTCGGGGCGATGATCATGTTCTGTTTGGGGTGGTTTTTGATATGGTTGATCTCGAGTTCTTTCTCGTTCCCTATCGATTTCAATCGATCGACTTCTTTGTTTATTATCCCATTCAGAATCGGGGGTTTGATGATAACTTCTTGGATCTTTGGGTACTTCGTTATAATACTCATTGTATTCTTGAGGATAAGGTTCGGGTTGGGTGTAATTTTGAACGTATTGTGTTGCAGGTTGTTGGGAATATTCTATCGAAACAGGTTGGATGGTTTCTTGGGGCCACTCTGACTCTAACGGAGTTTGTGGAACGATTTGTTGAACGTCTGCTATCGTGCTAGATTGAGCGGGAAGAGCTGGTGTCACAGCTGGCGATGCAATTTGTTCGGCTATATTAGCCGTTAAAGTTCCATAAACAGCCAATGTTATTGTAGTGTACCATCCTAAAATTTGATAATAATAATAATTAATTTATGATGTCCACAACATTTTCACACGTCAGATTGTCTTAATTAAATACACATAAATGAACATAAATAAACACATACATGAATATACATAAATACGTGCGTCAAAAGAAAATAAGTAAAAAAACAACCTCGAGTACATATATATATTTTGTAGAAGACTGATTACCTAGCAGCAATATTAATGAGAAATTAATGTTCAAATTAATTGAAAATCATTAGCTGTAGAAGCCTTTAGCAATCAATTCTTTTTTTATAACAGATTTAAAACACTTGATTTCCAAGTTCTGAACGTGAGGAGACAATGCGTTAAAAAATCACGGCTGTCTCCATTTCTGGTATTATATTGGTGACTATCGTTGTTTTTTTGATAGTCATTCAAATTTGCTTTCACATGCATCAAACATGCGAGAATATAAATGCACGGAAAGGTGATAATACCGAGCAGGATGAATTTCGTCCTACAGCACTCCGTGAATCCCGCACGACCCATTATTCGCACATATTTTGTTTGAGCGCGGAATATANGCACGGAAAGGTGATAATACCGAGCAGGATGAATTTCGTCCTACAGCACTCCGTGAATCCCGCACGACCCATTATTCGCACATATTTTGTTTGAGCGCGGAATATAATAATATGATGTGCATGCATAGAATGTCCCCAACACAACACACCTTAAGACAAGACATGTGACAATAAAAGTTTTCGTAACACGCCATAATTAAAACCTCAGGTGGTACCACGCCTACCAAATTTCGCAGAACATATATGCTTCTGTACAATTTTTTCCAAATCCACTATGTGATCTTCCCATGTTAATTTAGCATTTATTGTAGTTCCCAGATATTTTATGAAAGTCACGATATGGTTGGGCTGTTCTCGATTAAGAAAAAAGTGTATGATCTGCGTCTTCGACTGATTGACACTAAGAGGATTCGCTGTAAACGAGTCAAAAACAAGTGTACGTGACCCCTCGATTGTCTTTTAAGATCATCGGGTAGTTTGTGCATATCGATGGTAGTCGTGTCATCAGCCAATATAATGTTCGTATTCCGTGATAAATGGAATACGAACATGATGACCTGCCATGTGGGCAGGTCATTAATGAAAGTAATGAATAGTAATGGTCCGAGTGCCGATCCCTGAAGAACTCCACACTAAACAAGCAGCTTTTCAGATATTTGTGCGGTGTAAGAAACATATTGAAAACGATTTCTCAAATCAGAGCCCAACAAATCTATACCTCCATCTGTAACGTTGTAATTGTGGAGCCTTCGCAAAAGCAGACCATGGGACAAGCAGTCGTAAGCTTTGGTGAAATCATAAAAAGAGGTCTCCAACCGCCGCGGTTGTCGATCTACCCTTCTGGAATCCATACTGGAACTGATTCAGCAAATTATTATCCTCTAAGTGACTTGTTAGTTGGCGGTGCAGAGCTATTTCGAACAACTTACGCAATACCGGTATTATTGATATGGGTCTATAATAACTTACGTCGTTATTATCTCCCTTTTTAAAGACCGGAACAACCCTGGAGAATTTCAAGCAGTCGGGGAAAATTGAGGTTTTAATATATTGATTTATTAGATTACATAGTGAAACAACTATCAAATTCTTTATATGTTTTATAAATTTAGCGTTAAGGGAAAAAGCATCCCTGCAATTAAAACAAAAACAGTTCAAGTTTTTTAAATCACAAATGATATCTCGCAATTCGATGAAAGATATTTCTCTAAACCGGAAAAGTGGGCCAACCTGCATGTCATCCACAGGATTTACTACCCCTGCAATTTAGTAAATAGTTGATGCTCCAATGCTCCCAAAATACGCATTAAAACCGGTAGCTGTTAGTGAAGTTAATGACAATTTTTGTTGTTTCTTTGTGAGATTGCTTGAGAAAATTACTGCCTAAGTTACGTTTTGTATGTTTTTAGAGTTTTTTATATAATTTGTGTTCGCTAACCTTTTACTATTTAAGATAACATTTTTATAAACTTTTCTATGTTTATTCAACATTTGTTTCGTAACAAGTCGCGGATGTTGCTTATACAAAGACGTTAACATTTGAAGTTTATTTCTCAAATTTCTTATATCCTTATTGAACCATTCTCTATTACATACGTAAGAAGCTGAGAACCCAAAAATTAACGATTTTGATGACTAAAATCTGTCATAATTCTTAAACTTAAAATTATAGGGTAAAATTTTATTAATAAATTTTGTTCATTATGAATCCTAGAAAATATTTTTCCTAATCCATTCAATCCAATTTTATTAGTTTCTCTATTATACATCTAACATGTTAGAAACCTAAAGATTGTCATTTTTTAATACTAAAATCTGTTATGGCTCTAAAACTAATAAAGATGGGGCAGAACTTTACTAATAAATTTTGTTCATCAGCNAGCACTCCGTGAATCCCGCACGACCCATTACTCGCACATATTTTCTTTGAGCGCGGAATATATGATGTGCATGCATAGAATGTCCCCAACACAACACACCTTAAGACATGTGACAATAAAAGTTTCCGTAATACGCCATAATTAAAACCTCAGGTGGTACCACGCCTACCAAATTTCGCAGAACATATATGCATCTGTTCAATTTTTTCCAAATCCACTATGTGACCTTCCCATGTTAATTTAGAATTTATTGTAATTCCCAGATATTTTATGAAAGTCACGATATGGTTGGGCTGTTCTCGATTAAGAAAAAAGTGTATGATCTACGTCTTCGACTGATTAACACTAAGAGAATTCGCTGTAAACCAGCCAAAAACAAATGTCGGATTGTCTTTTAAGATCATTGAGTAGATTGTGCATATCGATGGTAGTCATGTGATCAGCATACAATATAATGTTCGTATTTCGTGATAAACACTTGGGCAGGTCATTAATGAAAGTAATGAATAGTAATTGTCCGAGTGCCGATCCCTGAGGAACTCCACACTCAACAAGCAGCTCTTCAGATATTTGTACGTTGTAAGAAACATATTGAAAACGATTTCTCAAATAAGAGCCCAACAAATTTATACCTCCATCTGTAACGTTGTAATTGCGGAGCCTCCGCAAAAGCAGACCATGGGACATGCAGTCGTAAGCCTTAGCTAAATCATAAAAAGAGGAATCCAACCGCCGCGGTTGTCGATCTACCCTTGCAGAATCCATACTGGAAGTGATTCAGGAATTATCCTCTAAGTCACTTGTTACACTTGAGAGAAATAGATTGTACGAATCGTATTATAGAAAAAATATTATACATGCAGCAATTCATTGTATTATATTCATTATATTTATTGTACTGAATACAATCTCGTCTAGCTGTCACTATTCGTTGTAAACGTATCATACCTTATAGTATATTTTTAGTGCATAGTACAAACCATTTCTCTCAGTGTAATTGGCGGTGCAGAGCCATTTAATAGAAACCCTATTATAGAGCCCGATAATTACTTATTAAATGAGGCTTTAATACATTGATTTATGAGATTACATAGTGGAACAACTATTAAATTCTTTATGTTTTATAAGTTTAGCGTTTAGTGAAAAAGCATTCCTGCTTGAACTGTTTTTTTAAAACACAAATGATATCTCGCAATTCGAAGATATTTCTCTAAACCGGAAAAGTGGACCAACCTGCATGTCATCCACAGGATTTACCACCCCTGCAATTAAGTAAATAGTTGATACTCCAATGCTCCCAAAATACGCATTAAAATCGGTAGCTGTTAGTGAAGTTAATGACGATTTTTGTTGTTTCTTTGTGAAATTGCTTGAGGAAATTATTACCCAAGTTGCCTTTCGTATGTTTTAGAGCTTTTTTATACAGGGTGAGTCGAGAGGAACCGACCAAACATTAGGAGTGTATTGTACGCTTGAAACTAATGTAAAAAAACTCATATGTTGTTATACGATTTTCATTTTCAACAAGAGCTCTTAGTAAATGAAGCCTTAAATATTTAGATGTTAATGGTTTATTTCTCAAATTTCTTATATTCTTATTGAACCATTCCCTATTACATACGTAAGAAGCTGAGAACCTAAAAATTAACGATTTTGATGACTAAAATCTGTCATAATTCTTAAACATAAAATCATGGGGCAAAATTTTATTACTAAATTTTGTTCATTATGAATCCTAGAAGATATATTTCCTAATCCATCTTCCTTCCAACTTTATTAGTTTTGTCTATTATATACCTAAAATGTTGGAAACCTAAAAATTGTCATTTTTTAATACTAAAATCTGTTATGACTCTAAAACTAATAAAGATGGGGTAGAACTTTACTAATAAATTTTGTTCATCATCAACCCTGGAAAATATGTTTCTTAATCGATTTCAGTGCAACTCTATTAGTTTTTCTATTACATGCCTAAGACGATGGAAACTTAAAAATTAAGGTTTCGGTGATTCAAATCTGTCATAACTCCTAAAGAGAAAATGATAGGGCAAAATTTTATGAATAAATTTTGTTCATTATAAATCCTAAAAGATATGTTTCTTAATCGATTTTATTCTAACTCTATTAGTTTCTCTATTACAGATACATGAGAAGCTGAGAACCTAAAAATTAACAATTTTGATGACTAAAATCTGTCATAATTCTTAAACTTAAAGTCATGGGGCAAAATTTTATTTATAAATTTTGTTCATTATGAATCCTAGAAGTTACGTTTCCTAATCCATTTCATTCCAACTTTATTAGTTTCTCTATTATATACCTAACATGTTGGAAACCTAAAAATTGTCATTTTTTAACACTAAAATCTGTTATGACTCTAAAACTAATAACGATGGGGCAGAACTTTACTAATAAATTTTGTTCATCATCAACCCTGGAAGATATGTTTCTTAATCGATTTCGTTGCAACTCTATTAGTTTTTCTATTACATGCCTAAGACGATGGAAACTTAAAAATGAAGGTTTTTGGTGATTCAAATCTGTCATGAGTCCTAAAGAGAAAATGATAGGGCAAAAATTGAATTTTGTTCATTATAAATCCTAAAAAAATATGTTTCTTAATCGATTTTATTCTAACTCTATTAGTTTCTCTATTACATATACGTAAAAGCCGAGAACCTAAAAATTAACGATTTTGATGACTAAAATCTGTCATAATTCTTAAACTTAAAATCATCGGGCAAAATTTTATTAATAAATTTTGTTCATTATGAACCCTAGAAGATAAGTTTCCTAATCCATTTCATTCCAACTTTATTAGTTTCTCTATTATATACCTAACATGTTGGAAACCTACAAACTGTCATTTTTTAATACTAAAATCTGTTATGACTCTAAAACTAATAAAGATGGGGCAGAACTTTACTAATAAATTATGTTCATCATCAACCCTGGAAGATATGTTTCTTAATCGATTTCATTGCAACTCTATTCGTTTTTCTATTACATGCCTAAGACGATGAAATCTTAAAAATTAAGGTTTTGGTGATTCAAATCTGTCATAACTCCTAAAGAGAAAATGATAGGGCAAAATTTTATGGGTAAATTTTGTTCATTATAAATCCTAAAAGATATGTTTCTTAATCGATTTTATTCTAACTCTATTAGTTTCTCTATTACATATACGTAAAAGCCGAGAACCCAAAAATTAACGATTTTGATGACTAAAATCTGTCATAATTCATAAACTTAAAATCATGGGGAAAGATTTTATTAATAAATTTTGTTCATTATGAATCCTAGAAGATCATTCCAACTTAGAATTGTTCAGAAGATATAAATAAGTTACTAATCACAACAATNAAAATTAACGATTTTGATGACTAAAATCTGTCATAATTCATAAACTTAAAATCATGGGGAAAGATTTTATTAATAAATTTTGTTCATTATGAATCCTAGAAGATCATTCCAACTTAGAATTGTTCAGAAGATATAAATAAGTTACTAATCACAACAATATGTTGCGGTTTGCTTACAGAATTTTTCATTCATGCATTGATTATTATTAACAAAAGAAAAATCAATGCTTTGAACAGAATAATAAAACTGATACAATCCTTGTGTCTATGTTTATCTAGTTTTTGGTATGACAATTTCACTCTGAATTTTAGAGTAGAATGAAATTGCCACATGATCAGACATGCAAGGCTAAATTACAAAAGAGAACAATCAGTAAAGTTCGTAAATATATGGCCTATTATGAGTGGCCTCAAAGTTTACTCATTTGAGTCCATAAGATTCACAGAGGCTGCATAACCAAACGGAATCCTTAATAAATTAAACAAAAAAATGAATTGAAAGAAATTTACCCCGCAAAACTAATCCATCGGTTGGTATTTTTCTAACAGTATCATCAGGAACACACTCCAAGTTAATACAACCATTCTGATTGTATTCGAAACCTCCTAATGACTCAAAAGTGCTTGCTCCTCGTTTACCAAGATCATTGACAAAAAACTCTATGCGAAATTGACTCGGATTTGTAGCTCCTAATCGTACACCACCAGGAAAGTCAGCTTGTACTCGAGCACCCAAAGGTATAATTCGTACTTCCGTAACATAAACAGGTTTTGGAAATTGAACCAAATCCAAATTCAATTCCTAAACAAAATAATATTACTAATTAATTAAATTTCGACTCTTTCTTTGTAGTTACCTCGCTGTTATCGTGAGCGAAAGTATCAAAGAATAATAATTCAATTGATTCCGTCATCTTTCTTTCGAAATCCTATTGAAATAATCAAAAATTTTTCGATTTCATCTCAAAGACCGTTCATAACCTCAAATTAGTGTTTCTTATAAACAAAACAAAGTAGAGGTCGCTACATGATTAAGGGATTATTTTGTTTATAGTTGGTAACAATGATTTTACCTTCCTCAATAAAAAAAACGTTTTAACGCAATTGCAACTGATTTTAAATAGATAAGATAAAAATAAAATCTTATTATAAATAAATGCGTTCATTTCATGTGAACCGTTGCACTTTGAAACATTACCGTTATTGTTGTATTACGTAATGACAGTTATGAACTGTCAAACGTCTAATTTTAAACCTAATAGTTGGCACTCCATCAAAATAGCACCGAAATGAAGATGTAATGTTGAATTTTATTTACAAAATTCAAATTTGCCAGATTATTTTTTGACAAATATGTCGAAAACGTTGGGCCGTGTATTAGTTGGTGAGTTTCCTATTTAAAACGTTAATCAAAAACACTCCCGTTACACTTTTTCATTAATAAATGTTGATAACATATTGCTAAAATATTCAAAATCACTTTTTTATAACATATTTGAATCATTTCTTTCACTTTATTGTTTACATGTGTTTATTATTTTGTTTTTTATTTATATTTTATGTATATTTATTTATTAATTTTATTATTTAGGCGGTGGAACAGGTTTTATAGGAACAAACCTCTGCAAATCCTTAAAAACGCATGGATACGATGTAACAATAATCTCAAGAATGCCAGGTCCAATGAGATTAACCTGGCATGATATAAAGAAGGATGGTATCCCAAATAATACAACTGCAGTTATTAATTTAGCAGGACAAAACGTCTTAGATATGAGCCGTCGTTGGACTGAAGGTTTCAAACAAAACGTCTTCAATTCACGAGTAGAGACCACATCAGTGTTATCGAGAGCAATAGCTGAATCGAAAGCTAAACCTGGTTCTTTTGTTACAATTTCTGGTGTTGGGATATATAAGCCAGATAATAATGAGGTTTATACCGAAGAATCAAAAACATACGAATTCGATTTTTTTTCAAAATTGTGTATTGAATGGGAAAAAGCAGCTAAATTATCTGGTGAAGAAACACGGTTGGTTACTATAAGAAGTGGTGTTGTTCTTGGGCGAGATGGTGGGATGATTAAACAGTTATATATGCCATTTTTCTTGGGTTTGGGGGGCCCTGTTATGCCAGGCAATCAATATTTACCGTGGATTCATATTCAAGATTTATGTAGGTTGATTATTTTTGCTGTACAATGTGCTAGTGTAACTGGGGTTCTTAATGGAGTTGCGCCCGAACAAGTAACTAACAAACAATTTACAGATGTAAGATTAGTTTATTTTTAATTTGTTTTTTATTCTTTTAATTTATTATTTTTGTTTTAGGCTTTTGCTAAAGCAATGTCTAGACCAGCGTTCTTCCCTGTACCTACATTTATGTTGAACACTATTCTCAGCGCGGAAAGAGCTAAAATGTTAACTACTGGTCAAAAAGTTAAACCCCAACGTACAGAATCGTTGGGTTTTAAATTTTTGTACCCGAAAATAGACGCTGCGTGCGAAGCTCTTACCAAACGTACGTGAAATCTGTGATCAATATTTTTTTTTGTTAATTTATTTGTTATGTTAATTGTTGAAAATTTTGTTTGAATAAATTAAGTGACAGTTATACTTTAATTTTTGATTTTTAAGTATTGGAGATTTTTTTGTTTTGTGTCATTCATGATAGCAAGGGAGGCTGATCTGCTGACTTTCAGGGTGTGCTGTAGTTAGGTGAGCCCAAACAACATAATTATTTTGTAAATGCATAATTGACTTAATTTATACTTGTATTTTTAGCTTTTAGTCATCATTTATTATTGACAGCGCTGATCATATCACTCTCCAAGTTCTATTTTTGATGTACCTCCAGAAAATGATGTTAGTCCACCTTCCACTATTATGTATGATTACCATAAAAGTATCAGGAAAGTAATGAAGTAATTTAAATCATATCATAAACATAAATACCATAGGGTTGTTGTTCCTAGGCCTAGATATGCTAAAAAAATTCAAATAATATATAGCTGCAAAATATAAATTCTGAAATGTATACATATATTTTTAACTACTCTTATGCTATTTAGCCTGCTGACAAAAAAATTCAATGATGGATTTTTGGTCAACAATCCAGTTAGTATCACTTCATACTTTACACTTTAGAGTAGTGTCCCACTGAAACCGATATTTATCACCAAAACCGAAATTCGGCTTTTGTCTCAGTTTTGGCCAAAACCGTAACCGAAACATTGTTCACTAGCTATACTCGTCGGTGACGCTGAGAGGTATTTTAGAACAGCCTTTCGTAGTGAAGGGTAGAGGCTTGACTTCTAATACCTCATATATGTGGGACTTAAGAGATGAGGCTCTGTCAAAATTTAAAGAAACAAAAAGTCAGCCTGACTAGGACTATTATAAAGAATTAAGAAATCATGTGAATACCGCTATGTGTGAAAAACGTGCAACAACGCTTAAAAATCGGCGACGAACTAAATAATTTCATTTTGGAAGCTCTAGCATTGGCCACTATATGGTTGATAATTTGATTAATGACTTTGGATTTGAAAATCTGTACAAGAAAGTCAAGGGCATAGTACAAATGATAGGAGAAACATCAAAAACTTTTTAAATGAGCAAGAGAATAAGACAAGGCGATAGCCTAAGCCACTTGTTATTTATAATATTAATGGACAGAGTGATAAAAAATACAAGAACGAATAAATATCAAACAGTAAATAGGTTATAAAAGTTTGGAACCAGTAAAAATACATAATTGACTATATGCTGACGACATAGTGTTGATAGCAGAGAACCATAAAAAGGTAAGGAAGTTATTTGAAGTATGGACAGATGAAATTGAAAAGATGGGCCTAGAATTGAATGTAAATAAATGTAAAATCCTGATAATAAATAAAAAGGAAATAAGAAATAACCCAAAAGAAATACTTATTAAGGAACAAAAGATAGAAGAAGTATCATATGAGTACTTAGGCAGTATAATATCACAAGATGGAAGGATAAATTTAACATAAATGCAAGAATAAGGAAAACAAACAACGTATATCATACTCCAAACAGAACAATTTTTGAGAAGAAGGAGAGATAAAATTGAAAGTGTACAAATCATTAGCAGTTCCAATATTAATATATGCCAGTAAATCATGAAAATAGTGGGGAGGACGAAGTGGGGTAGGATAAGAAATGAGGAAATAAGAGTGGGAGTAGATCAAGAGGAGATAATCAGCAAAATAGAGAGGAAGCAACTAAATTGGTACACACACACATAATTAGAATGGAACATAACACAATAATAAAAAAGGTATTTGAAACAAAGAATAAGAAAAAGAGGGGAAGACCTAGGAAGAAGTGGGCGTAAAGAATAGTACAAGTTGGGAGGAAGAGAGGGAAGACTCTAACATATATAAAGGAATTAGCCAGGAAGCAGAAGGAATGGAAGAGGTGGATTCGGAAAAGAGGAGGAATAGGAAAAACATTTAACCAACGCCATCAGGGATAACGATCATTGGAAGAACAAGAAGACTTTGGTAAGGGGTAAAATTTGGGCCTAGTGTTTTCTCATTTAAGTTGGTGTCCGAGAGTAATATTTTATCTGAATAACAAGAAATGGCTTATCCTCTAATCTTACCACATATAACAAATATTATTGATACTTGTCTATTAGAAGGTGTTTTCCCTTCAATAAAGGTACCAAGTCCAAACGAATATTCATGCCTAAGACCCATAATCATTTTGTGTTCCTCATCAAAAGTTTTGGAAAAAAATAGAAGCAGAAGGCTGAGCGCATTGTTTCAGTGAATCAGTCTGATTTCAGGGAAGGACATAGCTGTGAAACTGCCCTGAACAATATAGTGGATGATATTGTTACTGCAACTAACTCCAATAGATTGTCTCTTCTGGGGATTGGATTTCTCCAGAGCATTCGATACTCTAAACAACTTATTAATATTAATTCTTGACCATATCGGGCTTGATTCTCTCATTTGCTTTTTCCAAAAATTACCTTAAAGGCAGAATCAATCAGTCAGTATTGATCAAGTGAAATCGAGTGCTTTGGAGATAAGGTCTGGGGCCCCGCAGGGATCGATTCTTAGCCCTACACTATTTAAAATTTACACTATAAATTTCAATAGCTTTGTTGATTTCTGTAGCGTCCACTATTATGCTGATGATACTCAGATTTATTTGTCCTTTTCTGAAGGCTTCGTACTGAAGGTACCCCTCCATACCTGTACGATATGATTAAATTAGAACGGACGTGCAGGATGTTAATATTCGCTTCAGGGGTAGACTAAAACCGCCTTCCCACCGGACAGAATTTTTAAAACGGTGTTTTTTTATCAGATATTCGCCATATACAATAATGTACCTCGGCACCTGGTTGGACTACCCCTGAACCGATTTAAAAGAGCATTGAAGTGATGGGTAGGTGACGGAGAGCTTCTGTGTGTAGCTAGCTATCTATGTCTACCTGTAACTTTTATCTCTAATTCTTCTATGAGTCTTCATTATTTCCTTGCAATGAGTATTAGTATTCTTCTTTTGTTTGTTTTTTTTCTTTACAGTCTTGCTTTCTGTTAGGTTGAGTGGAAGATCAGGGTTGACCTGAACTCCTCCTATAGTTCGGACGTTTTTCCTAATAACTAATTAAATTTCTTTTATAATATTTTGTTTTATTTTTGAAAATCATTCTTGTATTGAATGTAGCATTATTTAATTATATTAGTTTTGTAGTTATAAAATTGCCCGAATAAAGTGATTTAGAGTTCTTTGCAAGCATGATTCATTTATATATTTAAGAATTTGATCTAACGTCCATTCATATTTGTGAATTGTCCAAATTGTGGAAATCCCGTAATCCTTCCTCTTGGTTCCTCTAGTCAGTCGAACCTTGAGGTGATGAGCTATTTACCGTATTTTCTATATTTTGGTCTCAATTTAATAAATTCATTATTTCCTTTGTAGCGATGTAATCGGGAGTAAGCTATGTTGTTTTAAGTCTAGGATCAAGTAAAGTTGATGTAATAAATGTAGATGGCCTTTTACAAATATAAGGTCTCACATATCTCCAACAGGTACTCTGTTGAAAAGAACTCATCGAAAACATGAGGTGGGTGATGGATAATTGAATGTTCTGTTCACAGATGAGTCTTGTTTGAACCTGGTAAGAATATTTCCAATGCTGCTTAGTTCCTAGGGTACAATTTGGAATATTTTAGAAGTATTTACGGGCTTGGTTACGTTTAGGAAAGTTTGTCTCAACGCTGATAGGTATATAAGGGATTGTTGGGAAATGCATGTTCTTCTGGTGCCAAATAATGCCCAACTCCAAGCTGCTTGCAAATTTATTTAGGCGCTTTAGGGAATATTATGGTAATCTCCATGCAGTAGTTGAGCTAGTGGCTCAAAATTATTGGGTTTGAGAAGAACTTTTGTTTCTTCTCCTTCTTCGGCTGTACAGCGCTGCTCTCCTCCAACCGCGAAAGCCCAGAAGATCCCGTACGTCATCACTCAGTGCGTCTGTCCAGCGATTCCTTGGCTTTCCCACAGGTCTGCTTCCCTGCATTCGTGGATTCGAAGTCTCCCTGTCTTTATTCTCACTACATATACGGCACATTTCAGCCTTTGTATTTTATTAACTATTTCACTGTTGTATCTCATCTTCCACACGCTCTGGCCCCGTACTGATCCCAGGATTCTACGCAAAACCTTTCTTTCGACGATGTCAAGTTTATCACCAATTTCTTCGACAGAACCCATATATCACGATTTGAGTGTAATGCTTGTTTTATATATTTTTATCTTAATACATGGGCTAGTATGAAGTATGCTGCATTTGCTTATGTTATTCTTTTTGTGCCATACCTTCACAACGCGACCCCCCAAATAAGAGAACTGTTTAACCTTTTCGATGCCATCCTCCATGATGATATTCTGTGTTTGTGTGGGCCTCAGTGTTTTGGGTTTTCCTGTATTTATCTCCAATCCCGTCCCTTTTACATGTCTCTTCAGTTGAGAGTATGCATCTCAAACCTTTCTCTTCTGCTCCTGATTTTGTATAATCCATTCACATCATTATCAACATCAAGATGAGCAACAAAGGCAAAAATCGCAAAACCAATTTCTCATATTTAGGAAACAACTTGGCGTTAAGATTGCATTCTCTGAATTGGTCGAAAATACTGAACACACTGTGACATTGAGTTGTTATCCAAATAAACAAAATCGATTTGTTTTTACCCTTATGATATTCGATTTGAGCCTCCATTAAAACATTTTTTTCACCTCAATTGCAGAGTTCTTCCATGCCACCATCATGCCACATAATCTAATCTACATCAGCTCTTTTTTTGTATCTACAAACAAACTATAGCAAGTGAAATTTATTAACTTACATATATGTAATAATAAAAATAACTTTTGTTTTTTTTAAATATACATTTAATGTTTACATTCGAAATATAAAAATTGTATTATTAGTTAACAAAAAAAGATTACAATTTGAAGCAAAAACACCAATTATTTCATCAAAAATGTTAATAACTTGCTGTTGAGCAATAAACCCAACTTGCCTTCCTGTCATTCTATTTCTTAAGCTACCACTTTCAACGCTTTTTTTCTGCCTGTAAATAAAAACATGTCTATTTGATTCGCAAATAACAGAATAACTTAAATCAGGGGCGCACGCTGTAAATTTCTTTTGCTGTTTTGATGCTTCAACATAGCCAAACGCATTTAACGTTCCAAAATGTTTTAAGGAAAATTCATCATTTTCTAAAATTGGTTGCCACAAATAAGTGTCAACATCATGTCTTAGTCCAATTCCATTTACATCATTTCCTTTTACGACAAGCACCATTTTATGACTATCCATATTGTAACGATGTGTTACTAAATGTGAAGTAAAACATAATCTTTCAAAAACGCAATAAGTATCTCCTTCAAAATCGCATTCTTCAACATGTTCACTGCTAAATGTATTTCCAACAGGCACATTTTCTTCTTTATCACTACATAAATGTGAAAGTTTTTCATGAATTTCTGCTGCTAAAGCTGGATCTGTGAGATATTCACCACTTTCATCACCAGGAATTAATTCTTGCCATACCTGGTTATTAATTGCTTTTACTAGGGTTATTTCTATTAAATCACCTGAAAGCACCCAATTTGTTGAACTTGGATTTATGTTATCAAATAATGTTCCTTGTAAAAATGTGTTTCCTTTAAAACTGCAATCGATTGTGTTTGTTGTTGAGTTAATGACAACGTCAGATGATTCAAATGTACCAAAAGTTTTAAATTGAATTTTTATATTTTCCGTCGTTTGTAACCATAAATATGATTTTTTATTTGAATCTTTTGAATCAATTTTTATTGGATTATCAGAATCCAACGTAAATTTAAAACTTTTTTCACCAGCAATGTAAATCCCTTTACATAATGAATCAATTTCAGCATAATGAAGACTACCACCACCTCGTAATTCCTTAATACCAGTTTGTCCCCAAACATCCCCATCTTTAGATAGAGTAATCAAATTTAAAACATTCAAAAATCGATCTTTATTATCACCAGTACTTATGCTGTACAGCAAACAATATAATTTATTCTCATTCATTTTTACATCTTGTACAATGAACTTTTTATCCCCAATTAAAACTTCCTCAGAAAAAACAACATCCCATTTTTCAATATCCCCATTTATTTCAACAATGTAAATCAATCCCATTCCATCAGAAACAACCGCAAATTTGTCATTAACAAATTTAAAGCTAACATTGTAGTCTCCATTTTCTGATGGTCTTTCTTTTGGGATTTGAAACACATTGATTAACTCGATTTCATTACTTGCAGAAGGATCATAAACCACTTTCTGAATTTTAAAATCATTGTTCACAAAATATACGAAATCATAATCATTTATCGTACGTCCTATCAAATGGTTGTGTGTACTAAAGAGTTTTGCGTGAAGATACCCATATTGTAACGAATTTGGGATTGCTCTATGAACTTTTGCTTCCAATTCATGCTTAGATGTAATTATTTCTTGGAGGGATAATTTATAACCATCAAATTCTGGATTTATAAACTGCCTGTTTGGTTTGAAATCTAATATTTTAGGCCCCATTACAAAAGATTTAAAAAAGAAAACAATATTTATAGGTTATGTAGGGTTATGTTTACTTTGACATTTCAAATAAAATGTTTGTAATGGTAGAATATTAAAAAAAATAATAATTTGAGAAGATATTCCAATAAATAAGTATGATTTGGTAATATTAATTTGATTATTAATTTCAATTTAATTATAAATAAATATAAATAAAGAATTTCAAAAAATTGTGTTACAGATAGCATCTTTATCGACATTTTAAGGTTATGTTTATAGCAAATAAAAGTAAATTTAATAAGATTTGAAGTATTTTTAAATAATTTAATCATGGTTTATATTCATTTTCCCGCTCATTCAACGGAAGAAGAACAAATGTTAAAAGCAAAATACCAAAAATTGAAAAAAAAGGTAAACCAAATTTTACACAAAGATTTTTTTTAACTAACTTTTCGTAGAAAAAAGCTTTGCAAGCTCTTAAAGCACCAAAACCCGAACCTGAGAAACCGGTAATTCCTAAACGTCCGGCAGAAGCGAGAGATGCTAGGGAAGTTGCTAAAAAACTGATTAAATCAGGGATGATAACCGCAATTCCAAAACAACAGAAACAACCTGAACAGGGTTTTAAGAGACCCAGAGGATTAGAGAGGAAATTAATTTCGGAAAAAATAAGTGGATATCAACCATTTTCAGCTGTACAATCTGATGATGGACCGGATAATCCTGAAAATAAACCACCAAGAATTAAGAATTTGTATGATACATTTGCTACAGCTAGAGATAGAGAAGAAAGGGGATTATCTGAGAAGCAAAGGGAAAAACCTGAAAAACCGCGACAAGGAAATACTATTTATGTTGCAGGGTTTAATATTACTGAAGAATTTTTAAAAAAACATTTCTCAACGATTGGAAATATTGTCAATATTTCAATGGAGATTGAAAAGAAGTATGGATATTTATAGTATTAATAATAATTAAATTAATATGATTTTATTATTTTAGTCGAGGGTTTGTTACTTTTGATAAAGTTGAATGTGCAGACAGAGCGATAGCAGAGGTAAAAAAAATCCTTTGTTTCAAGGTGGAATCTAAAAGGCCTACACCCTTTGTCATTTTGTAATCCAGAAAATGACGTTAATATCAGACAAATACCACTTCTCACACTAAGTTAGCTGTTGTGTTCTTTGTATTTGCTGTGTTTTTAGAAGTTTTAGCATACAATTGTTAGTTCTAGTTTTTAATTAGACAGCACCTGTTCTTGGGATGTAGTAGTCCTATTAGATTCTACCGACCCGATTTATGTGACCCCTGATAAGCTATGAAAATCATTAAATCTTTTAAATTGTTCTTTGATTTTAGATGGATGGTAGTATCGTATCTGGGATACAACTAAAAGTATCTTTAGCAAGGCGACAACCTCAAATTGAACCAATTAATGATGCTACATCATCATCAACTTGGTCCACTTTAGGTAATTTTTTATTAGTCATATTTCTAAAAAAAAATCAATTTACATTTTTAGCTGCAAGTCATTCACAAAAAGGAAATCACAGAGATAAACGCGATTTGGTATCTTACGATGATATCATTGATTTTTGAATATTTATTTTAGTTATTTAATAAACAATAACTTTTATGAAAGTAAAAAGTAAATAAGATTTAAACATCAAGTTCTTTTTCTTTACTTAAATCTCTTTTGCTAACATATTCATTCCCTTTAATATAAAATCTGAATGGTTTTCCAGCCCATTCTATTCCAGCACTATCAATTCCTATCCTTGAAGTTCTAACAATTTCAAAATCATTGCTAAAATCATCAGTTTCAACCCATAACACATCACTTTGTGCCATATCAACTTTGTTGCATATTTCTTTGGTTATGCACATTGATGTACATAAATTTGAAGGGCCTTTACATAAATCTTGAGTTTTTGTTGGAGTTTTCTTTCTAACTAAAAATGAAAAAAAGTAACCCAAAAATTATCAATAAAATAAATAACGTTTGTACCACTTCTATATTTTTGCATTTCCTCGATACCTTCAAGTGGTTCTACAGCACGTAATAAAATAGCACCACCTTCTTCTAGGGCTGATATGTTAAAACAATGATAAATTCCATATGTTTTGTAAACAAATGCTGTTCCAGGTGTCATGTACATGGGTTCATTTGTGGGAGTGCGCCTAATTTAAAAAATTAAAAACTTTAATTTAATGTCACCAACAAATACCTTTCGTTATAAGAGGACGAAGCTTTATCTTCACCTCCAGGATACATTTCAACTTCAACAATTCGCCCTTTTAGGATAACATTGTCGATTTTTCGCAGTAAAAGTTTACCAAGTAAAGAATCCGCTAATTCTCGACATGGCACGGAATAAAACTCGCGAGGTAATGATGTTGGGTTAATTTCTGAGGTAGTTTTAAGTTTCTTTCTATTATTATTAATCGTTTTATCACTAGTTTTAATTGTTTTATAAAGTTTATTTTTTAAACTCATTGTTGGTTTGTTAAGGTTATGTTATATTCCCAAACTGTCATATTTCAAAACATAAACTGTCATGTAGTTAACGTAGATGTCGCTTTACTCATAATTTGAAAGTAATTTAATAACAAAATATCTTTGTCATTATTATATTTATAACATTTTCTATAATCATAATATTTTAGAAAATCTACACCAACAAATTTTTTACAGTTAGTTTTTTATAGAAAAGGAAAGTAATGTATTAAATAGATACCGTTTTTACCGGCCATCTTTGTAGTTTGCGAAACTGAAACGATTTAAATTTGATATTTCTAAAAAAAATTAATTTACATTTTTAGCTGCAAGTCATTCACAAAAAGGAAATCACCGAGATAAACGGAATTTGGTATCTTACGATGATATCATTGATTTTTGAATATTTATTTTAGTTTTAAATAAGGATATCGAATAAGTTTTATTTAATAAACAATAACTTTCATGAAAGTAAAAAGTAAATAAGATTTAAACATCATCAAGTTCTTTTTCTTTACTTAAATCTCTTTTGCTAACATATTCATTGCCTTTAATATAAAATCTGAATGGTTTTCCAGCCCATTCTATTCCAGCACTATCAATTCCTATCCTTGAAGTTCTAACAATTTCAAAATCATTGCTAAAATCATCAGTTTCTACCCATAATACATCACTTTGTGCCATATCAACTTTGTTGCATATTTCTTTGGTTATGCACATTGATGTACATAAATTTGAAGGGCCTTTACATAAATCTTGAATTTTTGTTGGAGTTTTCTTTCTAACTAAAAATGAAAAAAAGTAACCCAAAAATTATGAATAAAATAAATAACGTTTGTACCACTTCTATATTTTTGCATTTCCTTGATACCTTCAAGTGGTTCTACAGCACGTAATAAAATAGCACCACCTTCTTCTAGGGCTGATATGTTAAAACAATGATAGATTCCATATGTTTTGTAAACAAATGCTGTTCCAGGTATCATATACATGGGTACATTTGTGGGAGTGCGCCTAATTTAAGAAGTTAAAAACTTTAAGTTAATAACACTAAGAAATACCTTCCGTTATAAGAGTATGAAGCTTTATCTTCACCTCCAGGATACATTTCAACTTCAACAATTCGCCCTTTTAGGATAACATTGTCGATTTTTCGCAGTAAAAGTTTACCAAGTAAAGAATCCGCTAATTCTCGACATGGCACGGAATAAAACTCGCGAGGTAATGACGTTGGGTTAATTTCTGAGATAGTTTTAAGTTTCTTTCTATTATTATTAATCGTTTTATCACTAGTTTTGATTGTTTTATAAAGTTTATTTTTTAAACTCATTGTTGGTTTGTTAAGGTTATGTTATATTCCCAAACTGTCATATTTCAAAACATAAACTGTCATGTAGTTAACGTAGATGTCGCTTGAGTCATAATTTGAAAGTAATTTAATAACAAAATGTCAATGTCATTATTATATTTATAACATTTTCTATAATCATAATATTTTAGAAAATCTACACCAAAAATTTTTTTACAGTTAGTTTTTATAGAAAAGGAAAATAATATATTAAATAGATACCGTTTTTACCGGCCATCTTCGCAGTTTGAAATTGAAACGACCGTTAGGAGTTGTGCTGTAAGTTTTTTTAACGTGAAAGAAGAAAGAAACGCAAAAAATATAAGGTGTTTAAAACGTGGTTGATGTACTTTAAACAATCCATTTGTATCATCCCAAACGGTAAAATGGTGAAAAATAAACGCGATTTAAAATCGCCCCGGAGAAGGTCTTTGGTTACAAGACCCACTGTTAGAAAAGTTGGTTCAGGTACGATAAGTAGTGCTAATATAAAAGTGGTTGTGAGGGTGAGACCACCCAGTGAAAAAGAAGAAAATTTAAATGGAGGGTAAGTGAAAAAAAAAAGTTATAACAATCATTAATTTTATTTATTTTAAGACTTGTTGTAAGAGTTATAAATGAACAACTACTAATTTTCGATCCAGAATCAGAAGGAGAAGGATTTTTTTACCATGGTGTGCAACAAAGAGGACGAGACTTACTTAAAAAACCAAAAAAAAATATGCAATTTGCATTCGATCGGGTTTTTGGGTTTGAATCCGATAACAGTGCTGTTTTTCATGAAAGCACCGAGCAATTAATTGATAAACTTATGGATGGATGTAATTGTTCTGTTTTTGTTTATGGCGCGACAGGGGCTGGAAAAACCCACACAATGTTGGGACACACAGAAAGTCCTGGAATAACTTTTTTAACAATGAAACGTTTATTCGAGAGAAAATCAGATTTGATTATTGACAGAGATTTTGAATTAGCGATAACTTATTTAGAAGTCTATAACGAAAACGTCCAGGATTTATTAAATCCAGGCGTTCCATTACAACTTCGTGAAGATGGAAAATTTGGGGTGATTGTTGCTGGGATTACAATGAAAATGATTAAAAATAGTGAAGAATTATTTGAATTATTGGAACAAGGAAATCGAAATAGAACTCAACACCCTACAGACGCGAACGCTGAAAGTTCCAGATCTCATGCTGTTTTTCAAGTTTATATTCGAATGACTACCAAAATTAATCGTCAAGTACATATGGCTAAACTTAGTATGATTGATTTAGCAGGTAATATTTGAAAAATTGTGATTGTCTTGATGAAGATTTTATTTTGAATGAAATTGAAATCGGTTTTTGATCACTGGTAATTTCATTTCCTTTTTTTTATTGTAAAAAGAAAAACTAATGTGTTAATTCATAGTCTAAATAGAGTCACATTTAAAATTATACCCTGCCAAAACGCATGGAATATGCATTGAAATATTGTCAACTGCAAATGTAAACAAATGCAGTTAGTTAGGGAGATACAAAGTGAAACAATTACAGTTTTGTAAGGTTTTGAGAATTGTTGCAAAATTAGTTTTTTACAATTATCTTATGATATTAAAACCCCATTTTACAAACAGAGATTAAAATGAGGCAGGTTCTGTAGGAACTGATCTTCTGTATGCATTATGGACGAATTTATGATAATGGTCATATCAGTTCCAGCGAGTTTAATGTTTGGATTATTTATCTGATACTAATAATAAAAAACTAGCCCCCCTATAGATGCTAAAGGTAGTTTCTAAGTACTCTGTTAATGCGAGAAAACCAGACTTGCGCGCAGGTGTGTGTTATCATGGTAGTTTCTTACCAAAGAAAGACATTCTCAAATCGTCTCTGGGCGTGGTCTGACAACTGCATTGAAATATTATCAACTGCAAATGTAAACAAATGCAGTTATATGTTATTCCAAAACAGTCTCAGGCAACTGGGACTTTAAATGCAACTGACTTTATGATAATGGTCATATCAGTTCCAGCGAGTTTAATGTTTGGATTATTTATCTGATACTAATAATAAAAAACTAGCACCCCTATAGATGCTAAAGGTAGTTTCTAAGTACTCTGTTAATGTGAGAAAACCAGACTTGCGCGCAGGTGTGTGTTATCATGGTAGTTTCTTATCAAAGAAAGACATTCTCAAATCGTCTCTGGGTGTGGTCTGACTTTAAAAGGATAAGGTATAAAGCTGGCAATGGAATTAATGGAGCAAGAATTAGTCATGAAAGAGTCTTGTATGGTCAAGAGTCAACAATTATAACTCACTGTTACTTATACAGCATCTCATAAAAATAGACTCTATGCTATTACACTAAATAAAAAACTACTTGCTAGAATTCAAGCATAATCTATTTTGCGAATCTGACATATGACCTTTTTTAATCATCTATATTTTAGCTACAATTTTGCAGTTTCTTAAATTATTACTTACCAAGTCTACAACAAAAGTTGTACATTGTTTGCTGTCAATGCTGGAATTATTAATCAGAACCTATTTGCATAAATGAATCTCAAATTAAAAAGAAAATTTAATTTATTCCTGTAATTGTTGTAATCACCAAAACGATATTCGCTAATTTGTGCATGTCTATTGTACTACTAAAAGATTTTGATGTTGATAATTAGATTCTACTAAAAGAAATGAATCAATACCGTTAGGAGAGCGATCTTGAGTAGTGACAGGTATGGTTTTCAACTGATTTGAGAAGAAGAACAAATAGCATTTCAATGCCAGAAACCTTTTAAGTATGATGCAGATGATTCAATAGATGATACTAAATTCGGGCGTATGTATCCTGAGTGTATTCTTCAAGTTTCTAATATGCATGAGTGGTAGAAGTTTAAATCATATAAAATCGGAATTCACCGTTACTACGCTTTCTTAGTAATATGTAAAAAAAAAGTGCGTATTACTCCGAATGCTGGCATTGCAGCTTGAACTGGGATCTTCCTGCTTAAGATTTTGACGTTTCTCTTTAGAGAGACCCAACATCTACAATTTAATGTAGAGATTTCTATTGTGTCTATTTTATCAAATTCAAAACATGTTCAGTCGGTATCATATTTGTTGAGCCAAAATTCCCAGAAAGGTTACTGTTTGATATTTGCAAGCAGTGGCGTAGTTTAAAATTTTTCTTTTAACCTTTCAATTGACGATATGCAAACTGCAAGTATAAAAACATACTTGCTGTGCCGCCGCCAATGACTTTCGGGTGACGAATGTTATGGATTCCAAGAATCTGACGTAGTGGATCTGGGACGTGCTCATATCATGTTGAAGCAGTTTTCTTCAAATATATGGACTTTTTTCTTCTACTTGTGGCGTAACCCCGGGTAGTTATTAGCCTGCTCAATGATTTTTTTCCATTGTGTCCTCCTCTAACGCATCCGTCTTCACCTCCTAACCTGAACCTGACAATATCCACACCATTTATCAATTGGTCTAATTCGTGATTCATATGTAACCTAATGTCCTTAAATGTTGTTCGTCTTTGGTTGTTATGCCTAGATCTCACGTCCATATATTACCACTGGTTTAATCAGGCTTTTATATACAGGTTGATTCTTAACCTATACATATAAACTTGGGGACTTATTCCTCATGACAAATAATGAGTAATAGGTGACAAAAATTGTAGCAAACGTTTTTTAGTTTCCTAGATATCCATTAAATTTACTTTCAAATCAAGAATACATATAAGATTAACCCATTTAGTCGCACGATGATTTATATTAAAAAAAATCGATTTTTTATAATTTTCCTCAAGATAAGATGGAATGAAAAGTATAAAAATGTACACAGTTGTTTGAAAAAAAATTGTTTTTGAGATGAGATGGTGCAAAAATGAAGCACTGGTAAGATATGTATATGAACAACACACAAAAATTTTGGTTATCACTCATTAACTAAGTAATAAATTAGCCGTAAATAAATAATACTAATACAACATAATAATAACAAATACCAACTTTAGTATGAAGTTTAAGATAAAAAATATTTATACTAAAATTGGTGCAAAAACGTACCAATGGGATGAACGGTATAATCATTTATTGTGATACTTTGCAAAGCACTCTTCATGTAAATGAACGCTAAACTTACTACACATATATTGACACACTATGTCCATAAACAACTATTTCTAGGGAATTCACCGAATAAATGCGTCTAAACTGGTTTTTGATAATATGAAAGATAATGTAATCCTTATATCGCATCAATCATCCCAATGGTGTGTTTTTGCACCATTAATGTTTCAAGACGTATTTTCAGAAATCATATTTTTATTTCGCGTTTCAAGATATATATGAGAAAAATATGCACTAAAACCTTGCAAATGTCAAAATTTTAAAGAATTTTATGCACTAAAGATAGTTTTATTTCTATTGTATATTTTGAACAGAAATGTTCAATAGAAAAGAATTGATGCAAATATGGTTTAAATAGCAAGAATTAAACAACCTTATAGTATTATCATACAAACAGCTAGCACCTTGAAATCTGGTAATGTATGGCTGGAAAATAATTTAAAAAACGCTGGTGTGTTTTCACACCAGTGGGACTAAATGGGTTAAATAAAATTATATCATAATGCTTTAATATTTTCTATACACAATTGGGTTCGCTGAATCGTCCCACTAGCACGGCCTAAACGAGGGTGTTGGCGGATTGCCCCGGCAGCAGTTTGTATCTGATTTCGCAATCCTTGCTCAAACTTGCTCAGCTACAATGTTAAATGCCTGTGTTAACCATTGTATGCCATCCTCGGTATCAGCCAAGAGGACGGCATCATCTGCATAGCACTCAATATTGATTTTGTAATCATTCATAGTGCAACTATAGTTTACATTACATTCTTTGTAATGTTTGCTCTGTTCTAATTCTTTTATCCTTACTTTCTCGAACGTGTTGATTACATCAACGAAACAAAGGAAGGCTGCCTGACGTCTTTTCGCAGGAATTCTATCTGATTCTTTTTGATGCTCTCAAATGTCGCCATGCATCATATATGTAGGCAACTCTTGCAATCAGAAGGATGTGAGCAAACGACACACTCAAATGTATGTAATAATTTTTTTGCAGAAGATGAAATAAGTATGGTGGTATCAGTTCTAAACAGAAGCAAAGACTGTACGCTTTGGAGATGATATGATAGCCCGGCCTAAGCCGGGGTGAAGGCGGATTGTCTTTTCAGCAGTTTGTATCTGATTTCGCAATCCTTGCTCAGTATTAACTTCGCTAACGTACACTATGCTTTTTAAGTGATCCCAAAAATTAAAAATCAAGAGGATTAAGGTCGGTCTACCGAGATGGCCAGGCCAATAGACTACCTCGATCTGTCCATCTTCTACCTTATCTAGATGTCGCCGCATATATCGTATATTTAGGAACTTAAAAAGTTTTGTTACAATTTTTTTCACCTATTAGTTGAGAATCACCCTGTATAGTTAGTTTTATATTTTTTACCTGGTACCCTTTACGACATGGAATCTTATTTCATTAGTGCATACGCATTCTGTGTGATCTGTGAACATGGAGAAAAATAGATAGGAGAAGTGGTGTACTCTTTCAAACCTGTAACAACCGACTTCTAGGTCTGCCTTGTTGTTCGTTGCTGTATTCTGTTGTAGTATCGTGTATTTAGTCTTGTCTTCGTTTATTTCCAGTTCTCTTCTTTGCGGTTCGCTGTCCAATATCTGACCAAAACACCTAGCAGTATCTAATTTTCTGATGGCTGCTTCCAATACTACATTGAACAGTGTGACATCACAATCTCGCACCCCAGTATCAATACTAAACGTAGATCTTAGCTCTCCATCAAGGTTGCTAAGATTGCTTCTATTAATCTGACATATTTCATTGATACTTTTAGTCGTTCATTTAATATTTCTCCACTTTAGCAACGTTATTAAATATCTAATCCTGCTATGATTGAATAGTTGTAAGGGTTCATTCTTCTAAGATTTTTTATTTGATTCATGTTGATATTATTAATTCATATATCCCCTCCATAATACTTCCTTCTAAATTTGAGCAGCTCTGATCGTCTCTCTACACTCTTTATCATACCACTCTTCCCGTCACATCTACATTACAAATTGCTGTCTCAATGATTGAATTTCTTATGCACGACAATTTCTTATTTCTCTCATTACAAGAGTAAGCCAAGTAGTGATCTGAATCACAGTCCGTTAATCGTATAATCCGATGTTTTGGATAGAAGTATTTTTTACAGAGTATCTGAGTTCTTTTGATTGGTCTCGTTTGTTCCCGGTATTTGCCACGTTCCTTTATTTTTTTTTTCCGTGGGAACCAAGTCCTCATGACTTTCAAGTTTTTGGTTCCTGCAAATTTTGCAAAACTGAGACTACCTATCTCTTCATAGAAGTTGTGTTTTCCAAAAATATTAGTAAAACAGTCATCTCTGCCAAGTTTAGCAGTAAAATCTCTGAGGACTACCATACCGTCATGTATTGGACCATATACTGCTTGAATTTACATCGTCCTTGATTTAGAACAATTCAGAATGTGTAGATTCGTGTTCGTCTTCATCCTCGTCTTGTTGTCAAGTTCAAACAAGAACGAACCTTTGAAAACAATCTCACTCACGTGACAAATCACAAAAATTTTGCAAAAAAAAATCATGGAGACGATCACAATACAACTTTACGTAATCGTTTTTGATCAATATATTTTATTTTAGGTAGTGAAAGAGGTGCAGCTACTGGTTGCGTTGGAGTCCGTTTTAAAGAAGGTTCAAATATAAACAAATCACTCCTTGCACTTGGAAATTGCATCAACAGTTTAGCAGCAGGAAAAGGACATGTACCTTATCGTGATTCAAAGTTAACCCGTCTTTTGAAAGATAGTCTTGGAGGAAATTGCCACACAGTAATGATTGCGAACGTTTCCCCGAGTAGTTTAACATATGAAGACACTTATAACACGTTAAAATACGCAACACGTGCTATGAAAATTAAATCAAACGTTCGTCAAAATGTTGTTGCCAAAGACATTAATTGCGAGCAATATGTTATTATGATTGATAATTTAAAAGCGGAAGTTGAACGACTTAAAGCTAAACTGGAGGAATATGAGAACGATAAAAATACAATCAATGAAACTATAACTTTACCATCAACTTCATCTTCATTAACAGCCACAACAGTACCGACAATATCTTTAACTTCAATTTTAGATGTGGATAAAGAAAAGTTAATGGATATTGTTGATGAGTTAAAAAAGCTGTTGGAACGGATTCATCAATTAGAAATGGTCGAGCAAGGTTTAGGTTTAAGAAAACAATTAAAAGAAGATAAAGATGCAAGATTAAGTGATTTATGTGATTCAACAGATAAAATGAAAGGACGTAAAAGAATAGGAGATGCCGTGGACAGAATAAAAAAGCAAGTTAGCAGTTTAAAAGATGAAATTTACCACACTAAAGAAAAAAAGAAAAAAGTTTATGAAAATTTAGAGGAGTTATTAAGAACTGTACCCGATTTAAAAGAACTTGCTGATGTAGAAAAAATTAAATTAGGCGAAATCGAAGCAGTTTATAAGGTAACAAAAATAAATTGAATTCAATTTTTGCTAAATTAATTATTTTTTGCTTCAGGCTGAATTACATCAAAAGAAATGCGAAAGATTAACAACGGAATTAAATTCACGCGCTGAAACGGAAAAGAAAATGTCAAATTTGTTAAAAATTTGTTATAGATATCTCCAAGCGCAAAATCAACTTCCGGAATCGGTAAAATCAGCTTATAACACATTGAAAAATGATTGGCAAGGAATCCATTCGGTTACATTTGAACCTGAACCAGAAATTGATTCAACCGTTATAATCGATGATACACGAAAAAGGAAAGTTGAAGAAATATGTTCATCATCATCCCTTGATAGTACATTTGCCATTGGTTCAAAATCTCAACCAGTTTTGACTTCACGTGCTAAAGAATTAATATCAAAAGGTGGGATATTAAATACTCCATTAAATGCGGTTGTTTGTGAATTATTTCATGGTATATGTTCCTATCATGTTTTACACATGAAAGATTAAAAAATTATATACAAGTACTAAAAAAATTGAGTTTTTCTTTTTTTTGTTTATTTTTTACAGAAAGTCCGATGCCACCGAGAAAATTCGCAAAATTTTCTCCAGCCATAAAAGAAAATAAAGCACCAACCGTGCGTAAACCAACGGCTATTATGGGAACTTCTCAACGGTTTCAAACGACAAAATCGACTAATTTATTAAACGGAGGAAAAAGTTTTAAGAAAAAATAAATGTAAGGAAACGAAAGTGATTTTGAAGATAGATGTCAAGATAAATGATTTTTTTTAAACTTATTACGAACGTATTGGATTGCTGTTTATTTTTTTTGTTATTACTTGTAAATGAGTGCAACAAGCTGTATCTAATAATCTTATAAAAGTTTTTAATGTAATAATTTATAAATGAATATCATCCTGCTTTAAAATAATATATCATAGCGTTGTTTTTATCTTATTGATTTTATTTAATTAATTATATCATACTCTGATTTGTCAAATAAAATTAAACAATTTCTATAAAAAAATGTTTCCCTGGCAAATTTGTTGATTACATGATCTCACATACTCCTCTAAATGTTATCATTTGCGATTTATGCGTATCGACTTTGTTGTTGTTATTAATGCGTTTATTGTGGTCCCATTTTGTCTAATCAGATTTTATATGTATTGATATACCAATATTAGTAAAGGATTTTTTTATAGATATTAAGAAAAATGTATATATTTTTTTAAAGAAGTATGCAAAACCCCAAAAAAGCCTTTTCAACTCAAAACCATGCATATGCAATGCAAATGTGATAAAGCTTATAAACATTTTTGGAGGTTGATGTCACCTTTTGTTGCTAAAAGACGGTTCCCTAATTCTACCATATAACAATATACAATAACAAATCTAGCTTAGGAAATATAACTTATTAGAGATATTATTATTTCCATGAAATTCACAAACAAATCTCCTATGTCTTGCATATAGAGACCATAGGATAAATTATTAGAGACCAGATAAATCGGATATAAATCAAAGATGGTTCTGAGATTAAACGAGCGGCGGGAATAGACAACATTCCAGTAGAACAAAAATGTAGGGGGGGAGACTCAAAGGCTATACACGAAAATATAAATTAGCGAGCGGATACCAGAGGAATGGAAAAGAAATTTGATATGCTCAATACACAAAAAGGGAAACAAATTACTATGATAGAACTATAGAGGCATATTAGTAGTTAGCACGGCCTATATTGTATTCATAATCGTGAAAGACCAATTCGAACCTTTGACAGAGATCAACAACTAACCAGATATTCAGCGTCTGACAAATAAATGTGAAACTATGGGAACACGACATAGATATATTACAATTTAATTCATCAATACTGCTAGACTTAGATTTTTCACCAAAGCTGGTTAGAACGACAAGCATAACAATGAATAATTCAACAAGTAGAGTAAAGATTGGTGCAAAAATAGGAGAAACAAAAAAAATAAAACATAAGGTCTGAAATAGGAAGATGAGCTGACAGCCATGTTCTTTAACCTGGTCCTGGAAAGCGTAATAAGGAAAATTAGCCTGGACACAAAAGCGACGTTATTAAGCCGCGCAAATCAAAATCATACAGTAATCAGAAGAGTAGTTCAGGTAACTTGAAAGCGCAGCTAAGGGAATACGCACATAATGCAGACTTGGCAACCACAAAATTGGATTAAACTTTGAAGTGGAGGAAGAGTTCACATACCTAGGATCTAACATGCTACATGGCAACGACGAAGCAAAGGAGATAATTAGAATAAATGCAGCAAATATAGTATATTACGCCACACTACTCATACTACAATCAAGAGAAATTCACAGAAAAATCAAAATTAGAGTTTATACACTCTATCATGATCCGTATAGTACCTACGAATGTATGGAGGAGAAATGTGAACACTTACACAAAGAAACGCAAGGACTGGATACATTAAGGAAGAAAATCTGTAGACAAATAATGAAACCAATCAGGTATGGGAACACTTGGTAAATTACGAATTGTACCAACTATATGAGAAATCGCAAGTCTCGGAATATACAGGTGTCCCGCTACAATACTGCATCAGCGTCTTCTCTGATCAAAAATAAACAAAAAAAGCCTAATAAACATAGGTCTGAAAATGGATATATTCACAGATTTAGTTTCATAATGTTGATATTGTTAACATCATGAATTTGAATTTGTTTTTATAATAATTTAAAAAAATAATAATTCTTCGCGAAATTATTATATTCCTATTTAATTTAATAAAACTATTAAGTATGGCTCCTATTAATTACTCCAATGAAGAGATGGCGGATATGCCGTATTGTTACGGACTAACCGATGGAAATGCGTCGTTAGCAGCTGGTTATTACGCGCAAAGGTTCGCAATCAGACGATTGTCTAATAGACACACCTTTAGCACACTACTTCTCATATTAAAAGAAATGGGATACGTAACCCACAGCCATTCCATGGAGAGACATTACACAAGGCCAGTGGAATTACAAGAAGCAGTTTTGAGAAGAATTAATGAAAATGCCTCAATCAGCATTAGAAGAATTTCTGCACAAGAAAAAATTAAGAAAACAACCGCATTTTAAGGGAGCAGTTGCTTTATCCTTATTTATTATTACAACACCGTTCAAGCTCTAACAGAAAATGATGGCGAAAAAAAAGAGATTTTTTGTAGGTGAGCCATACAGGAAGAGGTAGTAAACGTCGACTTTCCCATAAATATTGTATTTACGGATGAAGCAATATTTACTCAAAGCGGAATTTTTAATATTCATAATGCGCACGTTTGGAGTGATGAAAATCCCCATGCAATACTAGAAATTCATCATCAATGGTGATTCAGTGTTAATGTATGGGCTGGAGTTATAAGTGATCAGTTATTAGGTCCATGTTTTCCTCCAAAGAGATTGACAGCCGATGCTTACATACATTTTTTGCAAAATGAGCTTACAGACGCATTTGATGAATTACCTCAACAAATTCTAGAAGATTGCTACTTTATGCACGATGGATATATATAATAACAGATTTGGCAATAAGTGGATTGGCCGAGGATTTCCTGTCCCGTGGCTACCTCGTTCACCAGATTTAAATCCGTTAGATTTTTGGTTTTGGGGACATTTAAAACAAATAGTTTATTTTGAAGACGTTCAAAATGTGCAGGAAAAAAATAAATATTAGTAATGCATTTGACGCAGTAAAACAAATTCCCGGTATCTTTAAACGCATTTAAAAACGTATCCGTTTCTGTTTAGAAGTAAATGGTGCGCATATTGAACATTTATTATGTCATGAATCTTTTCCAATTTGTTAAATATTCGTGGTTTTTATGCTGGTTGAAAGATTTTCTTCGATAATCTTTGTTACTTGTTTTGTTAAATTATTAACTTATTATTTATTAAATTTTATCTTAACTATCGTAACCATGGTAATCATATAATTACTGCAACTAAATCGTTACAATTAATGATGTTAACAATAGGTCAACTTATGAAACTAAAACTTTGAATATCTCGAAAATGGTCCATTTTAGAACCTATGTTTATTCGACTTTTTTTGTCTATTTTCGATCAGAGAATACGCTGGTGAAGTATTGTACAATCGTTGCAGGACAGCGTGTATAAAGCTCAAATGATTAATATAGGCAGGACATGTCCAGAGGATGCCTGTAGGTAGGAGACCCGTTGGAAAACTCTGAATGGGATAGGGAATGAGGTGCAGGAGGATGCCAAAAAAGCGTCATTGGATGGCTACTGGTTTAGCCATTTTAAGAATTAAGCATGAAATTGCACAACATACAAAATATCTATATTTTTAATGACAGGAAGTAACTCAAAAACAGTTTTTCACTTGATAAGACCTAATAGTAAGGAAATAATAGGGAAGAAGCAAGTTCTGAAAGTAAAGAAAACATTTAAAGAAATTAAAAAAGGCGTGATTATAGACAATTTAATAACATAATTTGGCTCGAATTAGGCTTAGGATTGTAATTTATAATTTGGCGTTCCGACTGGTTGGGAATCCCTCAGATGCAATTACCTATGGCAATTACACCTGTCAAATAATGCCGCACATTTGAATATCACTGCATCATATGACATGTGAGATTGCATCTGACGAGCTTCCAACAACTTATAACTTTAGCTGAAACAAAGCTATAATGTCAATTATAATCTAATTATTTAATCATACCATTATTACTTTATTATACTCTTACCGAAAAAGTGCGGAAAAATCACTTTAAAATGACGTTTTCATCTGTCATTCTGAACAAACTTCAACTTTATAATTTTAAAAGTTAAGTTAGCGCCAAATTTAAAAATATAACACGAATTGGAATCTATACTTTTTAAATTAAAAGAATAATACTGGTAATAATTGTTATTACTGTCTCTCATCATTCCCACTATTAATAATAAAATTGTCAGTTTAATTAAATTATTTCAGTATAGACGCTAATGCCATCTTACGGTGGGATTTCCACATACAATCAGTCCCAAGTTCTCCTATCAAAGATCCCTGGGGATGGACAGCATCCCTCTTTGACACCTTTTGTAGGAGAGAAAGCATCAGTTGTGAGTTTTCCTACTTGAACCTCTGCCACAACATGTTCAGCTTTTCTCATATCTATAAATGCAATATATATTTCCATTTCTTCAAATTTTCATTTTTATTAATAAAATTACCACAAGATGGCGCTTTATTTTTATTGATTTTTATATTCCTAACCTCAAATGAGTCAATAAACATAACCTCACCGTTAATTAATTTTTTCAACGCAATTATTAATGGATACAAAAACAACGAGTAAGACAAGTTGCTTAAAAGCCTTATTACTAAGAGCATGGCGTGAAAGATGGTCAGATTTACAATGGGGTATCAATATAAAAACAGTTTTACCAAGAGGTGTTAGTGGTGATGTGTACGATTTAGCCGATTGTATTTTACAACAAGCTGTCGTCGGTTCGGGAGCGAATCAACTCGTTTTAAGTTATTTAAAACATTCCTTAAGTTCTCAGCTGGTATCTCACGCGGCTGTGCTTCAAAAAGTATCAAAATTTCAACAATTTCATAAAGTGCATTGTATTTCAAGTCTGCTGGATTTTTTGGAGGGTATTTTACCAGGAGTTACATGCTGTGGGAAATCAGAAGGTACTCGTTTAGCGACAGCATTGCAATCAACTACGTATTGGTTATTACAAATATTACAATCTTGTTTTAATCAACATGAAATTTATGAAAAAGCCGTTAATATTTTAACTTGTTTGCTATCAAATGATTTTTATGTGGCCATGATGTGTTTGGCAAAGTATGTTGAACCGGAAACATACTCTGATATTGTTAATAAGTGCCATGAACTTGAATGTAACCCAGATGAATTAGGAGAGAGTTTACGAATCTTACTGAAGTTAGATCCTGATATTTTAAATAATTTAGAAAGTTCAAATCAATTTCCGGGTTGTTTGATACAATCTTGGTTAGCCGTTGAGATGGCAAAACAATTCCCTACAAGACAGTACTTAATCCGACGTTTAAAACTTTTACAACACTTAAAAAACTTCTCCGAGCCACAACTTTACTCAGAAATAATGCGAGGTAGCTTAATTTCTTTGTACGACGTTCGAGAAACTCAACATGAGAGTCAATGGGGTGCGTTTTGTTTTTTAAACGTCCCACTTTTACTTAAAGGAATGGCAGATAAAAATGATAGTGTTTCAATTTGTGATGCTGTCGAGTTATTATTGGAACCATCTCCTTTATTGGATACAATGGATACTTTTCATACTTGTTCTAACTTGGATAGCTTATTAGGAGAATTTGTTAAATTGAATTTGATTTCTGAAACTCAAAAAATGCAATTATTGGCGAGACATGAAAAGCCGGCGGAATTAAAAGTTGATCAAGATCGAACAGCTGTACCTAGAGTTATTATTTGTGCTCAACAAAGTTGTGCTGGAATTTTAAAGGCACTTTCTGGAGAATATAAAGATTCTATAATAGGTAAGATTAATACAGGGTGTCTCAGCGAGACCGTTCATTAGACGTTTCTGGGGTTCTGGCCAAAATAAAAATTTGAGAATTCAGATTTAAGTATTATCAATTGCGTTCTCTTGGCTTAAAATATGTTCAGATTTCTAGCACTTCCGGTTATACCGGAAGTCGCCACCTACTTTATTTTTTTAAATGGAACACCCTGTATATTTTTACATATTTATATTTGTCTGTTTATGTCGGTTTATGAATAACTTTACTTTTTGCAATTTGATTCGGCCGTTGCCGAGTTATTCGATTTTTTTTTAAAAAAAATCTACTCTAGCAGAGATTTGTTCAAAAGATCAGAAAACACTCGTTTTTTGGGATATCAATTTAGGATTCAGAACATCATTAAGCAACATGATGGAGTACGTTTTGATGCCGAGAACGGCTGTATAGATCGTTTGGTCACTTTACAATGGCACATTAACTTTTCGAAATTTGGAAGTACCATAACTCCATTTTTTTAGATGGCACCCCCCATATTTTATTACTTAGTCGTCTTCAGTGTCTCATTTTACATCTTTTATACCCCATATGTCCTATGCCTAACATTAATAGTTGTTAGTGTGCCATGGAAAACAAATGTTTAATGACTTATTGACAAATGTCAAAGTTTGGAAGTCAAAGTCAAAGTTAAAATGGATATTAATAACTTAAATAATGTTTATACAAATGAAGAAATCCTTAATTTATTTTTTATGCATGGAAAGTGCGACAAAGTTCTTAGTAGAACTTGCAGAATGTTTAATGAAAACTATCCACATTTACCTCCGATTACAAAAGGTAAATTTAGAAGAATAGAAGCAAATTTTTTGCATTTTGGACGAATTAATCACGTGATAAACTGACCAAAAAATGTAGTAAATAATTCAAGTCCCAACGCCTCAATTCGAGCTGCCAAAGAAGATCTAGGAATCATACTACAAAGTTTGTCGCGCTTTTCATGTATAAAAAATAAATTAAGAATTTCTTGATTTGTGTAAATATTATTTTTGTTATTGTTATCGATTTTAACTCTTTTTAGTACTAATATTAAAGGACCTAACAGAAAAAAGAACTGATTGAAAAGGCTTAGATGGCACACTAGGTTAAATATCGACATGATGTGTGCATTTTTCAAAAAACCCAATTATCTTCCAAACTATTAATGTTAGGTATAGGACATATGGATTATAAAAGATGTTAAATGAGACGCCGAATACAACTAACAACGGAAGTAACACAACTGTGGCACGCCGATTTTGATGAAATTTGGTATAGCCATAGGATGGATCAAAATAAGGTTTCCGTATTTTTTTATACGTGCGGTAGAAGCCTCTGAGCCGAGTTTTAGGGGTTAAAAGTTTGGGGAAAAATTATATTTTTGCATATACACTGACCGGCAAAAAAAACCGGCCACTAAAATGTAGCCACAATTTCAAAGCTGGCTTACTCGCGAACCACTCATTCGATTTTGATGATTCTTTTTTTGATCGAAAGGTTGATTCTGAAATTTTTATTCGGATATTAATTTGAGCATATACGGAGTGCAAGAATGAGAAAACCTTTTTTTCTCCAAATTTGTAATACCCTGTGGAGTGCAGCTGCTACAGCAGAGGGTGTTAACTGGAATCAAACGGTAGCCCAATCTTTTCTGAGCATTTTGTTTTTTATTCACTCTATTATCTCTATTACTAACGAAGATGCAGTGTTTTAAAGCGATCGCCTGTGAAAACAAGACGAGTGACAATAGTAGCTGATGACCGTTTTATTGTTCTAAGCAATCGTAGAACGACAGCTGTAGAAGCTCGGTGTCGTCTTCAAATGGTGCATGTTGTTGATGTCAGTGAGAGAACCATTCGCTGAAAACTTGCTAGATGTGGTCTCGCTGCAAGTAGGCTGCCAAAGGACCGAGGCTGCTTCCAAGATATATGCGCGTTTACATGTAAATTGGGAGATCGAGCAATGGAGGAAAGTCCTTTTTACGGATGAGTAGTGGTTTGTCTATCACCCGATGGTGGATGAGCGAATATGAAGACGTTGAAATGAAAGGTTTGTGGACTATACAATTATGAAACGCGAATGTTTCGATGGTGGTTCTGTGCTGGTGTGGCCGGGAATTTCCAAAGAAGTCTATACAGATTTTTAATCATTGTTAAAAGTGGCGCCTTAAATCACTGACCTTGAAAACAAAAACTGGCCACCCGAAACAGTTTTGCAGAAGAACTTACATTTTCTTAGAATTACAGAATTACGTACGTACTTCATTATTGTAAACATCTGTTGACAAATAAACAAGAAAACAAACTTAATTTAATGTAACAATTAATAATAACACGAAAATTAATAGCGTGTGTGCCCCCCACGAACTAAAATAACGTCATGTAGTCGACGCGGCATCGAACTGATTAGGTTCGTAATTGATTCCTGAGGAATTGCGGAAAACTCTTTCAAAAGCAATTCGCAACTCTTGAAGGTTGTCCGATAGGACAGGACGACGACGAATGCGTCTCTCAAGTTGGTCCCAAAGATATTCGATAGAGTTAAGGTCCGGGCTGCACGCTAGCCACTCTATCCGTTCAATACCCTACTTCATCACGATATTCGTTAACCACACGTTCTACGATTCATCAGAGTGTTTAGAACAATAAATCGGCCATCAACTGCTGTTGTCACTCGTCTTCTACCGATACCTTGCCGCCTAGTGAAATTTCCAGTTTTCACATATTGGTTCCAGGCATCCTGAACTGTTGTTCGGGGTATACCTAACGTATGGGCAACGTATTGCTAACTTTTGCCATCTTCAATTAAAGTAACAATACGCGCAACATCAATTACTGACAACGGGATTGCTATTATGTTAAAAGACTGTAAAAATGTTTAACAACTGTCAATTTACTATTCGAAACAAATGATATACGCTACCTAGCGCGCCACCTTAGATTTTTTATGGTTGTTTGTCTTGTTTTTACGGGCATTCGCTTTAAAACACTGCATCTTCGTTAGTAATAGAGATAATAGAGTGAATAAAAAAACAAGATGTTCAGAAAAAATTGGGCTACCGTTTGATTCCAGTTAACACCATCTGCTGTAGCAGTTGCACACCACAGGGTATTACAAATTTCGAGAAAAAAAACTTTTGCTCATTCTTGCAGCCCGTATATGCCCAAATTAAAATCTAAATGAAAGTTTCTATCGCAGGATTATTACCGAAGAATCAACCTTTCGATCAAAAAAACAATCATCAAAATCGAATGCGCGGTTCGCGAGAATGCCAGCTTTGAAGTTTTGGCTAATTTATAGTGGCCGGTTTTTTTTGCCGGTCAGTTTATTTCAAAAACGAAGTGCTCTCAAAGTTTGGTGACTTGAAACTGATATTCATTTTAATAAGCTTTCATTTGATGTATCATACATATACTACAGGGTGAAAAGGGGCGAACTACCCTTATTTTGTCGGGTTAGTTTAAAAACCACCCTATCGATTTTGATGGCGTTAAATATACTTGTAGTGCATTCAAAAATATTAGTTAAGTGTTTTTTCGTTACGTTGCACAGTAAAATTTTCAGTGTAAAGTAAGGCATATACGACATTTGGGGGTATTGGGGTTAACTACCCCCTTAAGAATGAATTCTATTCTAGGCGTTACTTGTCGAATTTTCCACGGTATTTGTTTTATATGTGAAGTAAAAATTTTTGAAAATGGTTATAAGGGCTGGAAGTTAAGGGAAGAGGTAAATATAAAACTTGTAGATAAATAAGTTATTTTATTTTTTTATGTTGAAAACCAACTAACAAAAGAAATGTTAGAAAAATTCTAATGTTGAATGTTTAACCACTTAATGCTACGGTTTTTCTATAAGATATGCAGGTCGAGCGACAAGGCGAAAATGGTTTAAACATAAGGATTAACACCATGTACATGTTATGACCGCTACATCCCCACAAATATCACACGTTGGCTTTTCACTCGAAAAGCAAACTCTCACGGAATTTTCAAAATGATCGGGTCTTTCATCTAGATATCCACCATGCGTATTTGAAAACATTTGTAAACCTAGGTGAAGACAATTGGTTATGCGTTAGGGACTGCAATTTTAATATATTATCCCTCTAATGTAAATTGAAATCATACTGGTAAAAAATAACTTGGTCAGAGAATCTTCTAATAAAATTTATCATATCCTGAAACCAAATACATCTAAGGGCTGTATTTCACCGGTTGTTCCTGCATGTATGGATAAGCGTTTAAAATTAGTGTCTAATGGAGTTACTTCACTAATAACTTCAGGACAATGGTCAACCCAAGAATCCAATAATAATGATTTGGATCCAATATTTGGAAAATATACATTTTCTAGCCAATTTTTCTTATGTGCTGAAGTTAATTTTCCAGATTTTGATGCCAACACGTATTTGCTACCCTCAGTCCAAAGGTGTCAGAGGTTTCTTTTAAAACAATTAAAACTAGGGAAAGAAGTTTTCCATCAGCAGATATTATGAGTTGAATAGATAACTATGCGCACATTCAATGGTTTTAACGCCTAAATCGCTTAATGTTCTTCCCGAGTGGATCTCCAAGTTAAAACAGCTCTGATCCGAATTGTAGGTGTTTTCAGATACATATATTTCAAATTGTTGCATTGCCTCTTTAACGAAATCTTTCGCTAAAGCTTTTACGCGATAAAATGTTTTGGGTTAATTGAACCATTTCTTTTGTTAGCTGGTTTTCAACTCATAAATAAATAAAGTAACTTATTTATCTATAAGTTTTATATTTACCTCTTCTCCTAACTTCGCCAAACTCGACAAGTAACGCCTAGAATAGAATTAATTTTTAAGGGGGTAGTTAATCCCCACTACCCCACAAATGTCGTATATCACTTTACATTAACAATTTTACTGTGGGACTAATTTACGGTTTTGTTTAAAATATTTTCAAGATACCTGACAGTTTTATCACATCCTTTTAGTTACGTGTTAATCCTCGTAACATCGCTGGAGTTGATCTACGACGAATGAGAAAAAACACTTAACTAATATTTTTGAATGCACTACAAGTATATTTAACGCCATCAAAATCGATAGGGTGGTTTTTAAATAAACCCGAAAAAAAGGGTAGTTCACCCCTTTTTACCCTCTGGTATATGTATGATACATCAAATGAAAGCTTATTAAAAATGAATATCAGTTTCAATTTACCAAATTTTGATAGCACTTTACTTTTTCAATATATGCAAAAATGTAATTTTTGTCTTTAATGTCTGCTGGAGCAGATTTTTCTAGTAAAATTCGATTGAATCGAGAACAGCCGAATCAAATTGCAAAAAGTAAAGTTATTCATAAACCTGGAAAACAGACAAATCCAAATATGTAAAAATATACAGGATGTTCCATTTAAAAAAATAAAGTAGGTGGCAACTTCCAATACAACCGGAAGTGCTAGAAATCTGAAAATATTTTAGTCGAAGAGAACGCAATTGATAATACTTAAATTTAAAATTTTTATTTTGGCTAAAACCCCAAAAACGTCTAATGAACGGACTAGCTGTATGAATTACTTCAAAAATAAAAATACAAATTATATATCTTAATTTTTAGGAATTCTTCATCAGTTCCTTCAAGGAAAAACGTTTGAACTGGTTTTAGCAGTAACAACAGTCCGATGCGAATTACGTACTTTAGTGGAGTTAATGATTCGTTTTAATGAAGGTTCAAAAGCGGGTGGTGATTTAACCCGGTTCCAATTATTCGATTTAACTTTTATTATGGTGATAGCAATCGTTCAACGTCACGGAGTGTCCGTTTTAGACGGATCCGGCGATTCATTAATTGAAAAATGGATTGCTAATTGCATGGTTGAACCAAACCACCCAAAAGCATCCGAACAAATGCTTAAATTGTGTAATCCCGCAATTGTTGAAACTCTTTTACAACATTTTAATGAAGGTAACGCAGATGTCACATCAATTTCGAATATAAAATGGCAAGATGTTTTGTTTAATATGTCTGGAGTGATGAAGGAGGTTTTAATTGCTTGGGAACAAGGATCGTTGCAACCAGCTGATGTTCAAAGAATTTTGGATGCGATTCGAGGAAAAATGTGTTGTGTTCCTTTGGCGGCGGCAGCTTGGGTTTGCGCTTATATGCGAACCGCCCCTTCTATTTTAAAACCATGTAATGTGTTACATCAGTTGTTATCAACACCTCCAAATGCTGAAGATGATACGAGTATTTTAGATAGATGGCATTTAACTTTGGAAATAATAAGAAATATGCAAAAACATGTTCATACAGCTAAATTAATAAGTACTCGTAATAACAATTCTATACAACCAGCATCGGAGCAATTAAATAATATTTGGAAATCAACCTTGGGTAAAGGTTGGTTAGATTTTAAATCAGCAAGTACTCTACATGATTTATTAGATACAGCGGGATCAAGATGGTTAGTTACTTCCGTTTTACAGGAATTATTAAAAGTACGTTACAACGAGCAATTAGAGAAAGGGGCTGATATAGCTTTAGCTATATTTCACGTTGATATCAAATCATGTACAATCGAACTTTTATCAAGCGCTTTACCCCAAATTTTACACAATTCTCTTCAAGCCGATCTCTTAATGGAACCCCAATTAGTTATATTAGCTCGTTTAACGAGTTATTGCGTCTACGCGGCTTCAAATCTTCAACAACTTGATGAAGAAATCGATGACATCCCTTCAAAAAGATCCAAAATTGACATGCCAAGCGATAACGTTTTGGACGCTTTAAGGAGGTTATTAACAACGTTAGAAACGGGGATGTTAGATGGGCAATTACCTCAACAAACCTATTTTACTTTTGAGTTACTAAAAAGTATCGTTGAAGTTAAAATTCCAAGATCTGAAGCTGTTTTAGCAGCGATTCCTCCTACTTTAGGATCACAACTTTTGAGAACTCTACCGGATTCATTCAGTCCAGGAATTTTATTAAATTTACATGACTTACACACTACTCAAGGAAGAAGTCTCGCATCTAGAGATTTATGTATATTAAGAAATTATCAATTACGAAATGCTACAATATAAGGTTTTTTTTTTAATTTTGGTTAAGTTGTTAATTTAAAATTATTTTTATATATAATTGCTATTCATGATATAAATTGTAATTTGAAATATACAGGGTGATTCATATAAGAACCGACATAGAGCAGGGATTTGTAGAGAACAATAAATTAAGATGATTTAACGTAACTTATCTCTATACTAGGTTGTACCACAGAGGAATTATTATGAGGCATTTTAGAAGGTTGATTTTCCCATAAATTTTGATAGATTTTTTTAACCTTTTGGCGGATTTAATACATTATTACCTCATTTCATGTGGAATTTAATTCAAAAACTTTTTTCCTCTTATTATTTTTAAAAAAACTGTCGTTTTCATAAAAAACAAATAACTAAAGACACATATTTCTAAAAAACTCAAACAATTAAAGACCTTTTATCAATTTTACTTAAATCCACAAGTAAAACAATATAAATAGTAGACAAAAATGATTTTACAGAAAAACAACTTAAACAATAATAGAAACACTTATAATTTATAAAAATTGTTGAAAATGGCCACTATTTTCTCACAAATATTCTTCGTCGAAAATTGAAATCTACTCTCTCTGATAATGATTATTCCTTATGCTATTACATTTCTCCGTAATGCGATGTCACAATTCTGCTTGTGACGCAACTGAAGAATATACAGATTCTTTTAGCATTCCCAAAGATAATAATTACATTTACCGTATTTTCTCGAATCTAATCTGCACCCTTTTTACAAATTTTGTATGCTCTAAAATCAAATGCGAATTACAATCGGATGTGGATTACATTGGCAAACCAACTTTTTTTACCATCATTGCATTTTTAAAATCGAGGTGCGGATTAGATTCGAGTGCGGATAAGATTCGAGAAAATACGGTATTTACTGGTGACCTCTAGGGCCAAACTAGTGGGCAAATATTTCCACGTGCTATCATTTATTTGTGTTACCTTTTTTCATTTTTTTATGTAATTTTTTAAACTTATTGGTTATCCTCTGTTTTCCCTGCTTGTTCCGCAAACTCTAGTTTTATGTTGTTATAATAATTCTGCATTTTGGACACTATTATAATAATTGTCTTGGTATAAGTAATACCACTTTCCTAATACTGGATGCAAAACTTACAACATGTTCTCTTGTAATTTTTACATATTTTATAAACTTAGTCGGATTATACGTTCTAAACAAAAGCCTTCCTCTCCAAAGAAACATTATTTCGTCTAAAGAAATCCCTCGTCCAAAATAGGCTGAATTTTTATTAATCTGTGTGAATCACCTTTTATTTGGGTGTTGTCGTTAAAGTGCAAGAACATTGAAATTTGTTCAAATCGTGTGCGAGTCATAATTTTTGCAAATATTGGTGTTTCTATCAAAGGATCTTTTGCCCAATAATCATGTAATTTACTTATTTTACCTGTCTCATTAAAATTACAAGTCCAAGAAATCGCATCATTTCTATCGAGGTAACATCAGTCCACTTTAAAGCATTTTTATAAACTTTATACCTAGTTGCTCGTTCATTGTGATATCTATTTGTAAGAAGTCATCATTAAAAAATAGCTCATCGATGTTTTCGGGATATTCTTATACCAGAATTTCCTTCAAATGATTCTAATTCTGGTGGTATATCAATCTCGATGATGATTCTTCTGATTTACTATCGGTATTTTCATCCTCCTCTGACTCACCATTACTATTACTCTCATACTCTTCTGATTCAGAATTATGAATACTTTCATCCTTCTCTGATTCAGAAGAAGTATTAGTTTCCGTTTCAAATAAAATAGGTTTGCATTTTTTTTCTGATTATTCATCACTAATTTCGTCACTTTTGTTTTCAATTTCATATGTATTAACAAATGTTTGCTATGTTTATAGGCGATTTAATTGTTTATCTATGGAGAAATAATGAAAAGAGAAATCAGAAAATTATTTATTGTACATATGAACAACAGCAACTTTTATTTGTTTCAGTATTGGTTTTTAGTGTGGTAAATTTCGAAGCAAGGCGTCAGACACAACCCTACGTTGCAAATGGTACACATGTACTGTGAATGTTTGCTCTTTCTGGGTCCTAAAGTTGTTTGCGAACATACAACACATCTTCTTTGAGGTGTCTTATTTGTCAGTGTGGCAGCAACAACGTGATGAAAATGTCTTTCCACCAATCTTCTAACATCTGGCACACGACGAGCTATTCTTATAGTAGGGTAATCAAGAGGAAACCTGTGTTAAGTATGAAGCTAAAAAAATTTTACAATTCACATAAGTTTCAGCTGGAAATTACCAAAAGAAATTTTGTTAATACTTTTTGTTTGCATCATTGCGTGCGAGTTTAGAATTAATAAGTCTAATAAGTTTAAGAAAAGTTTCTTGTACCACTTCATACTTTTGCGCATGCATTCTATATTGCTCAACATCATATCTGTGCGATCAACTGCTCCCATTCTCTCATTGTAATTGATTACACACAGAGGTTTTTTCATAGCCTCATTTGTTCGCTTGTCAATTTTATCCATGATTACTATTTTGTTCTCGTGCATTGTAGATATGATAGTTACGTCGCGGCGATCTTTCCATTTTATGACAAGAATTTTATCGCTACTTTTCGAAGACAATTCGCCCTTCTTCAGTTTTTTTTCCAGTGTAGGCATATGTTTTCTATTTTCACGGACAATTCCACAGATGTTAGTTTTTTTTTTTTTTTTCGAAAAGATAATTTGCCAAATTTGGGCTGGAATAGTAGTTGTCTGTGAAAAGTTTGTATCCCTTGTCAAAATATTGTTTCATAAGAGACACTACGACAGATCCTGAAGATCCTAGACCCTTTATTTCTTCAACAAACTGTTTTGTATCATTTCCAACATACACAACGAAATCAAGAACCATTCCACTTTCACAATCACAAAGAACGTACAGTTTCATTCCAAAGCGATGCCTTTTCGTCTTTATGTATTGTTTAAAGCCTAAACGTCCTTTAAATAACTCCATGTTTCTTTCTTTCATCGACAACTAAATTTTCAAACGGGTAGAACTGTGTCTCTTTCATGAGTGCGAGAACTTTTTCTACCTTATATAGTTTAGTAGTAGGTTGTTTTTCATTATTCACAAAATGAAGATTTGAAAGAATACTCATATATTTATCCCTAGGCATGGTTCTAGAAAAGATTGGAGACTCGTGTAAGGAATCTGTAGACCAATACTCTTTTAAATTAGTTTTTTGTTTCGAGACTGCTGCTGAAAGTTCTTGCTAATCCGTTGCCTGATTTTGATTGGCATATCTGTTAGTTTCGGTTACAATATTAGGCTTGAAAAATAATCAAATTCTATGGAATTTTCAGACAGAATCATTCCTAATGCCGCTATTTGTAGTATCAAATTCGAAAATTGTTGTAACGAAATCACTGTCTCCCCAAATTATTTTTATGTCTGTGTAATTTTTTTCTGTCGTCGCTAGATCGTTTTCTAGTTTTCTACTGACATTACATCTTGATATGCATCAATTAACAATATCATCTTCTTCGGACTCTTCATCTTCACTTGGCTTTTCTTCGCTGCTCTCCACGTAAAAATCCATTCTGTTGGACATTGTGCACAATACTAACCATCCGTTTCACTTATTACGAAAAATATATCACTTATAAAAAATATAGAACATGTGGGGTGTTTGAACATTGGCCACGTGTGAAACAACGCATATACCGTCTGCGCAGTACAAAAGTTTGTGCCATTTAAAAACGACTTTCGTCTATAAGACACAAATTTTAAAATGTATGTATATATATGAATGGCAATAGATCATAGGACCCTCAAAACCTTTTGCGTATATATACGGCAATCGTCCTTAAAGGGTTAAGAAATAAAACCCGAAACGAGAATTCTCGTTTTTTGACAATTTTTTTTTAAACGAGTATTTTCGTTTCCAGATGAAACGTTTTTCTTCAAAAAACGAGAATTCTCGTTTCCCGATGCGAATGTGTTAAGTAATTTTTATGAAAACGATAAAGTTTTTTAAAAAATAATAAGAATAAAAAAAGTTTTAGATTCAAATTCCACATGAAATGAAGTAATAATGTATTAAATCCGCCAAAAGGTTAAAAAAATCTTGCAAAATTTAGGGTACCATCACCCTTAATCAACCCTTTGAAATGCCTCAATTGGACTCAACTTGCTATCAATTAATACCCTTGGTACACTCATAACATATACCAAATTTGGTTTTTCTAGCTTAATGTATTAGGAAGATATTGAATGTATTAAACATTTAAGACCGAAATTTGAAGGCCTATAACTCCTCAGGGTTATGTTCATGTTAATTTATTGTCCCCTACATGTCCCTGCTCTGTGTCGGTTCTTATGTAAATCACCCTGTATAATAATCATAGAGTTTAAAATTTTTTGTCTAAATTATTATGATTGATTGATAAATTGAGGTTATGTCAAAGATTTTGTATAGAATTAAAATTTGTGTAATAAATTCAATGAGATTTATAATTTAAAACATAGTTTGTTTTTTATTTATTAATTGAAAGCTAAATTTAAGTTTTTTCATCACTTTCATCATCGCTTGAAGAAGATGGTGGGAAATCTCTTTCATCTAAGAAAATTAAAATAGATTTAAAATTAATACAAAATTGTGTATTCACCTTTTCGTTTTAATTGAAGTTCTTGTTCCTTTTTTAAATATTTTCCTTGTTCTTCAACAACAGATTTACTATCACTACACCCTGCATAAATATCCAACAATTCTTTATTGAGTTCTATGAAAGAATGTCCCCAAGAAAATTTATCCAAATAATGTTTAGCTTCGTTTTTATAACCAATAATATACAAAGTAGCTGCAATTGCTTCTACACAACTCAACTGACAAGGACGTCCGTAATTTATCGGATTAGCGGCTACTAAAAATGGTAATAAACGTCCATGTTGAGGTTTTAACGCCCCAAGAGGTGTCGAATCGATTTTAGCCCATGAACAATCAACAACAGCGATTCCTTTAGATTCTAGGATGTCTTTATCTGCAGGGCTTACGCATTTTTCAGCTGTTGGTGTTAATACTAAACCCGGGAAACGTTGTTTGATTTTAAGCGGTCTTACTAGTCCTAAACGTGCTAATTTACGCCCTGAACATTTTTTTGGGTCGCATTGATTAAAATCCCACATCGCTACGGGAAAATTAATTTGTATCTCATCTTCTTCACTTGAATCGTCTTCAAGTTCTAAAGAACCTATTGTATCTTCTAATGTTGACATAATCTTAAATAGTTTATTTTAATCAAAACGTTTCAAAATACACATAACCTCAAACGCTTCGGAATGTCAAAATAAACTTGATTGAGGTTATGTATGTTGTCAAATTCAATTTTATTATAAAATTTTTGTTATAACACTAAAGAAAAATTATTAAGTCTTAAAATTACGTAATTATAAAACGACGTAAACGTCCATTTTGGGGTTTCAACGCCCCAAGAGGTGTCGAATCGATTTTAGCCCATTAACAATCAACAACAGAGATTTCTTTAGATTCGAGGATGTCTTTATCTGCGGGGCTTACGCATTTTTCAACTGTTGGTGTTAATACTAAACCCGTGAAACGTTGTTTGATTTTTAAGGGGTCTTACTAATCCTCATAGATAACTTGTACTAATCCTAAACGTGCTAATTTACGCCCTGAACACTTTTTTGGGTGGCATTGATTAAAATCCCACCTCGCTACGGGAAAATGAATTTGTATCTCATTTTCTTCACTTGAATCATATTCAAGTTCTAGAGAATCTATTGTATCTTCTAATGTTGACATAATCTTAAATAGTTTATTTTAATTAAAATGTTTAAATACACATAACCTCAAAAGTTTCGGAACGTCAAAATAAACTTCATTGAGGTTATGTATGTTGTCAAATTTTATTGTAAAATTTTTGTTATAATACTAAAGAAAAATTATTAAGTCTTAAAATTACGTAATTATAAAACGACGATATGGATGACGACATTTATAATAAGTTAAAAAATTCAGCTTTTTCAAAAATGACAAGAGTGAGTCCAAAAAATAATAGAGTAACATTAGGACCGGAAGCAATAGCAACATGTTCAACACCAAAAAAGAAAGTGCAAAAGTTGGCGCAAACCCCAAAAACAAAATATACAACATCTAACATAGCAAAACCATCTCCGATGAGTCGATTAATAGCAGGGTTGGAAAAGTTAAAAATGGAAGATGCATATGAGGCAATAAATCAAAGGCATCAACAATTGGAGGAGTTTGAAAAGGAACAAAAAAATAAAATGAAACGTGCGTGGCATTTACAACAACAATACATGGTAGCAAAAGTTCAAGACCAAGAATTTTTAATTTATCAAGCCTTAGAAGAGCATAATAAAAATGCTGTTAAAAAAAACGAAAAGTTGCTTGAGTATTATCAAGAAATAGCTGAGAGAAGACGAAAAAAAGATGAAGAATTACAAGAAAAGGAGCAACAAAAAAAGGAATTATTAAGAATTATCGATGTTTTAAAAAGAGATCACACCGAATTTAGGGAGGGTTTCCAAGAAATTGTCAATTTGACAAAAACCCAAGATTCTGTCTATTTAAAAACTAATTTAGGACATATCTCAACAAAATTAAAAGTATTAAACGGAAAAATGGATGAGGTTGTTGGAAAATGTAAAACTGGAAATGTTAGTCAAGAAGATGTGGTTCAATCAAGTAATAATTTAACAGAATTAAGAGGTTTACAAAATAAAATCGTTAATGAACTAGAAACAGAAAAAAGATTTAAAGAAGAAAAAATAAAAGAGGCAAAATTAAAAGAAGAAAAGTTACGAGAGGAAAAATTAAAAGAAGAGAAACTAAAAGAAATGGAACGTTTAAAACAGGAACAATTAAAAGAACAGAAATTAAAAGAGGCGGCTAAAAAAGAAGAAATTAAATCAAATCCGATCCAACAACCAGGAAGTTTAAAAAAATTAGATGATATTGTTAGTATGAATTCATTAAAACAATATTCAGAACTCCAAGATTTTCAAGTAAACGTACAAAACTCTTATAATCAATTAGAAAAAGATGAGAGTTTAAAACAATTTAAATTTGATTGTAAAAAAGCGATAAACATCCCTGTAAATGCTATTTCCGGGTTAAACCCCCAACATCTTTTAGATAAATACAATAGATTATCTCAACTTTTAGCCGGAAAATCAGTACAAGTTGGTGATAAACATTTTTCAGCTAGTATTCACCCTCAGGGTATTCTATATTGCATGGATTTATTGGCGAAAAAATTCGTTTTACAAGGTGATCTAATGATATCGAGTAATCCTGAATCTGCGTTTTATTATGGAACGATTATAGTTTCACTTTGGAATCAATTTCCCGATTTTGGAAAATTAATTTTAGCCCATTTTCATAAACAGTGTCCTTATCTAGTTCCCATTTATTTACCGAAATCAATTGATCAAACAGATAGGGATTATTATGAAAGTTTGGGGTATAAATATAACGAAGATGGAACTGTTGAGAAACAAGACAAATTTTTAAAACGAATGATTGGAATTATACGTTTATATGCAGCCGTTATCATAAGTTTTCCCAAAAAGGACCAAGGTAGAAAAAATCCGTTGGGTTTAACAGAAGGTTGGAGATGGTTAACAGCTTTTCTAAATTTAGAACCAAGAGTGGATGTTACGGCTACATTATTACAAGCGTTTTTAGAAACGAGCGGATTTCAAATGCAAGCGCATTATGGAAAACAATTTGTTAAGTTGATGAAATATTTTCAAGTTAAATTTATGCCAATGTTGAAGAAGATCGATACTGGTGGGCCATTTACACGTTTAGAAGGTCTTTTACGCGAATATGTTAAAAGGGGACAATTTGAAAAACCTGGGGGAATTTTAAAAGAGGGCTTTTGGTGATTTTTATTTCAATAAAAAAATATTTCTTTGAAAATTACTATTTTTCTGCGACTATGTATAATTATATTTAATTTAGCATATTAAACACTTCATTTTAAGTTAAAATAAATATTTTGAATACTTTTTTTTTCAATTATTAATAAACCCTACAAAACTTAATTTATTTTTAACTCCAAAAAATATCTACGAATGGCTGGATAGACAATCTCTGGTCTGATTAGCACAACGCCAACTCTAGCAATGGATGTTCTGCTTGGCCTATCTCCTTTGCATTTGCATATGCTCCGACATGTCCTTCAGCATGTGCTTTCAGATTATACCAAGGTCCGTTGAGTACGGGGTGAGGTAGGAAACGTGACGTCATTGGAGGAAAAGTATAATATAATATACAGGTGCCCATTATGTATGGAATATAGTATATATCTTGGTAAGTATCAACTTTATAAAAAAAAACAATCTATACAAAAGTTGTTTAATATTTTGTTTTCCATAAATTTTTAAAAATTGTTTAAGAAAATTTAACTAATAACATGAATCTATATCCGAAATATCTATATCCAAAATCGTCAAGTACCTCGAATTCCGAACACTAGATATAGAACTAGAAACATTCGGGTTTAGCCGTCTTTTGAGAGGTGCAGCTAAACCCGAATGATTCTAGTTCTAGGTCTAATGTTAGTTTTATTTCAGTAAAAATAGACAACAATTGAACGCTTAGTAGTAATTAAAACTAGAACTAACACTAGACCTAGAACTAGAGAAATTCTGAAGACGCACGGCTAAACCCGAAAGTTTTCTAGTGTTAGTTCTAGTTTTAATGCAATAAAAATATACAACATAGTGATATCTAGCAACATCATGTTTGGACTCATTTTAAAGTTTTTTTTAATAAAAAATACGTCACGAAAGAACACCATGAAGTTGTCCATTTGTCTATTATATGATAAATAACTTCAGATTTAAAATGTCAACCTCAATTTTGACATATTTGTAATCTTCATTAAAAATCCTTTAAAATGAGTACAAACACGACATATTTATCATATATTATACAACAAAACGATCGAAAATACTCGATAATACGAGACGTATTGCCTGAAACACCACGAGACCGAAGGTCAAGTGGTGTTTTTTAAGGCAATACGTCGAGCTCTAGTCGGCTAGACTATTTCCTGAATAAAAAATATACATATTTTTTGAATTTTTATATTTTTTTAAAAAATCATATTGATTGTTATGGAAACATTCATGGATGTCACGAAATCAATGAAATGTCAAACAAGCGATTATACAAAGGTTCGTATTACAGCGATAATACAAAGGTTCGTATTATCGTTCTCCATGGTTACGGCCAAATAACCGCTGAAATACTCGCAATTGACGGAAAACCGCGAATTCTTATTGGCTGTTAACGTTATGAATGAAATAGTCTTCAATATTAATGAAGTTATGGTCAACTTCCGGTTAGAAATATTAGGCCAGGCGCGCACTAGCGATTTAGTTGCGGCAACTTAAAAATCACCAAAATGAAATACACTGAGTTATATGAAGCGGCGCGCACTAGCAACTATTTAATCACGGCAACTAAAAAATTACATCTTGCCCTATTTTCAAGGCGACTCAACTGTTGCCGGGAATAATGCAACGTACACGTTTTAACCTGTACGCGCGCACTGGCGATTATTCGGTCAGTTGCTACCAGTTGCTTTCTTTCATTTCGACTTAAAATTGGTTATTCCACATGGGGTTTCATTTTAGCCAAATACTTTTGAATCAGCCTGTATATTGTATTGGCATTTTTATTTAAATTTTGTCATATTGCCAATGAACAGTTCCCTGAGGAGAGGTGAAATATTTTGCAAAATAGTCTTTAATGTGAATACCTCTAACGGTACCTCTTGTTCCAACGGGATTCATGTTATCTAAATGACATTCGTACAAACTATCTTCGAAACAAACTCCATCGTGCTTCCTAACAAAATTGTGGAGAATGCAGCATGCTTTTATAATGATATCGGATAATTCAAGACTTATTCAGTATCCTCCATTTGCCAGCTAATATGCCAAACGAGCACTCCACCATTCTACGGGCTCTTGATCGCCTATAGTTAAAGACACGTTTCGTAACTGACAAATTTTTGCTAGGATATGGACGTAGAATATGTTCTGAAGTAGCAAATGCTTCATCGCCTAAAATTATAAACGGCATGACAGTTCCGGTTTCCTCATTTGGTAGCAGTGTTGGGCCTGGTATATTTAACTGTCCTTTTTCAAGTAAACTGCCAAATTTTGATTTCTTGAAAATATTGGAATCACTTGCAGAACCATAGGCTCCAACTTCTATTGAAGTAAAACAGTAGTCGGAATCTGCTACTCCAAGCAACACAGTTGAAAAGAAACACTTATAGTTGAAGAATTCAGATCCACTGGAAGCAGGTTTTTTTATTCTAATATGTTTGCCGTCGATGGCTCCAATGCAGTTAGGAAAATTTGTTCGCTTGTAAAAATTGTTTGCTATTTGTAACCAATCATCAGTATTTTTTGGTGGCATATATATAGACACTAAACATTCCCAAATAGCGATACATGTATCTCTCACAATTTCTCTTATTGTTGTTTGGCCAAGTAAATATTCAAAATGCAAAGAGGCGAAGCTGTTGCCTGTTGCCAAATATCTGTAAGAAACAATGTTATTATGGTAAACTTGATCTTGAACTGCAGTCAGTAAGATGTTAAAACTCGTATAACTCATTCTATAGTAACTGAAGAATTTCATGGGGTGATCCTTCAATGTTTCAAACAGTTTATAAAATTGACCATTAAACAGTCGCTGACTAATGAGGAGATGAACCCAGAAACGTCTGTTCTTCCTTTTTCTTCTTTTGACAATCAACGCACAGACACATGCTACATCAGTAGCCTCCATGTTGAAATTTAAGACTGCAGCAACTATCTAGTCGATAGTGCGCTGAGCGGAAATCTAATGGCAACTTTTTAATCGAGCGATTTTTAAGTTGGTCAACAATAAAGTCGCGAGTGCGCGCCTGGCCTTAACGTCAATTTTGACATACTTGTAATTGTCGTAAAAAATCCTTTAAAATGAGCCCAAACATGATACGTTTAATTCCAATATTAGTCGAGATATAAGCAACTTCCGGTTTAAAATGTCAATGTCATTTTGATAAATTCTTAATTTTTATAAAACGTCTTAAAATTTATCACAAAAATAAAAAAAATTAAAAATTAAGGTTGGTACTAATATTTAATAATTAAATTGCTATTTTTATTGTTGCTAACTTCGGGTTTATCGGCTTTGGACTCATTTTAAAGGTTTTTTAATGATGACAAATATGTCAAAATTGACGTTGATGTTTAAAACCGGAAGTGATTATATTTCCATTAAAATTAAAGTTAATGTCGAGTTTGGACTCATTTTAAGGAAATTTTATGAAGTTGACAAATATGTCAAAATTAAAAGTTGAAAGTTCGAACTTTTTGGTTTTTTGAGATAAATGCGTCAAGTTTGCACTCACGTTAAAGGTTATTTTATGAAGATTACGAATATAATAATAAAATTAAAGTTGACATTGACAACTGAAAGTTTTTTTCACGACTAAACCCGTCTGTTTCTAGTTCTAGGTCTTGTGTTAGTTCTAGTGATACTGCTAGTGTAAAACTAGCACTAGACCAAGATCTAGAAATATTCGGGTTTAGCCATGCGTCTTTAGACTTTTCTAAGTTCTTGTCCAAGACGCCCGGCTAAACCTAAAACTTTCTAGTTCTAGGTCTAGTATTAGTTCGTTTTAATTGTTATTTAACCCTAAATTCTTGTACATTTTAATTGATCTAAACATTTTTTTATGGATTTTTCCACTTACCTTGCTTATAATTTCATCCATTTACCCATTTTGAAGTAAATACAACCTTTAAATCCAATTAATTATGTGTTTTCATCAAAAAAACTTAAATTCAACGTCAATTTTGACAAGCAACTGCAATATTTGGATCTTAATCACCATGGTAACCGAGTCAAGTTGAATAACCTTAAAATAATAAAATTTTATTCCGATCTTTTTATCAATTCTAACGTATTTTTTATTAATTTTAAAACAATTCGAATTCTTTACGAGTATCTCGCATTCATAACAAATTCGTTAATTGTAGTTAATTTAAATCGATTCTAATTAAGAGAAATAAATTAAAAATATCTTTTTTTGAAGAAGATTTTCCATTGGATGCTGGAGATGAAGGACCATTAGTTGAGAATCTGCAGCCTCTGATTGCTGATAAACGTCAATTCCTCGTAGAGCAAGCATAATCATCAAATCAAGAAGTAGCGACTAATAAAACATCTGTGATTGTTTTTAAAGACTTGTCGCCTATTCCTGGACCAAGCGGTATTTCTTGGAAACTCACAAGAAATCAATATTCAGTTATATTAACGGATTCAGGGCAGAAGTCTATACTTGAGAAAAAAAATGAAAAACAACTAAAGCTTCTCTCGGAAATCACTAGAGTTTCATCTAGCAAATAGATCCGCGATTCCAAAATACAGTACATAAATTTGTGAAGATTCATCTTCAGAGTCAGATGTAGATCTAAAAGAAATCTGCCAAAACTCCTCTGATGATGATAATTGGTCAAAAATGAGTGAAAATGAAGATCAGCGAAAATCTAACAAAACAAATTTTATGCTTAAAAAACAATTAGAGTTGAAGGATAAAGATTTTGTGATTGTTTCAAACGACAAAATCATATTTAAATCACCCGCCATCTACCTATTTCTAATAACCTGAAGAGGGCGCTGATAACATAGCGTTGATTTCCGTAACCTGTCCACCATCTTCCTTTCATTCTGACGCCTCAACACGGTGAGTACCATTTCGTTCAGTTCATCCCAATATTCGCTAGAAACAACTCATTTTAGCTTTTATTAAACTAAAATAATGATTTCTATTCGTATTGTAATGAAGCATTCAATATTTATTGAATTAATCTGGTAATTTAAATTTTTTGTTGTTTACCACGTGTTCAAATTTTTTCTTACTTTCTTATAAATTTTAATGATGATTACCACAAACCACTTCTCGAAGCCTTCGATGAAGACAAAACTCATCACCCATCTATACTGATTAAAAAAAAAATTATTTTAATTTTTTTAAGTTAACATCAGGGAAACATTTTGAGGTTAGTTTGTGTTTGTTCTAGGTTAAGATGTCTTCGCATTTGGTGTGGAGCATAATTCGTAATAACAATGCATTCCTTCTCAAGAAGAGGAATATTGACAAACCGTTCAGTACTGTAAGTACGTAATCTTTTTTTTATGTTATCTATTTAGTACTCATAATAAGAACTCAATGTGTTTATGATGATACGTAACCACCAAGATCTCTGATTTGTGATTATATTCTTTGCTACTTCTGATGTATTTTTTTATACATAACATATATTATTTAAATGGTTTGATTTATTAAATAAGTTTTTTTCTTGTTTAAATAGGAACCTATGAATTTGACCAATTTAAACTCCTACAGATATAATGGGTTAGTTCATAAAAAAGCTGTAGGTATTGTAGATGCCACTGATAAAAAAGGATTTACCGTTGTTTATAAGAAAGCTAATAAACAAGTAGGTATAAATGAAATGTGTTAGGTTTGATAATTGCTATAATTCGTTATTCTTATAGAATAAGCCAAGAAAAAATATAATTAAAACTACCATGAAGGCTGGTCCAAGACGTTCCTTGGCTAAGTTGAAGAATTTGATGCAAAAGAATAGATATCGTACCGATTTGACCAAGGTAATTTTATTTAATTTATTAAAATTTGATTAAAATCTTAATTTTTTGTGATGAGCATTACCACCAAGATCATTGAGAGTATTGATGATAATTTTGCATGTATTACCTGAGGTTATTATTATTATGTTTTAATATTATTATCTTCTTTTAATTATATCTAATTAGAATGTTTAAATATTTTTCAGGCCGCCCTTCGCAGAGCATGCGCAATCAGCAGGTCACAAAAGGTCAAGAAGGACAGACAGCAAAGACGCGCTGCTGTTAAGAAAACTGAATAAGTGATGTTTATTTTTTATTTAAAAGATTTCAATAAATATGAAAAATTTTGTTAAGATTTTTTTTTGTGCCCATAACTATATTTTCCAGTTTAATGTAAATTTAATAAACTCAATAAAGAGGTACACAAAGATAGAAACAAGGAGATTTTTTTAGTAATGTAATCCTTATTAACCATGCTACTATAGCAGTGGCAAATCAAACAACAAAAGTCCTTAGCTTTGTGAAAAAAATGTCAGTTTGAGTTAGGGTTGAAAAAATTTGTCTAAGTTTGACACACGATTTCTAAAAAGAGGAGTAAAACAACATTCTTAGCAAGTAATTTCAAAAAATGGCTTGTTTACTCAAGGTTCCAAAATGGTAGAACGCTTGCCATCTTTTTTTTCATAAAAAATATTGCCCGTTTTTCTGCAAGACGTTATTTAAAAAAATTATACTTTCCTATGCTATTTGTATTTCCTACTTATTTTCTCTTAACTTTATTAGAAGATGTGCCACTCAATATCTACGGACTACAAAATGTGGTTTCAACAAAATGGTTACCCTTGTGTCTTGCAAAAGGACTGTTTCGAAAAAAGACAAAATTAAACAAAAGGAATTATTAATTTAAACTAAAACAATTGATCAAATTGTTTGCTGTCGCATGCATGAAAAGATCTTTTTACTATATCATTTCTGCTACGATCTTGGCTTTGAACGTCTTTTGCTGAGAAAGACGAAAGCTAACTAGATAGCGATGTTATTGTTAAATGCTGGTCCCGGATAACTCGGTTTGGACAACTCCCGGGTGTTATCGTCCACCTTTTTGTGAAACAATAATAGAGTTTAAATATTGCGTTTTAGTGCAAATCCTCCATTGGTAGTCCGACTTGTAATCAACGTTGGCAAAGCTTCAGGGTGGCGACGCGTTCTCGTTAACGATTGATTATTTGAGAAAACGTGATGAGTCGCAGACCAGAATGAGACGAGGGCGTTTAGGCACTTCTTGCGCGATCAACGGTTTTAGGCCACAGCTGAATTGACTCGTAGGTGCGATCGTCTGCATAATCTTCGTTGGAGGAATTGACGTTATTGTGCAGGCCAGCGGCATTGTTATCCTTAGTAGTAGGTATTTGCCGATTGATGACCTTAAGTTCCAGGAGGAAGTTTGTCAATCGGCAAATAGATGTGAAGTGACCTTGATGTTCCGCAAGGAGGTTTGTCAATCGGTAAATAGATCGGTTCACCCCCATATCATTAATATCATACATAAATAGCGCGTGGTTACGGTACCAGCAGCAGTGTGCTTAATTGTAATCAGTTGTAAGCAGTTAAGTTTAGTTTTTAAATTTAATAACAAGTAAGTTTAAATAATACATATATGACGTGTAACAACATAACTAATAATATAATGTATATTTAGTGGCATCAAGACATCAGTATTCAAGATCAGCTAGTGTAAAGAGGAGCTCTGCAATGGAGCAGCATGTGTTGCTAAAAAGTCGAGAAATAGTTTAAATCCGCAAAGCATTTCAATGTTAGAGCAATCGATGTCTGAGGATTTTTTTAAACATCAGAAGTCTAAAACAAATCGTAATGGGGTGGAGAATAAACATTTCGTAGAGCAATCGATACCTGAGGATTTTTTTAAACGGCAGAAGGCGAAAACAAACTTCAACGGTTCGCAAAATATATTACTTGCGAGCAACCGACACCTGAAAAGTTTTTTAAACATGAGAAGCCGAAAACCAGCTTTAATGGAAGTACTGGGATAAACGTACAAAATGGATTTATAGATTGTCAAAATACCACACAAGCGGTAGTTGAAGGGGGTGGTTCGTTACAAGATTTAAGACCATTCATAATGATAATGAAGTGGTTACAAGAATTGATAATATTGAAACTATAACGAATATACCGGAAAATATAACGGATGGATGTAGAGGACCGCTTTATTCAGAAACAATATATAGTTTAAATAAAAGTCGTACTAAGTGGGTGTCAACAGGGTTGTGTGCAGAATTGCACTTTGATCCAGTGGTAAAATTAATGGGAAAAGGTCAATGTTTAACATTAACCGAAAACGATTGCAATAATATTATAGTTTATAAGTCATCAATTATCAATAACAAACAGTTTTGGAAGAACACCATCACATTTAGTGTTGTGTAATATTAATATATCCTGTGATTGGATAGAAAACATTCGAAATGTTTTAAAGTTAGAGAGAGAGGAGGTGAATGTGTTTACATAGCATATGATTCTTTACATGAACTCTGGAAAACAGCAGATTTAGCATCAAATCCCTTGAAATTATTGAAAAGTTTAAAAGATGCGATTTAATGGTAATATCCTGCAAAGTCACTATATTGTGCCTCCGCTGGATTACAATTTTAATAACTTTAGTTAAGTAATATGTATACCTAATTGAATGGCTAGGTTGCTTGATATCACTTAGTGTCCCCAAATTGCTCTGTAGAGAATAAATATTGTGCCATGCAATAGACACCATACATAACATGCATAGACACCATAGCGATGTGGATGCACATCGCTAAAAGCTATAACCACGCAAAATTCGCGGTATTTTTCCGACGAGTTGATCCTATTGATGCTCAGAGGCTCTACACATAAAAAAACTAAAATTAGAATCATTGTTTGCTACATATTTGAAAACTACATTGCCCTCATTTGTGGCCAGTCTATCCGCAATGGAAATATTTCTCTTCAAACGTTGCTAAAAATTATATTTTTCTCCTGTTTTCTCCAAATGTTTAAAATGTATTTATCAGGTATTAACATTATCTTTTTAGGCTATAACAATAAATCAATTAAACTTAGAAGATTTAAATAATTTTATTTTTCCTTATATTATTTAAAAAGATTACAAAAGAATAACATAATTTAAAGAAATTTTAGTTTTGTTATCTTTCATCTCCATTTATTGTGAAGTTACTGTACTAGCAGTAACAGTTACCATGGGTGGTGGTGGAGGTGGAACAGGTGTGGTAACAATTTCATCAAGATTAACGATAAATCTAAGTCTTTTTTGCAACTTGGGTCTCAATTTTCGTACGATAACTTCAAGTTCTTTTTTCAAACTATCTCCAACAAACATATATTTAATATGATACAAAAAATCGCAGATGGGGTCGAGGTATTTCCATTCTTCTTGTGCTTGATCAACTTGCGCCACCAATTCGTATAAAGGTACCACAATTTCTGTTACGATTCTTGCCAAAAATGGACCAATTAGATGACATATGTACAATAATTGATATTCGGATTGAATTATCGGCGGTAGTTTGTCTTTTATCCATGTAGGTACCGTTGCCATTTGTCCGGGAGCTGCATGATGCCAAATTGAATGAGCCAAAGCCAAATGATGACTATAACGATTTTGTAAATAACCAGAATGTGTTAATGTGAAATTGAATAAAGTATACGGAGAATTGGTCCATTTCCACGTTTGTAAATCCATAAGAATTGAGTATAAACGATCTAAAAGTATAGACCAATAACTTGTTGGTAAAGCTGTTAAAATTAATCCGATTGCGTTTATATATTTATGAATTTGATCTTGTGGAATAACGGTGAATCCTTTTGTTATAACATCTAACAGGTTATTAGCGACTGCAACCGCTCCTGAGGGTAAAGCTAATAATTCCGCACAAGTTGTGTATAAAATATGAGCCCCGGCGTTTGCAAATTCATTAAATCTCCAATCGATTCCGGCTATTGGACCGAGATATACTCCAGATAAAGTATCGACAACTCTTTTAACGAGTTTTACGAAATAATCAAGGTTAGGTTCCCATATTTCATCAGCTGGGGTGTTTAAATATAATTGATATTGTTCCGATAAAATTTCTTTGTAAGCACCTAAAACGGCGGCAACAAGTTTTTTCTTCAAAGGTGGTCGATCCCAAAGTTTTCTTTCGTAATAATGCAAGGTGTTGTATAAATGAGTCACCGGTCGATCGTGAAATTTATATAAACAACCTAAATGTTCAAGAAGTATTTCCAAACTCTTCGTTACTTGAGGGATCTCTAAGAAGCGGTGAGTTATAATATCAAAAACCGGTAAAAATCTTAAACAAACGTTCCCAAAATACGGGTTATATTTAGGTAATGTATGTTCGCCGCTGGTTTCGTCTGGTGCAAACTTTTCTGGATATTTTCTATGAAATTCTAAATGTTTTTCGTGCCAATTCATTTGGTTCCAATGATCCGGAGTATTATCTTTAACAAAATCTTGTACTCTATTACGGAATTCGTATGCTTTCAATAGAACCAATTGTATTAAAAACGAACACACTTGAGCTTCACTTCCTTCTTGCGTCCTCAAAGCTAAACACAACACCAGTCTATCTATCGTTACAATATTATATTTCCAAATCATTTCGTTAATCGTATCGACGCATTTATTGACGTGTTGTCCCCCAGCTGAGTTGGTAAACTCAAAAACGAGACAATCACAAAATTTTCTGAGATGAGCCGACAAAGCTCGCGCTCCAATTCGCTCCAAAATCTTATAAGCAATTGGACTGATATGTTCAGTTTCTAACAGCATTTTCCATAAGAGACAAAGAAATAATGGTGGCGAACTTGGAACACCAAAGTGAGCTAAAATATCGTTTTCGTTATTCATCGAAGCCCATTTTCGGTATTCTTCGTCGATTGCTTTTTTTAATTGGGGTTTATTTTCTTTTGGAACTGGATGTTGTTGGAAAAATTTCGCCATCGCTTCCGGAAAACACTCCAATGTATGAGCGGCCCATGCGTGAGGTGTACTTTGAGCAATCGAAGCTAACAATTCGGTACACCAAGACCCATCAGCACCAGTAACATGCGTAGCTCTTGCTAAAGTTAAAACCAAAACTCGATTTAATTCCTCCGATTCAGCGGAAACTAAAGTTTTTGGTTCAGATAAAAAACTAGAAAGTTTTGGTTGAACTTCCCCAGATCCCAACCCAGTTATCAACCTCAAAGCGGTTGATTCAACGCATAAATGTAACTGCGTGTGATTAGCTTGAGGGCCAGCTGCTAAAGAGTGTAAGTGACTTAATAATTGTACTCTATAATGAGGATGAATATGATGTATGCGATAACTAAACATTTCTAAAAGTGTGTAAAGTGTTGCCCATGCGTGTGCTTTATAAACAGTTGGTAATAATTGACTAATAAATCCTTTAATTCCCAAAGATTCAATTTCTGTATAAACCAACAACCGACTGTAAGTTTCAACCAACGCGGGTGCTAACGCAACTCCCGCTTTTTGTTGAGCTAACTTCATCACATGAGTCACAATGCTGTGAATAAGACTCATTTTTGAATGAATCGTTAACGAGTCAAGTACAGCCATTGAAAGAGGTGCCGAAGGAGGTGTTGGACTCTTTGACCCTTGAACGCTCTCAACCAAAGCTGCCATCGGTTTACTAAAAACATCTTGATTCGTAGAATACGCATTACACAAAAGAATAATCCGATAATCGGGTCCCATCGTTAATGGGGCATTACCCGGTGGTAAAAGATGTTGTAAAAATTCATATTGAGCGCGTAATTTCTTTGGGATCGGTGCGTTTTGCAATGGGTGTCCTTCAACTTGGGCTTTTTTAGTTAAATGAATCCATGTACACGTCATCGCCATTTGTCTTGTACATTGTGGTTGGGTGACATCAAAAGCTGGGGGAGTTTCATCTTCAGGATAAAATAATTCGTACAGTTTTAATACCGGGAGAAAATTGCTTAAAGGATTTCGATGAATCGCACCGGAAATAAATTGTAATAACACCCACATCAATTGGTCGCGTCCTCTTTTATATTCCTTACCTTGCAATCGATCGACAAGGGCTAACACAATATTTTGAAAATTAGCAAAATAAAACAAAATGAAATAAATCAATTGCGACGAAAGATGTAACCATAACCCTTGCGAAATATTATCATTAACATCATTTTCACTTTTATCCATTGCTAAAATGACTAATTCAATAATTTGCTCTTCTAAAGCAGCGCAATGTTGGCGATGTTGTTTTTGTAAACCCAACATTCCACAAACCATATCCCTCGAGTATGGCTGTTCAATTACATAACGCAATAAACCACTTTGTTTTTGTAATACATCTGGTTCGTAAGGTAAAGTTCCTTTTATTGTGTATCGTAAAGTAATTGGATCTAATTTCCAAGGATTTACAAGATGTTCAGGACATCCACTATGTTCAACAACAGGTCTCATCTCTCCATGTCCTATAACAGATACCATTTGAGCACAAAATCGAAAACTTTCGATATACTTAATAAATAATCCGCTTAATCTCCAATGAGGAAATTCGCTGTACGATTTTTGAAGCTCATTTACTAAGAGATAACCAGGTAATAAACATTGATCTCTATCCATAATTTTACGTACCAACTCAGTTAAAATCATCATTAAAGGGTTTTGCCCAACACTTATACTGTTAGGTATAGTTTTAGCTTTTTCACAACAGCCTCGCATTATTTCTCTCACTCCTTTGTACTCGACCAAATCAATGGTATTTAAAATTAACTTAAAACATTGCATCCAAAAATCCGAATTGGTCATTTGAAGTTGTTCAAAAGTAATTACTTGTTCGCACACTAATCTAGCTGGTAAAGCATTCGTTCGTATCAACCTTTCCAATAACTCCAATAATAATTGTAATTGACTTTCCGAGCATACTTTCAAAGTTAAAGCCACTGTTAGGTAATGTTTTATCGCCGCTTCCGTTTGGTCTTGATTCATTCGTTTAAAAGCCGCTGTTAAATCCAAAACCCATCCTTTCTTCTTGTTTTCGTCATTCTCCGGGCGGTGTTTTACAAAACAGGCGAAAGCTTCTTGCACATTTTCAGCGTAAAGGATATCGTTTATAACTTTATTTAAGGAATCAGTCATTTTTATAGATGTTATTTAACCGCTTTTAATTAGTTTCTTCGATTCATTTCTCAATATATTTGTGTTATCGTGTTATTTTGATTATTTAAATACTAAACAAGTTTTGAGGTTAGTTATTTTTATGTGAATTTCTCAGTTGATTTGTCAGGTTGGGTTATGTTTTGGATTCTAATGGCGGGATATTTAAAAAATTTTTAATTTATTGTTATAAATATAATGATATGATTTAGTGTATAATCATAAATAATTATTAATTTATAAATAATTTATAATTATTGTTAATATTACAAATCGTTTTATTTAATTATTTTGAATGATCAAGCTCTAAATATCTCTTATAAAGATTTGACAACAGATGGCACTACAATAAAAATCTATAAATCTTTTAAAATAACTTTTATACTTAATAAATGTGCAATATTATTTATCAAAAGTTAATTTTTGGCTAAAATCTTCATTCTTTTAAGAAAATAAAGATAAACTATTCAATAAATTAGTCTTTCATCTTATTATTTATTTTTATTAATTAACAATTTATTACTTTCGCAATATAGGCAACCAATGTTACTATATAATCATTTTATTCTTAAATAATTATAATTTATAGGAAAATTAAAGCATGATTTTACATTTCCATTGAAAATTATACATTACGCAATTGCCCCCATAAGTTTGTACCTTATTTCGTCATTAAATAATATTATTTAAGTAATAGCTCTGTATTACCGATTTCGGGGAATTTTTAAAGCGGGTATTTTAAAAGAATTTAGGTTTTATAAATTAATATTTGTTACTTTGAATACTTTTCCTAGTTGTTTCTTTTGCTGCAATTAATTATATATAATATTTTAATTTTAATAATGTTAAAAAAATTGTGGGAAATTTAACAATAATAAATATAAAAATGGAAATCATTTTTGATTTTAAATAATCTAACGTTTATTATTAATAATTTAAGTAATTTCTACTTAAATATATTATTTGTAAATAACATTTTGTTTTTTTTTAATTTATTTGGTGATTTTGACATTTGTTATTTTTAGCGCCCAATTTAAAAGATTAAGAAATTTTTTGAAATGGGATTTAAATCTTTACAGGTTTATAAATTACATTTTGAAATATATTGTTTGTTAAAACATATGTTGTTGATAATTTTTTATTAAAGATCACGTACATTTTTTTATTTACAATTTAATTGCCATTTTTGTAATAACCTTAAACAAAAAATCAATAGAAAACAAATCATATTTCAAAACATACATTAGTAGGCTTTGTTTATTAATGTTTTTGTAATTTGAGTGGCAAAATTTTAAGTTAAAAAGACACTCGTTTTGATCAGATAAACAAGATCGTTCTCGCAAGATAAACATTTTAATCATATCTACAAATTGAAACATTTTCAATAGTTTTATATAACAAATTTGTAATAATATCTGGTTACTTGGTGCGTTTTTAATTTCGCTTGATTCATTTGATTGCATCTTTGTTTAAATGTGCGCGCGCAACTCATTTCGCACTTGTTTTGAGTCAGCCAACTCGGATCCTCTCGGTCAGTCAATAATTTCATGGCCAATTGTCCGTGCGCGTTCGCTCTCTCGATTTTCCCTTTAAAAAAACTTTACAATGTAAATGAAAATATTAAATAAAATAGAAAAAAATCGTTTTCGTGTAGTGTTTTACAATGGATTCCGGTCTAGGTAGTGATGAAGAACGCCGAGGAAGAACCACTAAAGAACAAAAACAGAGGCATAATCAACAATTATTAACCGGGTGTTTTATAAACGGTGGTGGAATTGATAGTGTTAGAAGTGATGGTGGTGGTGAAAATGATATCCCCATTAACACTAACGGGGATATGGCTAGAAGAAGTCACCACGAAAGACGTCAAGGGGCGTTACTTTTTCAAACTTCAATACCCCAATACTCAACGATGCACATGCCCGAATGTAGCCCCCCAGATACCCCTTATAATTCAATAGTCCACATTGAAGATGAACCACCACCGCAAGAAATCGAACAACACAAAGCCCCGTTACGATTTTACGTTGATTTAAGTGAAGTTGAAGACCCCGAACCCCCAATCCCACCACCTTCAACATCTGCGAAAAAAAATATTTTTTCGATGGTCATTGATTTTCAAGCTCCCAAAAAGGATATGCCCAAAAATTTAAGACGAAGTAGGGGTGGTTCTGCCGCTAGTAGTAGTAGCAATGGAGATTCCAACGGGGGTGGAATGAAAAACGGTGGTGAATCTTCTAATGGGCATCAATCAAACGGCGAATCTTCCGATTATAACGGAGAGGGATGTTCGAAAACTTTAAGAAAGGGGGTTAGTGAAGAAATAAAAGATGAAGATGAGGTTCGAATCAGCCCAGAAAGTGTTAAACATTCCAATTCGGTTGAACCAGAAACTAAACAGGTAAGATTACATTCTAATAAATTGATTTTAAATTATTATAACCTCAAAATTTTCATATGACGTTTTGAATAATAACCTCAAAATTATTTTTGACATGTAATACGTCAAAAAATTAACTGTCAAATTTTTTTTACTTGTTATGAAAATAACTAATTATGATGGTTACATATATGTATATCAATTATCTTATAATATTTAAATTCCTCTCCGATTATGACGGAGAGGGATGTTCGAAAACTTTAAGAAAAGAGGTTAGTGAATAAGTAAAAAATGACAGTGAAGTTTGAGTTAGTCCAGAAAGTATTAAACATTGCAATTCGGTTGAACCAGAAACTAAACAAGTAAGATTATATTGTAATAAATTTAATTTTAAATTATTATAACCTTAAAATTTTTGAATAATAACCTCAAAATTATTTTTGACGTTTCATACTTCAAAAAAATATTCGTTGACGTTTAAGCTGTCAAATTTTTTTTACAAAATAACTTTATTGATGATGGTTTAAACGAAATAAAAATTAAATTGAGGATATATATATTAATTATCTCATAATGTTTAGATAAAATAAACCCAACCCTTTATTTACTGTCGTACATACAATTTGATTATAAAAAATTAATCTAAAAATATAACAAAGTAAATATAGCCACACTAATATTTATTATTCCATTGAGAAGATGCTAGTTTTAATCTAAATTATAAAATCGTTGTTTGTTTTTAATTCAGCACAAAATTTCTAACAGCTGTTTCACAAAACCGGAACACACTGAAAAACTTTATCGCATAATCAAGTCAGTATGAGCGATAAAGATTAAGTATTTGATGTCAGACTCTGAAGATTGAGTAAAACTGGGTCAATGATTCTAAATATTGACCATGAAGTTACTGATTATAAAGAACAAATTTGAGAGCTAAAAATCGATAACATTCTTTTTTTTAGGATCAAATGATATTTTCGTAAAATTACAAGTGTAATTTGAGCGCTGAAATTTGTTTTTTTACGAATTTTATTATAAATCTATTATTGGAATGCTAATCAGCACATTAGTGATAAAGAAAGTTTTGCAAGAACAAGAAATTGCCGACCTACGAATATATTATTTTGGGAAGAGGTCTGAAATTATCAATTACACACTTCTGTTTAGCACAATAAACAACGTGTTTCAATGAATAACTTACCAACAACAATACTTTTCCTTATCGATTCTACTCATTTAATTACATTCCTAACACTGTCTCTTAATTAACTTCCTAATCTAAGCTTTCTCTATCTTTTTTATACATAATTTCCTGACCTTTTGTTCACTTTTTACACCTTTTGTGTACTTAATCTATTTGCTCCAAGCCGTACATTATCATCATCAATTTTCAATCAGCTTTATGTATGTTAATCAGTCTAATTTATAGATTTTTTTCTAAATATTTACGAATTTCGAGGAGATTGGTATTTCAAATCTATCTAGTACTTCAAATAAAAAAAGAATATTTCCATAATCATTTGATGTATTTTTGCAAAATTGTTTTTATGCATCAAATAATTGGCTCATTATAAGCTCCTATATTCCTAATCTGAAAACATAATAAAACACGTGTACTGGCCTTTACCTTTACCTGGCCTTTTATCAATATCCTTATAAAATTGCGCCAGATCCATAGCAGATCATTATTTTAGGCGTATCTATAAAATATTTTAACTAAACAACTTCAAGTATAATTCAAATATGCTCTGAAAGATTGTTATCATTATTACATATTTTAAAAGATTGTACATAAAAAATTGGAGAAGAAATGTTGAAATTATTATCGACACATTGAGACAAAACCACTAATCAAACACGAGGTAATAACTTGAACTAAAAGTATCAATATTTTCCTGATATTGGTTACAATATAAGCTTTAAATCTCCTGCTTCTGATGTTTGCTTACACTATTTGTAGCTGAAGAGCCAAAATCGCAACTAAAAACTACTCGATAAAAGATACAAACTTGTTACCAAATTACCAACCTCAAAATTCATAAATGTAGTCAATGCATTTTGCGATTTAGTAAGGCTATAAGATAATGGCTATAAAATGTTTGCCAAAAAATGTGGTGCTCCCTAATATTCTAGATTTAGCTTCGATTCCCGGACCCTTATTATATCTACACTTTCAACAGCACTGTTGTATACAAAGTCGTATCTTTATGTCGACAATTCTTAATTCTACATGTCTTTTTACATTACAGAAATGCTTATTAAAAATGAATCCTGCAAAATCTGTTGACATGATCTTTGGTAGGTGGACTATCAGTTTCTTCTGCTAGCAACTGTGGCATAAAATGCGACCGCCAAATCATTTTTATCATAACTACGTTGTTTGCAATTTCCTCTTGTACATTCAACAATTTATTATTCAGAAATAACTTTTCATGTTTTGTAATTATTTTAAATTGGGTCATAACTATTAGTACTTTTATTATTTTCTGGTTGGTTTGAATTTGTCTGATTTTGTGGAGGGGCTTGCACTTAAATAACGGGAAGCTGTGTACTATATTGTTGTGAGCATTTTTTCATTATGCTATCCAACAAGAAAGGATGGGGCACGAAGACATCTAGATTAAGAGCTTACAGGAACTGTTATGAATGATTCAGATTATGAAATCTATCGCGCCCGTTTAAAACATTGACCTAACAAGACATAGTCGGTTCGACGCTTTTAGTACTAGTCCTAACAGAAAGCAAACTGATAAATTAGTTCCGTGTGGGATGTTTGATGTTTTGTACTAAAAGCACGCAAATACACGCCTATGCAGACGATGTGGCAATATCTAGCAAACATTGAAAGTGAATCAAAGGAAAAGGGTTCATTAATCAACGAACATAAAGTAAAGTATATGCAGGTGAACAGAAAATCAATCATCGAAGATAACTAGTAGAAGTATTCTTATACCTGGGCTCTAAAATAAACCATTTTAATCACACCAGCAAAGACATACAAGCGAAAATTGTCAGTGGATGTAATCACCCGTACGGAAAACTGATGAAATCCAAAATCTTTGACCAAGGTTCAAAACTGCAAATATACATATAAGAGTACTGTAAGACTAGTCGTAACCTAAGTCTATGAAGCATGGGTATTAATACGACGTGATGAGGAAAGCCTATGAATATTCGAATGAAAAGTATTAAGAAGAATTTATGGCCCAATGCATAATAACGGCACATGAAGAATAAAAATGAACAATAAACTAAACAGTATAATAAAAGACGGTGACGTCATCAGAATTATAAAAAGTCTAGAATTGAGTGGCTAGGGCATATAATGCGTATAAGCGATAACCGAACCCAAAAAAGGATACTTAACTGAAAACCAACAGGTTGAAGAATGACAAAAAGACCAAGAAAGAGGTGGTTGGAAGATATTGGGAGGATCTGAAAACAATGGACGTAAGACGTCGGAATGGCGAAAATTAACTGGGCAAAAGATGATACTTCTGCTTAGAATTGTAAAAATTTTGTGTTGAAATTTCAAAGTGTATTTGGGAAAAATAAAAAAATGCAAGAGAGAACGGTCAACGTTCAAGAGTTGTCAAGACTTCAGCCCAGTATTGGCATGGAAGATGACGTAATATTATGATTGAGAACTTCTTTACATTTGTTTGGCCAAAAAATTGTCCAAAAAAAGCTCAAGTGTTGTTACCACAATAATATCGGTATGAAACGTGGAATATTCGGTTGTGAGTTTCTAACCACTCGAGTACAGTCTGTTGCAATTTCCTTCTATGTTTCCAAATCTTAGTAACACAATACATAATGTCAAAATCACAAACTCCAACAAATATTATCCAAGACCAGCAAGATGTGCACGATTTTTGGTGTTGAAACTCTAATGTTATGTTTGCAATACTAAATTTGTAATCTTTTTTTATGTAATAAATAAACATAAAATGCAAATATTGAGTAAACGTCATATATGTGGATTTCATATTGACTTTATCAGCTTTTAGATAAAGTAATAAAGAAATTGAAGTTGAAAATTTGCAGGTTGTGTAACATTAATCACTAAATGGATTACCGTTGACCCAGTTTTTTGATTTTATGGAAATTTATTGTTTTGGAACGGCGAAGGTTAGAGAATATATTTGAGTATTTTTTTCGTAGCTTTTTCAACTTCATTACTTAATCAACATATTCGAAGTTATTATGATTTTTATTTTCAAGTAGAGCTTATCATTCATCTTCTAAATTCTTTTTCTTTTTATAACTGTGATATGAAGAACACTTTCTATATAAATTTATTAGAAAATATCGAAATCTTTTTTGTGTGAAATCGATATAAAGATCCCATTTTCATTTAATAGAAATGGGAAGGATACGACATGTTCTTCTTAAAATTGTTCGATCATGACCCAAAAGCTTTTCTTCATTAATCTTCGTTAAACCACCATGATGATAAGCAAATTTCAAATTAAATATACGAACCGCTGTGGGAATATCATTTTATTATTACTCATATACGACTTCCTGTCTTAATGCATCAATAACTATTTCAGTATATTGTTGTTCTATTTACACTCTTTACATTTCTTGCAGAGTTTACATTCGTTAGCTCATTATTTCAAGAACAATAGTTCTTAAGTTTACCTGCGTTCGTGTGCATCCAAGAGCAACATAATAATATAAGGTTCTATTTCTGGTTCTAGTTTTTAACCAAATGGAAATTTAAATATTCAGTTTACTTAATTGAAATAAATTCTTTGGAATCTTTAGGAATATATTTGACAGGAAGATTTTGAAAATAGACCCAGAGTATATGAATAAACTACTAGAGTGGAGTTGAGAATCTAGTCGACATTAGATGTCGCCAGTTTCGAAACTGTTCGAAAATCGAAGAAAAACCCATCCTTCATTTACTCACCCAAATAGAATAATAAAAGAAGAGTAGTATAAAATTTAAGTTTAAAAAATAACCTCGAATAAAATTAATTAATCGTTAATTAAATTAATTAAGGAAGTTT